AGTCAGGTAGCCACCTTCTCCCCCCTCCCATCCACGCCCCCCCCCCCGCTTCCTCTCCAGGAAAAGAACCCAGGCGTCCGGGTTGTCAGGCGCCAGAGAGGACCCAAGCGTCCGGGCCGGTTCGCCGCATCCCCTCCGCTTTTCAGTCCGAGCAAAATGGGAGCCATCCATCTAGGGATGAATTAAGAACCCAGGGGGCCCCGTTGGTAGGCTCCAGAAAAGGACCCAGGCGTCCGGGCTGGTGGGTCGCCAGACCCCCTCCGTTTTTTTCAACCGGCCAGAAAAGAGTGTAAGTCCATTTAGGAATAAGGTCGTCTTATGTGAGCACCACATTTCAAATATATATATAAAATACAGTATATATAAATTTTTATCAGCAAAGTTTTCTTCCTGCCTATTTTATTGGCACGCCGGTCTTGCGAGGTCGGCCAGCGGGCGAGGAATGAATGGGCCAGCAGGCAATTTTGTGGGCTGTTTTAAATCTTCCTGATTCCCACCAATTTCATCGCTCAAGCAGGTTGTGGTTTCCTCCCGAGGAGCTGAGAAAGGAGAGCCATCACCCTAGAAGAGAGGGTTCGAATCTGCCCCTGGCCAAACCCAGTTTCCCGCAAATTTCTGGTGAAATGGTGGATTTAGCCCAGGGGGGGAAGAGCACAGAGTCCTGAACAGGAGCCAACATTCCAGCTTTCAGGAATGGTGTCAAGATAAAGGCGTGTATCCCAAAATATGTACGCTTCTCCCCTGATTCTTTCCCTATAGGGGATCTTCCTTACAACCGCAGTATCTGTCTTAATTTAAAGCTTTCTTTCAAAAATGGCCTTTCTCTTCTTTTTTTTAATTTCCCCCTCGAAGGATCAGTTGGAAATGTCTCCCTGCCTCGGTCTTTTTGTGACGTGACCAAAGTATTTTTGGATGCCATGGTGTGCCATCAAGCATCTTCCCCCCATACAGTGGCCCTAATAAATTCCTGTCCTCTGGAAGGTCCTATCCTTAATAGCCCTGCTGAAAATTTTGCCGAGAATAGGTCGTGGTTTCTTTCATGGAGTCTATCCATCTCACATCCGGGTCCTCCTCTCTCCCTTCTGCCTTTAACTTTTCCTGCCTTGATGGACCTTTCCAGCTTCTTGCGTTTTACGGGTTTTCCAATGCCTTGGACTTTATTCGTTCAATGCAATACCCCTATGCGGCTCGCCTTTTTGGTCCCACAAACTGCACAATTCCCAGGCGTGTCTTGGAAAAAAATAAAACCTGGGGAATAATATTTGGCAGCGGGCACTGCCATGGTGCCAGCTGCATTTGGCAACGTTACTTTCTTCTTCTTCCCGGCTTACGTGGGAATGATAGGAATGCGAAAGCTATCCGACTGGCTCCTTTCCATCCGGTTTCCTGGAGCGCATTCGAAACCTCTCCCACGGGTTGCACGAAGCTAGTCGTGAAATAAAATTTCAAAAACCCTTCCGCTGTTTTTGCAAAGCACCTCCTTAAAACGCCTCCAGGTTTTGCAGCTCCCGATGCGAGAGAGTCGAGGGTTCTCCGTTCCCGAATATTGATTTATTCGTTACATGATTATCCCACTTTTTAGAGGATTCAAGTGACCTCTGGCGGCCCTACGCAGGAGGGATCTCCAAAATTCATGTCCTCAGCTGCCCTTGCTCAGCTCTTGGAAGCTCAACAGTCGTGGCTCCTTGAGGGAGTCCGCCCATCTCATGCTCGGCCTTCCTCCTCTCCTACTTCCTTCCACCTTCTGCAGTCTTACTGTCTCTTCTAGGGAATCCTGCCTTCTCAGGATGTTCCCCAAAGTAGGACAGCATCAGTTTCAACCTCCAGAGAGAGAATTCAGGCTTGATTTGCTTTAGGAACTACTTAATTCCTCTTTCTGGCAGTCCTGAGTCTTTACAAAACTCTCCTCCAGCACCACATTTCAAACAGATCATTTTCCCCCCCTGTCAGTTTTCTTGATGGTCCAGCTTTATCACTCAGACTTGATGATCAGGAATACAAGAGTGTGGTTGATCTTGGTCTCCGGGGACACATTCTGGCCCTTGATGAACTTTTCTAGCTCCTCCGCGGCTGCCCTTCTGAGTTTCAGCCTTCTTCTGATTTCTCGGCTCCAGGTTCCTCATTAGATTGTTGGTTCGGATTGATGATACGGAACCTGTAGCCATTTCGAATGCTTCGCCGTCCATGTTCAACCTGTATAGACCGTCCTCCTCACTGCTTTATCTTCCCAACAACCCTGCAAAGGCAGCTCACCCTCTCAGGTTTCACAGTTTATAATCCTAGAATCAGAAAGTACCGCAAGGCCATCGATTCCCTACCCACTACAGGAGTTGTGTGTTTAAGATTGCTTTTCCAGCAATGTGGGGTCGGCCTGTGGGTATTTCTCCTTTCCCAAGTGTTCTTTGGTTTGACTCTGTCATCAGACGTTTAAGCAAATTCAATAAATTCGTCCTTCAAAAATCAATTTGCGGACAAGCTCGGTAGTCCGTTTTCTCTGCTCTTTATCATATTCGGAACCTTCACCGTTCTTGACGTTTCCAACGAAGGCACCGTGTGAATTCGTCCCAGAATGTTCGGTGCTTGGGGGGAAAAAAGGTGGATTTTAATTTTTCAATGTTTTTCCTCTTAGTTTTGTTTACACCCCTGCCTAGAGTTGACGGCTTATTGCTCTTTCCCTGCAGTTCTCCGTCCGACAATCCCGGAAAGCAGAAAAAAAACAAGAGGAGAATGATGGAACAGAAAAAATGCCAGAGCTTGGATGAAGCAGGGGCTGAGAGATCCCGCCATGGGCCCAATCCACCTTTGTCCAGGTGAGCTTTCCTTTACGGGCCCAATCCCCCTTTCTCCTCGAACATGGGGCCAGCCTCCCCAAATTTGGCTCCCCCGGTTCTGTCCGGTGGACTACATCGCCCATCCTTCCCGGCCAGTGGGCTGGCTGGGAGTGATGGAGGTTGTAGTCCACCCCCTTCAGGCAAGCTGCTGGGTCCTCGACAGGCTGGAAAGAATGTTTTTAGGTCCAGCCTGGAATGAATTTAAAAATAGTGAATGAATTCCCTGAACTTTCGCAATGTTAATACTCAGATTTCTATTTCCATTTTAGGTCCAAAACCGTGGATCCGTCTTTTTACAAAGAGCGGGAGAAAGAAGCCGTTCCGGCTTATCGTCAGAACTCGGAATCCAGACTTTCCAATGTAAGCTTGGGCAGATGCAGAACTTCAGAATCTGCTTTGCTTCTCGCTCCTTCCCCTACCTTTAAATCTCTGTCTTGGTTTTATTCCCAACTTTGGGTCTTTTTGAGGAAAACCTTCTGACATTTTCCCGGAGGGTTTTGTTTTTGTTTGCAAAAATGAGTTCCGTGGCAGCGATTGGTATCCAGAGAAATGAGGAGGGCCCTTTTGATAAAAATGCAGTAGGATCCCTGTATGCACGGGGGATTGGATGACAAGCAACCCCTGCGGATACTGAAAAATGCAGATAATAGGGAACGCTAGCAAATGCAATACATAGGAAAGTCTCTGCCCCCCTCTAGTGATGGGTTCTGGCCACGTCATCATTCAAAATCAATATTTGGGGGAATCTAACTTTTAAAAATATTTTCAGACGGTGGATAAGTAAATCAGCAGATACTGATCCAAGTATACGGGAGTCCTACAGCATGCCGCCAATGATAATTTTTTTTAAAGATGGAAAAATTTTAGGGACTCCAAACAGCTCACCTGTCACTTCTTTTTCCACAGCTGATGAAACACGCCATCAACTTTCACCGAGTCTTTAAAGACCTCCCCCTGGAAGAGGAGCTGCTGGAGAGTAAGTCACCTGATAAAGGGGGAACCTCCAAAATGGCCCCATGTCTTTTAGCAGCCCTACGGGGGGCATCCTTGATGGGGTCGCTCCATCTCACATTTGGTCATCCTCTCCTCCTGCTACCTTCAACTTCTCCTAGCCTTATCACCGTTCCCAGCCCCTCTTTGTCGGTGGATCAGATCCATGAGGACTAGTTGTTCCATTCAGCTTTTTGGAGCAAAAAATCACAGCTCAATGGAGCACCTGGTTTATGTGCTGAAGGCTCAGTCTTAAGCAAATCAGGTTTTTTTAAAGGATTGGGCCATTTGGATGGGCAAGACCACATCTTTTTCTTTAGGGGGATACAGATTTTATCATTCTTCTCTGGGATGCCCCCCCCCCAACATATCATGTTCTCAAAGGGTGGGACAACAGCTCCGCTCCGGACTTGAGTCTGAACTTTTAAAGGCACTGCCTGATGGGATGAATCTATTTGGGGGTACCATTGAGGGCTTCAGGGAGTGCCTGTAAAACCCGGAGCGGTTCTATCAGGGCTGTGCAGTCAGAACTCCCTGCCACCGCTCAAAAGGTCTAGAACGCAGGAAGTTTTGACAGTTCCGCGTCCCGGATTCAGATAATGAATTAAATTGGAATAATTTCATTTCTCTACTCCGAACCCTCCCTGTCTCCTCCTCCAGCATTCTCGTGCGCTTGGCAACAGGAGATAACTTACCACGGCCGGCTGTACATCTCCCATCATCACGTCTGTTTCTACTGCAGCATGATACGACGAGAAGTTAAGGTAGCCCTTCAGCGGATCGTGACCGCAGGAAGAGGGGTGGGGGCATCCACATTTGCAAGAGCGCTCCGAGGCGCTGTTTTGAACCCCTGCACTGAACCCCCAATGGGTTCGGCCCCTCGGAGCAGCTCCTTTGAAGTTCTGATGAAAACCCGGGGTGGAGGGGATGGCGGACGGCCCAGGCTGGGACAAAAAACACACCGGGTCTTTTTAAAATGTTTTCCGAAGGGGACGGGAAAGGCTTGAGCTGGCTGGCAGCACCTCTAGAGGCGCCCTTAGGGGAAAAGTTCAGACTGCAACCCGGACCGACATCCTTCGGCGCCACCGGCCCCACCAGCTTAAGCCACCTCCCTTCAGGGTGTGCAGATCATGGCCACAACTTGGAAGCTGAAAAACGAAACCCCAGTTTTCTCCTGACGCCCGTTTTTCCTCCCGCAGGTCACTATTCCCGTCACCACCATCAGCATCTTGAAGAAAGCCAACACGGCCTTACTGGTGCCCAACGCCGTCTGCATCCGTACCTCCGAAGGGGAGAAGGTGGGCGAGGGGGGAGGAAAGGTGGGGGGGGATCAGGGGTTTCACGTCCACCCACTTCTGGGTAGGAGAAGGTGGGAAGCCACCTTTACTTGGACCCATAAATTACTTAAACTGGGTTTTAGCCAGCCTGGCGACTCCATTTAGAGCTCAAAAAAAGCTTTCAGACAGTCTTCAAGGGCAGCCCCAGGTACCACTTGTCGTAGTAGTCCAGTGGTTGAAATTGGCATCCAGGCTGTTCAATCCAAAACCAGGATCCTCAATGGGAGGGTTAGAGTAGGGGGGGCAAGCTTGGATGTTAATCCCCCCCTCAGCATCCTTTTCCCATTTCCCTCCCCCCCCTCCGCAGTTCGTCTTTGCATCCTTGCGGTCGCGGGAGAGCGTCTACCAGCTGCTGCGTGCGGTCTGCACCCACCTCCAGGTGAGCCGAAGATCAAGGTGCCCCTCTGGGTTGGGGTCGGACCTTTGGCTCTCTCGGTTTGACCCCGGATCGTAGGCCAGGAGGGGTGGTTGTACATCTCTTCCCCCCGTCTTTGACAGCAGCTCTTTACTCTGTCCCGCTCCCCTTTCTCTGTGTCTTAGGACGGCACCCGAAACAGCCGCCTGACGCTGCCTGACACCACCTCGGAAAATCTCTCAAAGGTGAGAAATGGCGCATTTCCGGTGGTCGGGGTCGTGACTCTAATTTCAAAGGGGCTGGACATCCATTCCAGATTTTAGCCTGTGCTCAAGCAGGAGTATTATCAAAAGTGCTGCAGCCATTTGGAATTCCACTAAAACCTGGACCGGATTTACAGCAGAGGAGGGGAGAGCGAGGGGTTGATCCATCTTGTTTCTACACATTTTTTGTCATTAAGAAAAGGGGGGACACTTGTACTGCCCGCATGTAAATCAATTTTGGAAATTCTGCATTTAAGCATGGCATTTTGGAAATTCTGCATTAAAACACGGAGTTTCTGAAGTTCTGCATTAAAGCATTAAGTTTCTGAAATTCTGCCTTAAAGCACGGAATTTCTATCATTCCACATTAAATCGCAGAATTTCTGTTTCAAGGCAAAGGAAAGGTTCTGAGTTCACCCTATTTCAAACAATTAAAAGCAACCCTTTTGTAAATTATTCTGCCTGCTCAAAATCAGCTTCATCCTTATTTCTCTGCCCTCTCCCCCTTTTTTTCCAGGTCTCTCAGGATCCGGGTGCGAATTCCCAATTGTCAGAGCACGAGATCTTCCCAGAGGAGTCTGGTGAGGATCGGGTTTTATTTCATGGCTTCATGGGTGGACTGGGGTACTTTTGAAGAGTGCCACTGCAAACGTTTCTAGTCTGCTTACAATAAAATGAATAAATACTGTACAGATATGCAGTAGCAATATTTCCATTTTTAAAACAGCATGGAAACATGTTGTTAAAAACAGCAGAAAATACAGTGAAAATGAAGCAAAACTTTCCTGTTTCAAAACTTTTTGAGATTTACATAGCTGTGTTGCATTCTACTGTGGATTGGTTGTTTTCGCCTGTGGAACTCTCTGCCTCATGAGCATCCTCATCGTCCCCATCTCCCCCCCCTCCCCCCGGCATGCAACCTTTTTCCCAGTTTTGCCTGTTTCAAAACTTTTTGAGATTTACACGGCTGTGTTGCACTCTGCTGTGAATTGGTTGGTTTTGCCTTTGGAACTCTCTGCGTCATGAGCATCCTCACTGTCCCCATCCCCCCCCACTGGCATGCAACCTTTTTCCCAGTGCGCTTTTTTAACCCCCAGACCTTGCCGGAATTATATTATATTAGAAGGGGAGCCATCGTCTCCTCTTTTTTTTGGAACAATTTAAAACACCCGATTGATCCATCGAACTGATAGGTAAAATTTAAAATAACCAATATAGAAGAATGAAAATGCACACATGCACCCTTTAAAGCCAGGTACTTTAAACTGCTTTTAATTTTTTTTTAAAAACCGACGTCAGTTTTTAACATTTTGGTCTTCACGTGTGGTTATGATTTTATACCCATATTTTAAAAATGGATCTGTGCCTTACTTTCCTGGAAGGCAGGTGGGATGAAAATAAAGTAAATAAGGAATGAATGAATGAATGAATGAATGAATGAATGAATGAATGAATGAATGAATGAATGAATAAATGAACGAATAAATGGAAATAAACTAATTCTACTATGTAGTTGTATCAATCTAATGCAGGGTTGTCGTTTTTTAAACTCTTACGGCTGCTGGCGAGTAGACCCAGCTGTGGGTCGGATTTAGCTGCACTATGGGGTAGAAAGTGTGGGTTTTCCAATGAAGGAGGGATCCGTTCCCCGTTTTCCTGAAAATCGGGGCGTCTCATTTTCCAGAGCTGGGAGACGAGGCAGATACGGGGGCCAAAGTGCTGACAGATCTTCACCTGCAGCAGCATCTGACAGCAAGAGGGACAGGTGAGTTGACCCCCCGCCCGCTGTACACCTGAGCGACTTGGGTTGCCTTGGGCGGCGTGTCATGGGGGGACGGCAGCTGGGGAAAGCAGCCGTGGCCCAGCAGCAGGGTGACTCGTGAGCCGGGGGACGCGCCGATCTCATCACGGCTCCTCATCTTCGTACCTCCCCAGGGGCGCCGGCAGTACCCAAGCCCCCCGAGACCTGGACGGACCACATGGAGCCCATCAGCATCATCATCCTGATCTACCTCTTCTTGTGAGTGGTACATATATACCCGCCATCTGAGGCCCATAGGGCCCCCCCCTCCGGGGACCCATTGGGGCCTCTGACAGGCCAGCCTGGGACCTCCTGTCCCCCCCCCGCGACCTTAACTAGCCATCATCATTGACACATCTTGTGGCTGTGAGTTCCACCGGCTAAGCCGTGGAGTTTATTAAAAAGTCAAGTGCCACAGAACTTGAAAAAGTGAACTGCTGAGAGTGATGGGTCTCCTCACCCCTGAGCCTTTTTGGACCAATTGGGGATGCTGGGATTTGTTGTTTTTTTAAAGGGTTTTCCCCGAGCTCTGTCCCATTGTGGTAGTGATGATGGTGATGATGACTGCATTTTGTTTTGCTTTGTTTTTTGGTCCCCGGTGCAGAGTGGTGGTCCTGATCCTTTCCTCGGGTTACATCGGCCTGCGCATCGTCCAGTTGGAAGAGCAGCTGACGTCGATGGGGGCCTGGCCAGATTTACACCTCCAGCCTCGGTGGGTTTTAACTTCATTTCCCTTTTTAAAAAAATCTTTTCGGTTTCTCTTTTTCTCGAATTCCGGTGCCGTGGGATGGGCTGGGGAAAAAACCCGGGGACTGATGACACGAATAAACTGTACACAAGGGTACGGATCCCAAAATTTCCAAGTTCCAAAATTTTGGAATTTCCAAAATGCCATCACAAAAAGCACCCACCACTTCATATCTGTCTTTCCCACTTTTTAAAAAAACTTATTCTCTTTTCTCAAGTAAGGTCTAGAAACTTGATTGCCCCCCTTTAAAATTATTATTTTTCTCCCCCTTAAAATTAAGTTCACCCTCCCATAATAAATTATGCAGGCCATCATCCAAAATTGTTTTTTTTTTTTTTAATCTCATGGCTTAAGGCTGCTGCTCCAGGAGGATGATTTGATCTACTGCACGTGCCAGATCGACCTGGCACCGCATCCCGAAATCATCAGAAAGCGTCCCTGCTTTTTTTAGGTCAGGGGTTTTGCACCCTCACCTCTGGTTCATTTCCAGCACGTCTCGGCTTGCTGGTTCAGGGCCCGAGGGAGGAAAAAAGATTGCATTTTGGATCATTTTGGAAACATCGACACTCTAAAAAGTAAAAAAGTTTATTTTTAAAAAAACGTTCCGGACAGAAAGAGTTTGAGGTTTCCCTGAATCTGGAAGCTGATACAATTTTGGGGTTCCTCCCCCCACAATTGGTGGGGCAGAAAGGTAGGTGAGTTAGAGGAATGAAGGATGAATAATCAAATAAATAAATAAATAAATAAATTGGGGCATACATTGGATTGTATACAGTAATTTAGCCCTGGCCACATCTATATTCTTTAGGCACGTGGTTGATGTTTGGTGGTAAGCGTGCCAGAGATGGCGAGCCTTGCCCAATCGGGATGGCGTAACTTGGGCGCAAAGTCTGCCACGTGCCGTTCTCTGGGGTTTCGGTTGGCAAAGGTCCAGCAGATCCTAAATTGAGCAAGCCGGGCAACACACACAGGTTTCCGACACCCAGAAGGCTCCGGGAAAGCGTGCCTCTCCGGCTGTTCTTTGACTACGAGCTCCATGTGGCCCTATTAGGGTCGCTGTGGAGGGACGATGGGGTGTGAGAGTTTGACCACAAAACCCATTGGCAAGAACAGGGGGGATGGTGTGCTGGTCTGTAAACTCCATCGGGGGCCCCACCGGCGTTGCCAAGATGGGAAAGGATGATGGGAGTTGTAGTGGGAAAAAATGGGAACAGAACACGTTGCGGGTTCCCAGTCCCTTGGGGAATTTCGGAGGAAGACTGAGAACTGCCAAAAAGTGGGATCCCTTGGACTACAAAACCCAGAATCCATCCCGAGGCAGCTCGTGGACTCCCGCTTCGGTACCTGACAACAATGCCCATCATCCACGTTTTCCCCCAACTTGGGCTTTCAAGCCCTCGTCTTTTGGATGGGCTGGTTTCTAAATATTGCTTTTTCCCAGCAGGTTCAAGGAGACGTGAGGAAAGAAGAGAAGGGGACAGGAGGCGGATCTGACCTCTCCGAGGGACACACACACCCCCACCGCCACCTCCGAGACCATCTCCCTTCTTGCTGGCCAGGGAGTGAAAACAGAGAGGGCTTGGGGACCCTATATATGTTCAGGATCCCAAATGTATATATTTGTCAGGGGGGTCAGTCTAGATGACCCCATGGGTCCCCTTCCATGAATCCACTTCATAGAAGCTCCAGAGTCAACACCCAGAATAAATAATGTGGCGGGAAGGACAAGCGATCTGGAGATCCTTAAAGCTACTTGTTATTCTAGCAGGGGGCATTTTTTTTGGGGGGGGGAAGCATCTTGAATGTTGTGGGCCTATCTGAATTTTTTTTAAAAAAATTAAAAATCAAATATGCTGTGCATATCTCTTTATCACAGAAAGCCCCAACCTTGAGAGGCGAAGCCTCCATATCCAGAGGCAGTCTATCACTGGGTGGGACCCTAAGCTGGGGGGGGCAACCAGGGTGAGGTGCTGGCACCTTTGAGCCGTATTTTAAGTATTCCAGAAGAAAAGCGAAGATAGTAAGATCCTGTTATCCGCGGGATCAGCTTCCACGGATTCAGTTACCCATAGCCTGAAAATATTACATATTCATATGCATCCCCACAGCGTATTTACCAGAGCTAGCCACTAGAGGGAGCCAGAGATGGCGCTGTGTATTGGGTTCACTCTTATCTGCGGTTTCCAACATCCGCAGGGCAGGAACCAAACTCCTACTGTATACTTTCTCAAAATTTCTTTGCCATCTCTGGCATTTTTAGAACCTATTTTGTATGGTGTTCTCGTTCCTGCTGTACATTTTTCTGCTACCAACGGTGCACGTGCGAGTGTGAGTGTGGACGCTGGGGAAAGCACGGCTTTTTCCCACCCGCCGCATTTCTGCAGAGGTGTCATTTAAATAATAGTAATAAAATAAAGGCTGGGCAGAATTAAAACCCAAGGCTATTGACGGTTCACTCTCTCTCTCTCTCTTAAATTAAATCTGCTGGGAAGAACGACGGGAATGCCCGAGATAAGGAGGGCGGGTGATAAAAAGCCAAGGTATGATAATAACCAGTTGTCTGCTGGTGGCAGTGGCACATGGTGGGCACGGTGCCAGGGCGCCTCAGTTTCGGTAACCCAGAATCCCTGTTTATCTTTCTCTTTACTGAACTTTCCTTTAACCCTTCGGGGTGAAAATCTTCAGGAGGCAACAGGGCAGCGATCTCCGGCGGTCTTTTCCCCCCGAAATGTCCCGAAAGCAAAGCTTTTTTGGGGTGATCTGGAGAGAACCAGGGAGGTGTGTTGGGGGGGTAGAAGGGGATTAAAAACACAAGATGCCCGGGAGGAATCATTAAGACCCCTTAGGCTCGCAAAAGACCCGCTCCCGATGGGAGGAAACGCCCAGAGGCACTGAGGGGAAGTTTCCCCCTCTCTGAATCTTGAAAGAGGGATTCTCTTCTGGAAAAAAGGGGGGAAGAGGACTGGGCCTTGCCTGCTCCCCCAAAGGGGCTCCTTCTCAAGCTTACGAGGGCTGGATCGGCCCTCGTCCTTCGCCTCCTGATTTTACTTCTCAAACCCCCAGTGAGCCCCGACGGGGCCTCTTCCTCCTTCCTCTCTCTCATCCCGGCAGCAGGAGAGAGGAAGGACTGAAATTATCCCACCAGCGAGGCGCCGCATGGATAAAACTCACTCGGGACACCGGGAAGGGTCCACCTCTCAATTTCATTGGAAGGAGGAGGAGGAGAAGACGGCGGCGTGCTCTCTCTCTCACACGCCACGGCACGCTTAAGCCAAATCGGCCGCTCGGCCAGCGTCCTACGCTGGTGTCGGGCAGAATCAGGGAGAGCCCCGAGGCATCCCGGACGAAGCTCAGCCTCCCTGCCAGTCACCACCTTGTCGGATTCTCTCTTCCCTGCCCGGCAAAAAGCAGTTTTTCGTTTCCTTTTTTTTACAAGTTACGGGTCGAAGGCTGGTGATCGAACATGCGCCAGGTCCGGTAGTCCTTGGCCGTGTAGGCAGGCGTGTGGAGGGACAAGCGGGGGACGTAGCCGGGTTTCCCCTTCAGGTCCTCAGCGCCGCGGTTGCGGTTGACCACTTGGAGAAGCAGAGAGGGAAAAACAGATCAGGAAGACAGTGGAGGGGAAAAAAACAGTACTGCGGTATCCACGGGATCAGTAACCACTGTTTCACTTATCCGCTGCCTGAAAATATTAAATACACTAGGACCCCTGTTTCTGTGGGATTGGTACCAGCAGTTTCAATTATCCACGGGCTAAAATATATTACAAATATATATATTTTTTTAAAATGAGAAAGATATTTTCAGGATGTATTGACCAGAACTGGCCACTAGAGGGAGGAAGAGACCATACTATGTATTTTTGCTGTTGAAGAATACATACTCTGGCTTCCTCTAGTGGCCAGCTGTGGTAGCCCATGGTGAAAATATTTTTCTGTATTTTTTTCTTTTACCACACTCTCTATATGAAGCATTCACTATTATCCACTGTTTTCAGCATCTGCGGGGACTTGGAACCACCACCACCCCAGTGGTGACAGGGATCCTACTGTAAAAAATCCTAGAAAGACACATTGCCAAGGTAGATTAGCACCAGACCTGGCCGATAGAGGGAACCGGAAACCAAGCTATATACTGTACAGGGTTTCTATATCCACGCTTTCTGACATTCACGGTGCGTGTGTGTCTTGGAACAGACACCCCATGGTCTTGCAAAATACAATGCAGTGCAATGCAATATAAAAACTTGGAACCAACCTCCCGAGTGGTGACAGGGACCCTACTGTAAAAAATCCTAGAAAGTCACATTGCCAAGTTAGATTAACACCAGACCTGGCCAATAGCGGGAACTGGACACCAAGCTATATACAGGGTTTCTATATCCACGCTTTCCGACATTCACGGTGTGTGTGTGTCTTGGAACTGACACCCCATGGTCTTGTAAAATACAATGCAGTGCAATGCAATATAAAATAACCTTTAGGGGAGAAAGACATAAGCATGGATAAAACGCTCGTGCTTAATGAGGGCTAGAACCTTCTGTTGTTTTTTTTAAACTCTGGCCTTACCGTGAACCTTTAGGGGAGAGAGACATAAGCATGGATAAAACGCTCATGGCTTAATGAGGGCTAGAACCTTCTTCTGTTTTTTGTTTTTTGTTTTTGCCTCTGGCCTTACCGTATTCTTTCCCAGGTATAAACTGGTCTTTCCATAAAAAGGAGCCCCATCGTGTGTTAGGATCCGAGTACTGTGCGGGGATGATAGGATCATACCAGCTGCTCTCTCGCAGGCGCTGGGCGTAAGCTGTGGGAAGAGAAGGAATGGGACAGTAAGACAGGAGCCAGGCGGGTGGAGCTGCAGCTGAAAAGGCCAGCACCATCTCAGGCCAAACACTGCCTTTTAAATCGTTTCTTTCTCCACTTTCTGCCAGAGCTTAGAACCCCTTTTGAAAAGGACAGATTTAAAAAAATCTTGGCTCCTCTCCTTTTCAAAGCCGGGTTGACTCAGGAAAGAAAGCAGTGGGCTTGAAATTTTCAGGATCTGAGCAGGGCTGCGAACAGTCAGGTCCTGTGTTTATAAGCTTGCAGAAACAAGAAAGAAGTGGGGAAGGCAGTAGGAGAAGAGGAGGACACCGCCCAATGTGAGACGGACGGATCCACGAAAGGAAACCACAGCTTTTTCCTGGCACGATCGGAGCAGCGTTGTTCAGGAGGGGATATTTGGGAGGCGACTCGTGCGTAGGGTCGCCATAATTCAGAAGGGATGGGACAGCACGGAGCTACGGGTGGGAACGCGCGTGGAGGAGTGGCACCATGTCCAAATCCTCACCAGGCAGTAGTCTCTTCTCCCGTTCAGCGTGAGACTTTTGCCAGCGGTGGTAGGCCTCTCTGCCGATGCTGTCGGTCAAGGTGTACCAGGCGTTGCGGTTGTGGGTGTTGGTGAGCCCCGTGTACCAGGTCTGGGGCATCCCGTCCCACCCCATCGGGGAGCATTTCCAGCGCACGGCTTCCTTGATGACGGGGGGATTCCTCGGGCCTCTCAGCGACAGGTACTCGTCACTGCGGAGAAGGAACAGTGATAACCAGAAAGCAGACCCTCATTGGTGCGAGAGGCAATATGGTGCAGTGGTTAAAGCACTGGGATGGTGCCTTGGAGCCCCTGCTGAGCCATAAAACCCTTAATCTCCCTCTTTCTCGGCTTGTCCAACCTCCCTGGGTTGTTGTGAAGATCAAATTGCATCCCGTTGCCTTGAATTCCTTGCAGGAAATGCAGAACAGAAAGATGACAAAGCAATCAATAATAATAATAATAATAAAAAGCAATAGACATAGATGTTGGGGAGAAAAACCCCCACCAAATTCATCAATAAAGACTGGGTGACCCCCCCAAAACGGCTTGGGGGAAAAAAGGGGGTTCTCACTTCTTTTCAGGAACTACAAATCCCACCATCTAGGTGGTGGAAAGAGCCTGGGAGTTGTAGTTCAAAACAAGGATATCTGTCTAATTTTTATTTATTTATTTATTTATTAAAACAATAGACATAGATGTTGGGGAGAAAAAACCCCACCAAATTCATCAATTCATCAAAACGGCTTGGGGAAAAAAGGGGGGTTCTAACTTCTTTTCGGGAACTACAAATCCCACCATCCAGATGGTGGAAAGCGCCTGGGAGTTGTAGTTCAAAACATGGATATCCGTCTAATTTTATTTACAGTATTTATTTATTTACTCATTTATTCTATTTATACCCCGTCTAAGCCACGGCTTTGGGATGATTTCTCTCCTGGCAAAGCCCACAGGAAAGACTCCATCCAGCCCTGGGGAATAAATCCGCATGGCCATGGGAGGATTCGGCGACGGGACGGGCTCACCTGTAGAGCGGCGTGGGGAAGTCGGTCTCTAAAGTGCTCTGGGGGACGTACGGGCGGCTGAGCGCCAGATCCCGGGAGGCTAGGCTGCGGGGATCCATGCCGGGCCGGCGGAAAGTTCCCCCCGGAACATCAGCCCCCGGCTGGGTTGGAAAAGAGAGGAGAGACAAGAGAGAGGTTGACAGGTGAGAAGCAGGAAGGAAGCACTGTTTGCTCATTGTTTGGTATAAGCCGGCTCATGGCAACCATCCCCTGGGTAACTCAGGGCCAGCCACTGGGACCATACGGGTCTCCAGCAGGCTTTCGTTAAGAAGAGAAGACCCCGAGGAGAGCCACAGATGGGAATTTTGCCAACTGGAGGCGGGCTAGGCAAGGATTTCACGCGCTGCCCCAAATCCTCTCCAGGGGGTGCTCATTAAGGGTCACGCCACGGCGGCTGAGTGGTCTAGTGCCCCGGCAGTTCTTGGTGGCCTGGGTGAGGGGGCGACTGACAGTGAGACCCAGAAGACGCTCAGCAACTCATCCATTCGGCAGGGGCAAGTGATGTCCAATCTTAAAAAAAAACCCCAACAGGAATCTGGCCTTATTCGCAACGCATCCTCTTCCTTCTTTAGACAGTTTGCCCAGGCTTGGGCAGCCCAGACTCTTTATTTCCCTCACTCACTGGGTTTTTTTCCTCTCCCTCTACCCAGATGCCAGCTTGTTCAGCATCTCTCTCTCCCCCCCTCCCCGGTTTACTCTCCTCCCTTTGCTACAGAAGGCCCTCTCTTTCTTGTTTAACAAAGCCGGGGCTGTGAGTTCTAATCCCCGGCGTGCCCCAGCTCGGATCTGCCGGCACCGGCATGGCCAATGAGAACTTTTATCCGTGGAGAGGGGCTAAAAACAGTTTTATCTTTCGTCTTTGTACTGAAGACTTTGCTCGGGGCTGATAAAGCAGATTTTGTCACCACGGAAAACTGCAAAGCCTTTTACAGTGGGGTCTTGACTTAAGAACGGCTTGAGTTAAGAACATTTTGACTTAAGAACCGCTCTCATAGGAAAATATCGACTTGACTTACATACTTAGATTTGAGTTAACCCCAACAGGAATCTGGCTTTATTCGCAACGCATCCTCTTCCTTCTTTAGACAGTTTGCCCAGGCTTGGGCAGCCCAGACTCTTTATTTCCCTCGCTCACTGGGGTTTTTTCCTCTCCCTCTACCCAGATGCGAGCTTGTTCAGCATCCCCCACCCCCCCGTTTACTCTCCTCCCTTTGCTACGAAGGCCCTCTCTCTTTCTTGTTAAACAAAGCCAGGGCTGTGAGTTCTACTCCCCGGCATGCCCCAGCTCGGATCGGCATGGCCAATGAGAACTTTTACTCCGTGCAGAGGGGCTAAAAACTGTTTTATCTTTCGTCTTTGTACTGAAAACTTTGCTCAGGGCTGATAAAGCAGACTTTGTCACCACGGAAAACTGCAAACCCTTTTAAAAAGGTAATTTTGCATCATGTTTTGGGATCGGTCGAGTGATGATGCTCTTCCTCCTCTTAATCATCCCAAAAGGGAAACCCACATTTAAAGCGCCACATCCCAAGGAGAAATGCCATATGTTCATATTCAGTCCAAGTCAACATGGATAATGTCCCATTTAGTGGGATGATGGAACTGAACCGAGGGTCCAGGGAACACCCGGGGTAATTTTGCATCACGTTTTGGGATCGGTCGAGTGATGATGCTCTTCCTCCTCTTAATCATCCCAAAAGGGAAACCCACATTTAAAGCTCCGCATCCCAAGGAGAAATGCCATATGTTCATATTCAGTCCAAGTCAACATGGATAATGTCCCATTTAGTGGGATGATGGAACTGAACCGAGGGTCCAGGGAACACCCGGGGTGATGCTGCGCCAGATGCTTTCCCTCGCCCTGGCCATCTGTGGGGAGGAGAACAGTGGGGCAGAGGCACTTTTGTGAGAAATGGTGAGACAGAAACTGAAAAAATGTCACTGGCAAACCAGGAAGTTGGGAACAGAAAAGCCGCCTTAACATTCCTCCACCCCAGATGGGAATAAACCGCACGCGGACACAGGCAGCTTTGAAATTCACGAATCTTTTTAATGCCAAATACATTAAATTTTACAACGTCAAGTTGACAAGGCTTGGTGGATAATGTCGGGGGGACGGACCCTCAACCCCCTCTTACAAAAACGCATCCTGGGTATCGGTATGGGACACACAAAACACATAGCAGGCAACCCGCAACCACCACCCCCCAAATTGGGAAGAACACACATTAGGGGACAAACTCACCCTAACCCACCCACCCCACTCCCTTGGGAGGGTTGTTTTATTTACACACAGAAGCGAGGGAAGAAGGCAGCTTAATGGTGGGCCCTTTATTTGTTCAGAAACAGGCAAGTGTAGCTTTTATGGCCCATCTCAAGACGGGGGGGGGGGAAACACCTCTTTATGGGAAGTTCAGCAATCTAGGAGAGAGAAAAACGGAGTTTTCTTGGGATGTTGACAGTCCCTGGGGGAAAAAAAATCTCGTTCATGGCCGGATTCAGTTGCACCAGAGTGATGGATCTCGGAGAGCTCTCCTGCAGGCTGGCTGGCCACTTCACGCCAAAGACCAAAAAACAACAACACGCAGCTGGCCAAATGCCGCCTGTTCCCCCCCCTTTGAAAAAAGCTGACACACTCTGAATTTTGGATCCACTTTTCTGATGGATCCCTCACACACTCACACCCTATGCGGACGCGCTCCCTTCTGCACCTCAGCAGATTTCTAGGGAGGTGCGAAACGTTCTCCACGAAGGAAAATCCCCCCCCCCAATACATGATCCCACGCAGGAGACCAACTCCAGCACAGCCTCGGTGGAGCCTCCCTGCAGGATTTGGCTACCCAGCGGCCGAAATGGGGAGATCCCACAGAGGCTGGCTGGAGCGTGTGGGGGGGGGAGGCTGCTCCCGACAGAAGGAAAATAAAAAGCCGGTTTGCCGAAGGGGTGCGGACGGAAAAGGGGGGAGCCACGACCGCGCCGTGGGAAGCCCAATCTTTACCGGCCGTGGTGATCAGCAAAGCCAAAAAAGCTTCAATTTTTAAAAGAAATGCTCAAAAATATAAGTGCCACTATCTCTCCAGTTTGCACACAGAAACACACAAAGTGTTTTCCCTGCCCTGGATCCTATCAAACACACTCCTGTTTCTTTGATAATACTGTATAAGAAACTCTTCTTTTTAAAAAGCCCTTTAATCTGCTTTTTGTTCTCCCCTCAAAAAAAACTTCTTTTCCCAGGCGCTGAGGAAACCAAACCGGAACGAACCAAACCTCCCCAGGGTGGACGGCCGGCCGGCTCGTTCGTCCCCTCTCAGCGTTTGGGTGCTCTGTTTGTACATATTCCAATTTTTCTGCTGGGCTTTGTCAACCAGGAAAGGAGGGTTTCCCGCACCCCTGAGCGAGGAGCGCCCGAACCAGACCTGATGGCCAACTGGGTTTAAAACACTGTTTGGTCCGTGTTTTTTTCCGTCATCTGAACCAAAAAGGAAAGAAAAAGAAAAAAAAAGATTCCCCTCTTTTAAATAAAAACTCACCAGCATTTACGAAACTTAAAAATGTTAGGTTCCCCGTCTGTCTCTCATTTCCAAAACAATCATAACAAACTCAGTATCTTTTTCTTTTTCATTCCTTTTCCGCTTTTCCTAAGCCAAGACCCTAGGCTGATCTAAAATCCATGGAACTTCGTCTTGGTTCCCTACTCACTGGGTAAGAATATTCACTGTACGGACATACACATATAGACACACACACACACAAAGAAACTGAATATTCTCAGCCGGGCCAGGACAGAATCCCATGGTCTTCAGTGGAATTTGCAAACAAACAAACAAAAAACCACACTTATAGATATATATACACACATATATCTATTTATCGTTCTTTAATGGTGAAGCATCTCCGTCTTTTAACAAATGCCTTCATCCGTTCCTGTTCCCTTTCTGTGCAGGAGCTGAAGGCTCAAAAACTGGATTCCCCCTTCCTTTCCAAACGGTGTTGTTCCCTTTGGATGTGTCGAGCCACAACTCCCATGGTACACCACCAGCACAGTGACGGGAGTTGTAGTCGACGAAATTGGAAAGGCGTCCCCAGTTTGGGGTAAAAATAAAACAGGCTCTTTTCTTTTTCGGCTTTCAAAGCCAGGAACGCTTCCCGTACGAAGAGGGGTCCATGCATATATTCTTCCTGATCCGTCCCCCTCCTCTCTTTTTTTCTCCGTCTCCATGTAAATGCAGCAAATATCTTACAATTAAGTTCTCTTCTTCCTTGAAATCCTAGCTTTTTTTTTTAAACTGGTCCAACAGGCATGCACAGACACTCTCTCTCATACACACACCCAAAATAATATTAAGACAATATTCCCACTCCAACGTCTTCCAAAAAGTCCAAAGGATGAGGATGAGCCGCCGGTCCCCACTTGAGCCCCAAATAATGTCCAATAGCATTCGTACATAGATATTTAATAAGCATCTCCAAGCCGCCGCCCCCCCCTCTGGACAGAATGACGCACCAAAGGTCCCCCCCCAACCGCCCACCCACCCTTTTCCCCGGCTCGCAGCCTCGGGCTCCACGCCGGCTGTTAGTGGTTTTCGACCCCAAATGAGACAGTTCGCTTGGAAGGTTTTTACCGTATCCGGGTGAAAAGGTTGAGGACTGAAACAGACTCCTGTGAATAAAAAGAAAAGAAAAAAATGAGAAAGACCATGAGCTGCGTGTGACCCACTGAGGCTCTGGCTTTACGGCAAAGCATGGCCATTAAATGCCATAAACGCAAACCAGTTTCCAACGGGTGCTCGGTGATTCTCAAGAATCGCCAAGAATCCTGTGGCTCCCTGAAAATCAGCAGGCTTTATTCGGCGCAAACTTTTCATGGGCTAACCCTCGTTTCTGAGGGACACACGGGGCCGACGGGGAAATGTGTCCACGTAGCCAACAGCAAAGATCCATGGAAACTCAGGCCCAATAAAACTGGTTAAGTCTTTAGGAGGCCCCCAAACTTCTGTGTTGTTGTTGTTGTTTTTAGCCTAATAAAGCTGCCTCCAGGGACATTTTGACTGCAGATTAAAGAACGTAAGAGCAGTTGGGCTGGAGTGAAGCTGCACTGGAATGCAGCTGACTTCCAGGTTCCTGTAAGCGCTACCCAGCACAGCCCAGGACAAGCAATGCCGGGATCATGAGAACGGCTGGACAGCTCCGTGGTTTAGATCTTTGGCTGCGCAGCCAGAGGGTGGGAGTTTGATTCCCCCACTTGATCTCCTTAAAAGGGCTGGACTAGATGATCTTTAGGGTCCCTTCCAGCTGTGCTGTTCTAAGATGATAACTGAATAGCTCAGCAGTTTAGGAGAGCCAGAGGGTGGGAGTTCGAATCCTCCACTGGGCCTCCTTGACAGAGCCTTGACTGGATGATCCATAGGAGACCCTTTCAGCTCTAAGATTAATATTATTATTTATATCATCAGAATTCAGAGGGCTCTGATGGTCTAAGAATTTAAACGGGAGTTTTTAAAAAATCATTTCGCCTCAGCATCTTCTTCCCAACACGCTCTCCCCCATCTCACAAACGCGAGAGCAAACCGTTCCAGCCCAGAACAAGCCCCCTTGTTTTCTCTCTTCCCCCCCCCCCGGCGGCCCCTTCTTACCTTGGTGGAGCGCGTTTTGCTGAAGACATTCCAGAACCGTAGCGTCTCGTCCCCTGCGCCCGTGACAATGGCCTCCCCGTCGGGTGACATGGCCTGCGGGAGGGAAAAAGACCGGATCTGAACGATCCTCGAACCCGGGTGGGCATTTCGATCTAAAGCTTTCTGCATCGGAGGCAGCCCAAGAAAATTCACACACCACCGAACACATCAACCGTTTTAAGGCGTGGCTGATTTAGGCAGACTGTTTTAGACAGAAGGCAGGAGGGGGGAGAGAGGGACCCAGGCCAAAGGCATTGTTTGCTGAGGCTCCTGCCTCCAGGGCGGAAGGACAGGGGAAGAGAAGACGCACCCAAGACGGAAGCAGACCCTGGCAGGTTGTTGTTAGGACTCGGAGAAACACTCACCAAGTAGAGGACTCTGTAGGAATGTCCCGTCAGCTTCGCCACCTGAGTCAACGAGGGGTACTTCCAGACCAGAATCTGGTTTTGTGAATAGCCGTGAGTGCTGACCTGCAGAGACAGAAAGAGAGAGAGACTTGTTAAGGCCCTGCTACAGAGACTTGAGGGAGGAGAAGACAGACAGACTTCAGGGGTGGTAACGCATCTTTCAAAGCGGTCATAGCCCCATCTCCGCTGGCGATACTAACTGGAAATAGATTTCTAACTTCTAACTGGGAGGGGAGAGTCAGGATCGACACACAAGGGAACGGAGCCTGTATCCCTCAGCTGCTGCGTGTCGATCCCGGAGGGAGACACCCCCCCGCCCTGAAGGCATGCTGAGGAAACCACTTTGGATGACTGGATCCCTAGAACGCCACCACAGAGAGGGCCAGGAGATGTCAGGAACAACTGGATGGCTCAGGGTCAGGAGGGGTCCCCTTGGAGGGCACCGGAGACAGAGGCCAAGATCGGGAACAGCGCTGGGCGGGCCAGCAGCCAGGACGTGGCCTTGTTTGAGACACCCGATCTAGCCCGCCCTGGTGGCCAATGTAGAAAAACAATGTTTAACGGATCAGCCTTGATTTCTCACACAGTTTTTCCCGCTTCCTGGGAAAGCTGTCCAATCATCACTGGCCTGATCTGGATTTGCGCCCCTCCCAACTGGTCCGCCACCCCTCCGTCACCATCAAGATCCTTACCAGCTCGTTGGCGTGCTTAGACCAGGCCAGGTTGCACACTTGACTGCCGGTGTCGATGCACTGCAGGGGCTGCCCGGTGAGGGTGTTCCAGAAGCGGATGCACCGGTCTGCGGTCCCGCCCCCCGAAGCCAGGAGCCCATGCTGGTGGGGGGACCAGGCGATGGCTTTAACCGCCGCCAGGTGCTCCGTGTACTGCTGGACGGGGCTGAGGCTGGAATGATTCCAGACCAGGAGCTGGAAGAGGAAGAGCAGAGATCTCAGCATCTGACAAGAGCCCAACATTCAAGCGGTGAGGTGCCCAAAGCAACTTCGGTCTATGAAGCACTACCACATTTTGTTGCAGTTGACGTTCACCGCGGCCAGCTGAGGAAGAGACTGGACTCGGCGGATGGAAAGCAATTTAATAACATCGAACCAAAACTGGACAACAAGAAAACCACACCCAGAGGCGGCGTGCTAAAAATAAGATAAAATGCATGCTAGGTGGAATATTTTGATGTGAAGGACACCAGATTTGTTCACAAGGGAAGGCTGAATCGCCAGGTGGGGGTGGAATACTTCATTTTTAGAAAGAAAGGGGCCCTCTTGCTCTCTCTCAGCATGTACGACAAAATAAGAATTAAAAAAAGGATGCCAGCACCTCAAAGATGAGAAGATATTTCTCAACATGAGAGATTTCTGAGAAGCAGATTATAACACCCCCACTGACATAAACACACTAACCTTTCACTGACCTCAACCTGCTAGTCTTTCATTGACCTAAACCCGCTAACTCTCCACCAACCTAAATCCGTTAGCCTTTAAGATGCCACATTTGCTGGTTTTAATTTTTGTTTTTATGCTTGGCTACGCATGACATTTAACCTGGAACACATGTCCTTTATGTGCTGTTGAGGAACACCATTGCTTGGTCAACCTTCTCCTTCAGGCTGCTCTCTGGTTCAAAGGGCCCGATCCAACTCCCTTCCCCTGGTTTTCCTTGTGGAGATTCAATCCAATTGTTCACATGCTAGCCTCTCCGAGGGAAGGCCCATGGCCTTTAGGATCTTCCTTAAAGCGCCACCGTTCATGCCGGGCACGGAGCAAAGACACAATAGTGCAGTGCGGAAGAAAATAAGAAACAATGTCTTACCTTATTGTCGTTTCCACCAGAGGCCAGGAGCTGGTGGTCCGTGGACCATTTCAGCCCGCAAACCTCCTGCCGATGTCCTTGGAGGCGCCTCTCTGACTGCAACGGAGGGGTCCGGATGTCTCGCTGAAGGATCATCCGGTCCCGGCTGCCGGAAGAGAGCTGGTCCGCGTTCCATGCCAGGGCACCTGGGGAGGGGAGAGACAGAAGTCCAAACCTGACAGAAGTCCAAATCTGGAACTAAAGCACCTCTTGACATCTGGCAACCAAACCTCTGGTCTGTAAAAGACAGCGGTCTGATGGTTTAAGCCAGGATTATAGGACCGGGCAAGATGGTTAATCTGCTGTTAATCACGTCACAGACATTGGCCAATAGACTCCTAAAAGGCTAGCATAGAAACAAAGCAAAAGCTGTTCATAATTCTGCACCCTCTCCTGTGCCTTATTCCAGGGAAACAGGGATCTATCCGGTGTGATGGTGTTTCCTCACCCACTCTGGCTGTATGACCTTCCAACATGGACAGCTTCTTCCCGGCCGCCGCGTCCCAGATCTGGACGAAGCCTTTGTGAGTCCCGACCGCCACCAAGTTGCCCTGAGGCGGAGAAAAGAGGCGAAGCAGAGTTCACTGAGAGAAGACAGGGTAAGAGACACAGAGGCTTCTCCGCGCGTCACAGTCGGCTGGTCTGATGGGGAAGGAAGTACTCGTTTTTACTCTCCTGTTGTGTACTGAACAGCAAAGGTACAGGCGAAAGATCTCAGTGCATCGCACAGGTCCTCCCAGGAGGTTTTTAGGGTTGCAAAACATTTATATTTCTAGAGACATTCGGAGGGAGCTCACAGACTGCATGGTTACCACATACACACACCCCCCCACACACACCAATACAGCTTTGCTCTCTGGTTTCTGATAGTCAACTTACCCGCTCTGACCATCCCACGGAGGTCACCGAGTCGCCTTCCACCGAAAGGTCGCACAGTCGGGTTACCTTGGAACAGGAAAAGAAAGAACGTCAGAGAGTCGGGAGTTTTACAATGCTACTGTGTTTCCCTGAAAATAAGACCTAACCTGGGAATAAGCCCTAGTATGATTTTTCAGGATGCTTATCATAGAAGCCCTATCCCCCAAAAATAAGCCCCATATTAAGTGAAACCCCACCCTTCACCCTTGTGCAGCAACCAGAAGATGACATGACTGTATTTGAATAAACGTAGATGATTGTACATTTAAAAAATAAAACATCCCCTGAAAATAAGCCCTAATGCGTTTTTGGAGCAAATATTAATGTAAGACCCTGTCTTATTTTGGGGAGAAACACGGTATGCTTTATTATTATTTTAAACATATGTTCTGTATTCATTCAGAAGCTTTCTTCAAGTCATGCATGGGCCAAAGATAAAGGTTTTCGAAAGTAGAACCAAGGCGGCGAGTTCCGGACACCCAAATTGGGCTGCTCTCTAAATTTAAACCGCTTTCACGCCGATAGCTGAGACCGCAGAATGGTTCTGGATAACTTCCGTGTAAGAACAAACCCAAAGTTTTTAAACGGGGTGTGTCCTGGATGAGTCTCTGCAGCAGCCACTCAGGCAGAGAAGCTGCTCAGATTGGAAACGCCTGCCAAAACTCAAGCCAAAACTTGAAAAGCCTCTCTTGAAAAAATAATGCAAAGTTCTAATCCATTCAAAGTTTCGGCTGCATATTCATAACCAATTATTTTCATAGTTCCAGCGCTAAACGGCACTCGAGCCTCTTTGCACAGATAACGTTGCTGTCTCCCCCAGGAGATCTGAGCAATAATTAGAACAATTTAACCGATCCACTGAGCAATGTCTCTTGAGGCTTTTAAGCTCAACGAATTAAGTAACCAAAATGTTTTAAATAAATCAATAAACAGAGCATGTCCAGATTTAGTAGGGAAGCGCTCCCTGCTCTGGTTGTAAACCTGTCCATTTATCGTAGGCACCTGTAGCACTAGGGGTCAATTTCCAACCTCTGACGTCAGTGCCAAGAGCAAATAAAACGGGTTTTCACAAATGGAAGAGGAAGGCAAAGGAAACAGCCCTGATCCCCTTTCCTGGGGAAATTGGGGGAGGAATTTAAAGACTTTGTAACACCCTCCGAATCACTCCGCGTTACCTGGCTGGTGCAGGCACTCCAGAGGTAGACGCAGGTCCCAAGACCAACACTCAGGACGTTCAGAGATGACCAGTCAACAAGGTTCAGGTAGAAGTCATCCTGCAGCTCAGGAGCATCTAAAACTTTGAAGGGGATCTTGGAAATCTTTCTGGTTGGCTTCCGGGGAGACCGTAGGAGCTTCTGGCTGTTCCGAGAGGCAGGAAAGGGAAGCAGGTAAAGAAAAAAGAAGATGCAGAGGGGTGTGAACGGGGAAAGCGGTGCGGCCCAGATGCACAATCCAGAACCCACAACCAATAAAGGGAAACCAAAATGGTCTTAAAAACATTGCAGGCCTATCAACAGAAATATGAAAGCAGGCAGTTGTCCATCGCTTAATGACAGCACCTCTCACGCGGTCCAGATTTTAACGCTGGGCTCCCCCTTGCGATCACCACCATAAGGGTCAGGAAAGCGGAACTGCTGACCGGCTTACAGGTTTCGTAACCCGAGGACTGTGAAGGGCTTCCTGGAACCATCGTTCGACGTTAACTACCCTTCTCTCTTTCTCTGCTCTCCCTCTCACCTTACCTTTTGTTGCTGACCGGAGAGAGAGAATAAGGAGAGACCTCGTTGCCATCATCTGGGCTGGAGCGTTTCATGGTGAGAGAATACTGAGGGGAGAGGGAGAAAAAGCGGGTTTCAAGTCAACCGTGTCAAGAACGGTTCAGGAACTGTATCCCTCTTGAAAGGAAAGGAAACAGCGTCCCACCCCCAGAATATTCCATTTTCTTCGAGACATGATCCACGCAGCCACACAGTCTTTGCCACCCAATCAACACCATCGCTGTGATGCTCAGTTTAGGATCTCTTAAGCTGGGGGGGGGGGCAGAATCTGGCAGGTCCATGGGTTGTCCTTCTGCCCTGGGCCCTGCTCTGGCTCCAGAGATGAGCGGCAGTGGCAACCAAAGCCTTTAAAAAATGAGCCAGGCATCAGCTAAAAATTCACTTCTGGTTTTGGGAGCGATGGGGAAAACTAGGGATTTGGGTTTTCCAACAGCATACCAGGGGGGGGGGGGCTGTGACCCATTCAGAAGGCAAAGGGCCACCCCACGGAGGCTTTGAGGAGCTGTGATTCCTTCCCTTGGATGGGAAATACGGGGATGATTGAGAAAGACAGAGCAGCCATGCGGAGAGGCACAACTTCGGATTTCATGCCAGCCGCTTCTGGAGAGAAGTGGGACTGCGATCCGAACATGCAATGAGGTGAGAGTTAACTTAAGGGATGGAAAAACTCTGGATTGGAAGGGGGGCGCACCTAAAAAATTTAAATAACATAAAATAAACTGCTGGAAATGAGTTGAGGACTGCAGCTGCTCGCTCTGGTGCATCAGTGATTTCTGGGATGAAAAGGAAAACCACTGAGTTTGAGCTTTTATTTCAACGGAAGCCTGGGCTGTTTTTACAGAAAGGGCAGTGTTATGATTAGGTAATACCGTGAAGAGGCTCTTCTTTTCGGGCGTGGAGGGCTGTAATCGCCTGTCCTCCGTCTGGGGGTCTTGCACTTTCTCGATCCCGGCTCCCAAAAGCTCATTCTTCAGCAAGGCCGAGTAAGCGAGCCCATCTTCGTGGACGAGGGAAGAAAGAACAGAGACGTCGGAAGAAGCCTCGATGAAGCCTCTGGAAAAATGTTTCCGGAGAGCTCCAGAGTAAAATATGAAATAGAAAGCACAGCACAGTGGCTGAAATTCTGCACGTAAGTTCAGTCAGGGGTCTGTTGAATTCTGGGATGGTGGCGAGTCTGAGCCTGCCCTTGTAAACAAACCATGGTTTGTTCCTCAAATTGCAACTTAAGTTCATGGATTACAAACTGATATAATACTATGGTTGCTCATTTCCCCTCTTGCCTGCACTGCCACACAGGAGCTGATAAAATGAAACTATCCAGACACGAGAACAATGACTGGCCTCAGTTTGGTTGTCTGTGGAGCAACCCATGGCTACAACAAACCATGGTTAATGGAACCATGGCTTAGCAGGACCCGCAGATGAACTCATGAACAAGGGTTGTTTAGCCCTGAGGGGAAAAAAAGATGGAGGGGAGATAAGATAGCGCTTTTCAAAGACTTGAAAGAGGAGGGGCAGGATCTGTCCTCTATCGTCTGAGAGTGCAGGACACATCATACTGCGCTCAAGTTACAGGAAACCGATATCGGTCTACTGACTATCAGGAAAAAGTTCTCAACTGCTGGAGCAGGATGACAGCAGAACCCATGACCTCGGGTGGGGGTGAGCACTCCAACGCAGGAGACCTTCAAGAGGAAAGTGGGCAACTATCTGTCAGACCTGCTTGGATTTTTATTCCTGCCTTAAGCCAAGGGTTGGACTCGATGGCTTTCGAGGCCCCTTCCAACTCTGTGATTCTAGGAATGTCCCCAATCTCAAGTCAGGATGTAAGCTTCTTCAATGGCAACATTTTATTTTTTTAAAATTGGATGTATAGCAACAGATTTTTTTAAAAAGGGATTTACGACCCGTCACTCTCCCCTCAAAAGAGACAGAAGACTGTTGCTAGTAAAATCTAAAGAATCGTTTAAAACAGAGACACGCCTCAAGGCAGTTAACTTATTGTCCACCCTGAAGGTGTGTGGAAGCAGAAGGCCGGGGTGGTGCCTACCTTTGCCATTATCGGAGGTGGCATCTTTTGCTTTTCGGTTCTGGCTCGGAGACTTCTCGTTTTCCTAGAAGCAGGGAGACAACCGGGTTAGGGGGTCCCTGGGTCCTGACTCCCTCTGCGGCCAGCAGCCCACCAAAAGGAAACCCCCGTCTGCCTCTGAAACCCAGTAAAGAGGATCCGAGGCCATGCTCTCTGTCCGCTTAGATCCCCTGTTGAGATCGCTCACCATCCTGTTTAAAACACAGAGCGCTCGCCACAAAGCAGGAGTGAGCATGAAGCTTGGCTGGTGAGAAACCCCCCCAAAAAAGCTCAAAAGCCACGCTGCTTCAAAAGCAAAGAATCAGCTTGTTTTAATATGGACTCAGGCTCCCCGTCTCACCCCCCCCACACACACACACAGCCCTCTGTGGGGCAATGCTCACATTGATCCGGTGGAAGCTGATGTTCCAGTTGGCCCCCGCTCGAGAGGGGATGAACCGGTCACCGTGTTTGCTGGGGGACGAGATGGGGGAGTTGGCAGGCGTCAGGGTTCTCCTCATGTCCGCAACCTTGGATTTCAAAGTTGGGGGTTGAGGAAAGAAGGGGGAACAGGGATCAGAAACAACAGACACAGGCCAAGGATCGGTTCAACTGGCAGGCGGGTGGGGGGAGCTGCAGAAGGAACTCCCATGCCCCCAATCCTATAACTCCGATCCATGTCTGCCTCCTTTTTTCCATGATGCCCATTGCACGATTCACCATCCACAGCTAGTTTTCAAGGACCTCATGATACGGTGCAAGGACTTACCGAGGGCATCATGTTCTCGTTCTGGATGTTGATCTGGCGGAGAAGACGCCTTTCGTAGTCCTGATCCATGGTGGCCGGTTGGACAGGTGGGCTGGCGGTCGAGATTTCTTCTTTCTTTTTTCACACACCTCCCCAAGAAGTCTCAAAAATGCAGTTTTTTAGTTCACGGAGACCAGGCTATAGCCGGTGTGCTACCAAAACACAAGGTGACAGAAAAAAAAATAAAAGGAGAAAACCAGGCTCATGCCTTCACGAAGGTAATATTTGTGACAATCTCCAAGTCTACGCTTCAAAGTAAAACCACTTTAAGTCCCTGTTGTGTGATCTCTGCAAACACAACTTTAAACACAGGTCATCCTCTTTAAGCAACGCGTCCACCATCATTTTATATGTACAATTAATTTCGGAGGTCTAAATATTTTCCGGCCTTGGAATTCCATCTGGTCTCCCTAACCCCAAAACCCTAGAACCAAAGACAAGATTCTGATCTAAGAAAAAAAAAACCACCCTTGTAACCAGGAGCCCCGAGTTCAAATTTCCAGCTGGTCACCTCCACTCACTAAATCATTTTTCTTTTGCAATGTTCCATCTGAATTTTTTTTAACACGTGCTTCTGCCTGTAGTAGTTAACTGGCAGCCCAGCCCTCAGGACCGATTCTAGAAATGGACCTGTCACGCATTCCCCCTTGTGGTCATGAGACCTGGTGTTTCTTTTTGAAAAACGGGAGTGAAGATTTCGCAAGCTGAGCTTTGCCTGGAAAAGCCAGATTCGGCCGTTTGAAAGGTGTAGCAGGTACACACTGGCTCACCCCATGCTTCCTCCCTTCTCCTCGCCCCGTTAAATCACTCCATTAGCCTTTTTCCTAGGAGCACCCCCAAAAACAGACCCCTTCTGCCGTCAAAGGAGGAGGGATGAATCCCATAAGGGTTTTTTTTCTAAACCTTCCTTCTCACTCATCCATCATCCCAGTCCTCCCATCATCCTCCATTTCATAAGCATCCCATTACGGAACCCCTCTTAGGGAGGCAGAAAATGGCCATTGTGGGGGGTGGGTAGGATTTCATAAGGAGATAGATTCGTCTCAGCAGCCACCTCAATCCAGCCCCCATGGAACCCCTTTTTCCAAGAGTACCCCAATATTACAACCCCTTCCTTTAGGTAATAGAAAAATCTTCCCATCCTTTAGGTAATAGAAAAATCTCGGGGGTGGGTGGGAAGAGAGGATATAGAGGAACCCTTTTTAAGCCACCTTCTCTCTCATTCACTTACTCCCACCACCACCACCAGCAGCTCACCTCCCAGGGGTACCCCAAAAAACACATTCCCGCTGCCATTCCCTAAGGGGGAGGGCTTGCAAATGAATAACATACAGTGCAACAACTTTAGGTAATAGAAAAATCTCGGGGGTGGGTGGGAAGAGAGGATATAGAGGAACCCTTTTTAAGCCACCTTCTCTCTCATTCACTTACTCCCACCACCACCACCAGCAGCTCACCTCCCAGGGGTACCCCAAAAAACACATTCCCGCTGCCATTCCCTAAGGGGGAGGGCTTGCAAATGAATAACATACAGTGCAACAATATATAATACATAACGCAATACAGTGCAATGCAACATAACACAATATTATATGCAATATAAGAGGATATTTCTGTAAACCATCTCCTCCCAATATAGAACCCCAACCATGCCCTCTCCTCCCCTCGCCCTCCTCTAAATGGGGAGGGCAGCAGCGAAGGGCATCTCATGGGGACCAGTTACCTAAGGGGGGGACTCTTCTCAGCTACTGTCTCCCCCCATTAACCCACACACACCATGCACCCTAATAAGGCAATATCCCCCTAGTCCCTTAAAGGGGGGGAGATGTAGATGGGATAGAAAACCTCAGAAGTGGTGGTGGGAAGTCTTCCTTATAAGGGGGGGGTGTTCCTCTAAGAACCCCCTCCCTATTATCGGCCCCCTCCCAGGAGCCCACCCCCATATTGCAGCCCCCTCCCTTTCTGTAAGGGGAGGGGACTCCCTTTGGGGGGGATCAGGCCCCTCAAAGGCCCCCCTCCCTAAAAGACCGGCCCTTGCATGAAAACACCAGCAGACACCCCCCCCCAGTTCCTTCTGGGTTGTTGTTGCTGCTGCCGGGAAAGGGGGGCTCCCCCTCCCCGGCCCTGAAGCCCCGCCCACCTACCCCATCTTGCCTGAGCATGGGGGGACCCTATTCTTCTCCCCCCAAGTAATAATGGGGGGCCAACGCCACCCTCCTTCTCACCTGGCCTCAGCCAGACCCATCCAATATGGCGCCGCTCTTCCGCCTCTCTCCCCGCCCTCCCTTCCTTCCAAGCCCCGCCCACAGGCTTCGCCCCACCCCTTCGGCGTCCCAGCCAAGCAATCCCGCGCGGGGCCTGACGGGAGCAAGTCGACGTCGGACTCGCCCAACCCGCCCGCTCCGGCCTCTGATTGGCCCCGTTCGAATCAACACAAGAGAGAGGGGGCGAGGCTGGAGGCGGGGCCAGGGCGGGAAGGGGAGGGAGGTGTGTGTGAGTGAAGCGAGCGGGGCCGGCCGTCGCCCCTAGCAACCGCCTTGCGGCCTAGTCGCGCTCTGCGAAGCCTGAGCGAGGAATAAATCAAAACAAACAAAATGTCAAATGAAAGAACAAACCCACAAAAGGCCTTAAGAGAAAATACACACCATGGGGGAAAAAAAGAACAAAAAGAATAAAGGGGGGAAAATGAGATGAAAAACTCAAATTTTCTTCCATAAAGTCCAAACCCCTTACATTGTAATGAAAACAATTAAACCCCAATGAACAGATATTAATTAGTACATTGATGGTGGAGGTGGTGGGGAAGCTTTGGGTATGTACCCTAGTGTGGAGAAAAAGGGGTAGTTTCTGGAAACAAACCCAACAGGAAGAGTAACAATTAGGGCTCATTTGCATAATCACCTTAAAAATGCATGCACCCATGCAATGGGCTGCTTATTTACATGGCCTTTAAAAATACACCAGTGCTCTAGTCTAGTCCCTGAGTTTGTAATTTTTTCTCACTAAAATGTTCCAACGCCTGGATCTGTCCTGGCCTTCCATTTGAAACATGCAGAAACTGCATTTCATTTCACCTCCTGAAACTATTTTCACCCACCTTTCTCTTTAAAATGCACCCCAGCTGGCTTAGAATAATTAAATGCTTGTTCATTAACCCACTGCATGCATCGATGCAGCTCAGCCCAAGATGGGGGGGGGCGGGAAAATATAAACCATGCACAGGTATGCATGCAAAAAAATATTAAAAAGGAAATATTTGCTTCAGCTCAGAAGTTTGCTTTTAAATAAATGCACTGGGACCCATCTGCAAGATATATTAAATGGAGAAATTTTGATTTTTGCAAAAATGTCGCAGTCCTTGCAAGGAACATGTGGCTTGAAAAAAATTTCACGCCAACATCTGGAAAACTGTGCGATAAAATTTTATATGACAGAACTGGAAGTCCCAGCATTTTAAAAAAATGCACTATAACTGGATATTACAAATTCATCACGTGTTACTATTATGCACTGTGAAACAGAGCAGAATTAAAATGTGCCCAGGAACCAAATATTTATCCATATGAAATACATTTTATCTATTTTTCCCCCAAATGCCCCAAACCTCGAAGCCTTCTACATGTGACAAAATACTATATACACAAAGATACATTTTTGTTGTCTTTCTAAAGTATTTTATTTTAAAAAGAGAATCCAGCAAATCCATAGAATAAGCCGACGCGCTTTCATTGCTAAAATAGCATCTTCTTTTAATTTTTAAAAATCACTACATTAAGAAAATAAGAGATTTTTGCATGTTTATGTGAACTCATTGTAAGGCAAAAAGAGACTAAATATTCTTAAAAATAATTCAGAGAAAAAGGATTGGAGCGAGCTAATAAATAAACAGATCTGTTTATTAGGCTGAGTTAGAGAAGATAAAATTGGTTCCTACAACCAGCTTTTTTAAAATCTGGAAATGAAATAAAGCTAGAAATATCCTTGATTTCCCCCTTATAGCCCTAATTTCTTTTATTTTTGCAATTGGAAAAGTGAGTGGGAGCTTCAAAATTAAATTCTGTTCCCTGGCATGGTCCATTGGAACAATGAGGATTAGAAACATCATTTGGACAAAACGCATCAAAGCCTAGATTCTCGGGACGCTGCACACCGCGTTCCAGCTGCGAGGTTGCGTATCACAAAACATGCAACCATGGAAGCATGTGTTGTCCCTACATGGAGGAATAACCCATAAATAATAATAATTAAGGAATAGGCATAAAGGACTTAATTAAGGAAAATCCCACCTTAACATCTCCAATTAAATAGTGGGGTGAGGATGAAGGTGGAAAAAAAAATCAGGTCAGTATTGCACAATGATCTATAAAAGAAGAAAACCTATATAGATTCCTAGTAGAACAAGGGTTTTGCACACAAAAAAGCTCCAGGTTCGAATTCTGGATCTCTCCGGGTATAAAAATAACTCAGCTGGACTCGGTGGGCCATCTGAATTATAGGCAGTATTAAGGATGCTCCATTTATTATTCCTGAAGGAAATGGACCAGAGGTTCACCCCCCAAGGGCATTTTAAAAATACATTATTTTAGGGTAAAAATAAGCTAGAACTTGGAAATAAGCAGTATCCCACTGTTTTTTTTTTTTACAAGACTCCTTGGATTTGAGCTGGAGCAGGTCTTTTGTCAACCTAATGGCTCTTAGGGGCTTGTCCCAGACCAAACCACCTTCCATTTAACTAGGATTAACTTGTTGGATTTCACTCCTTCATGGAATTACAAGGATAATCTCCAAACTTGGGGAGGGAGGGAAGGGGGCTGAGGGACCGAAGAGGCAGAAAAATATCGAGCAGGTTCGAGAGGCCAACCAACTTGTCAAGATGGGTTGTGTTTAGCGTGAAGATGAGAAGGCTGTTTGGAAAGAAGATGCACCCAGAGGACATCCAAACGTGGCAAGCCATGTCGCAGGGAGAGGGGCCAGGCGATAGGGTGGGAGGCAGTCAAGACGAATTCAAGTTGCATCAGGGTGTCGTCTCATAAATGCTCACTAAAGTGAGGGAGGGAAAAAAAGAAAATTATTAAATGTTTCATTATGTACTCATTCAATACATGTGCATCAATATCCTCCCTTTTTTTAAGCGGAGAGCTGGTAGATCTGTAGTCAGAATTCCCCTCTTTTTAAATAACTTTTTGCATATCTCCTGTTCTTTCCCCAGCGACCATGGAGGTTGTCTCTAATCTCAGAGAGTGCAGAAAACCACAGCAAGTTGCGTATGAGGTTGTGATCCTGTTCATTACAAAGCCAATGGGTCTTTGGCCCCTGGTGCCCTGGCTCCACTACAGTTCCAAGCCCAGTCCCCTCAATTCAACAAGCTAACTTCCTTCTTATCATCAAGAGTGGGGTTGTTCACATTTACCTGGCAATGTGGGACAGAATCTCTTTCACGCGTGCCACGAGCCTCTCGTGTTGCACAGGGTTGCTTTCGATGGCGCTGTGCAGCTTGACCATGTAGAAATCCAGTGTCCCTAGAGTGGGGGTTTCCCCCGTGCCTGGCAGAGAGAAACCCGGGACTTGACGGACCAGCTCCGACTGCTCGGGGGTGTGTGTGTTCAGGGCTCTGACAGCGGAGTCTGAGGCTGTGGGTTCGATTTTCCCCTCCCCGACAGGGGCTGGCCTGGATGATATCGAGGGTCCCCCTTTCAAAATCCACAATCTGTTGGTTTCCCTGCAGCTCCCATACAAGTGCAAAGAACCAATCTTTGCCCCCTGGTGGCTGGAGATGGTAAATTCCCACCCAGCTTCAGGCTGGCCTTAAGGACTAGAAGCCTGGAGCCATTTTAAAAACGCAAACCTGGAATGGGGAGGCTGGCGAAGCTGGCCGTCAGGGCCTGGCGCACCGTCTGGAGCTGCTGCTGCAGGGCTGTCGTCTGCCTCTCTTCCAGGGCCAGCTCCTGCTCCAGACGCTCTTTGGCCCGGCTCATGCTGTCCGTGTGCTTCTGTAAAATGCTGTTTTGCTCCTCAAATTCGGTGTTCAGCTTGCGTAGGCGTCGCAGCTCCGCCTCGCGGGCTGTTACAGCCCGTTATCAAAAAGAGAGAGACAGAAAGACAAAAGACAACCACAATTAATGAGAAAGACACAGAGTTGAATTGGGGGGTTCCGGGTTTGAGAGGCGGCTGTTTTTCTCTCAACCCGAGGTCTGGTTTTATCTGTCGCAGGTGTGTGTGTACCTTTGTTTTGGTCCAAGAATTCCTCCGTAAAGATGGGCACATCAAAGGTCGAGAACCCCTCACTGGCGCCTTCCCCAGCCTGCCGGAGAAGCAAATGAAAAAGCACATTTTCCCCCCTCATCCCGATATCACGAAAAAAATAGGCAAGTTTGTGATTTTGAAGGAAGATCGGTGAGCCTTCTGTGATTTTTTGCTACGCGCCTTACCTTGTAGCCATTCAGCAAAGTGTTCACAGGCCCCGCTCCAGCATCCTCTAGAAGAAGGAATCATAATTTTAAAAAACCAGCCAAAAATGTTTTTCATTGAAATCCAGCACTTGTGGGATTCGAACTCAAACGTCCAGCCCATTGTTTCTGAGGCGAAACACACCTTTTTTGATCTTCTTTTCGGCGCACAATTTATACGCCTCCGACTGCTGGTATTCTCTCAGTTCCTTGATATACTGCTGCTTCTCTCGCTCGGCCTCATCCAGATAGCGCTGCAACGAGAGAGGGAAGCTTACCAAAATCTGGCTCGGAAAAGCTGGTTCTCGCTCTGGTTTCCCCTGCCCTTACGCACAGAGGAACTGAACGGATTGCCGGTCCCCTCTCCCCTGGTTTCCGCGGCAGTCCAAAAATAAATTTAAAATAAAATATGGTGGGTTCCCCTTATCTGCGGGATCGGTATCCACTGATCCATGGTCTGAAAATCTTGAAAAAGAAAAATCTTAAAAATTTATTTTTAATGAGGATGTTAACAGAACTGGCCACTAGAGGGAGGACAGAGACCATGTTATGTATCATGTCTGATATTAAACTAGCATGTACTATTATCCACATTTTTTGGTATCTGCGGGGGGCTTGGAACTGACCCTCTGCAAATTCAGGGGGATGGGAAACTACTGTAAACTAAACCGCCTAACACTATTCCCGGGCACTTCACCTGCTTCTCCTTTGGCTGCAGTTTACTCCACTCTGCTCCAAGCATCTTGGTGATCTCCGGAAACGGCAGATCTGGGTGCTGAATGCGGATCTGTTCCCGGCGTTCATTGAGAAAGCGGACGTAGCCCGTCACTGGGGCTTTAGGTCCATTGGGGAGAATCTTCTTCCTTTTTTTCCCTTTTGGCCAGCCCCTTTTCTTCACCGGCTGCCCGTTGCAAAGCAGAGACACAAATTGAAACAACATGAACGCTCCTGAACTAAAACGTGCCAGATTTTCAGAATTATTCCATTCAATCCTTTTTTAAATAAAAACAAAAAACAGTGGGCCAAACCACCATAAGAATGCAGGCCGGGATCGTGGGCCTAAAATCCTGGCTTCCAGAAAACTTGGCCTGCATTTTGAAAGACAAGGAGAGAAGATGAGCAGTGGTAAGCCCCCCCCCATCCATGGGATTACTTACTCACTGCCTGAAAATACTACATAACCCCCCTCAAAAATACTTATAGTTGTTTTTGTTTTTGTTTTTTTGTTGTTTTGTTGTTGTTAATAACAACAACTACAACTACAACTACAACTACAACTACAACTACAACTACAACTACAACAACTACTAATTATTATTATTATTATTATTATTATTATTATTATTATTATTATTATTATTATTATTATTATTATTATTATTATTATTATTATTATTGGGGGTGCATTTGCCAGATCTGACCAATAGAGGGAGCCACAAATCATGTACTGTATAGCATTCCGATATACAGTATCCGCATTTTTCGGCATCCACAGAGAAAGGGCTCCTTGGAACTGATCCCCCACAGATACCATGGTGCTAGTGTATTCGAAAGGGTGTGGCACGGACCCAAATGAGAGGAGTTGCTGAACCATCCATCCCCCACAGATACCATGGTCCTAGTGTATTTGAAAGGGTGTGGCATGGACCCAAATGAGAGGAGTTGCTGAACCATCGTTCCCTTGATTAGGGTAAATTTTATTTTTGCAAGGGTGCCTTTAACTCCCCCCAACCCTCCTGATCTCCCCCTGCAGTCGGCCAGGCTTGTAGGAGGCTGTAAAAAAGGAACTGCAATACAGTATTCTATCCCATCGCAAACCAGGGGGTCATTTGCACCAGCTGCTGAAAACCAGCATTGTTCAGTGTATAACTTAGATTATAATCTAAACCTGGCCGTTTAAGGCTCTCTCTACGCTCCTTCCCAGGGGCCAGTTTCTCCCTATTTTCTCCTGGGGAGACTCACGGCTCAAAGTTGGTTTCTCTCAACCCTTGGCAGTGGATTTCGATCTGCAAACTCTCACGCCGACATAAATCCGCCTTAAAGACCCACAACGTTTCACCCTGGTATGTTTTTTTAAAAAAATTACGGCCGGTAAGGAAGCCTCAGGGGGGAAGGGTTTTAAGCTTTCAGGACGGGGCCAAAACTACAGAGAAGGCGCCATGAACGAACCACATCACAGATGATGTTAAACGACAGGGCGCTGAACTCCGATGCCCAAGATGGCCAGAGTCTGCCTTCCGGACTGCAACCTGCAATTTGATGGTACGGGGGGGGGGGGGNCCTCTTCGCCGTGGTTTTTCTCCCCGATTAACCGCGTTGCCTCCGCCTTCTCCTGCTTCACAGCAACCAGGAAACTTCCTTGCTGCGCCTTGCCAGTGGCGTTTCTGGGATGCGCAGAGAACAAGCCGGTTATTTCCACGAGGTACCCTAAAACACACAATCCTAAACCATCTCTAACATCTCCTCTGGCACTGTTGGACCTGAGATCGCTCTTTCTTGCCTGGGGTTGACCAGCCGTTCCCTGAGACAAAACCCTTGAATCATAAAATAATTAAGTTGGAAAGGGGTCTCTTAAGGCCATACAGTCCAACCTCCTGCTCAGGGCAGGGAGCCAAATCAAAGGAGATCGGACAGACGGCTGTCCAATTTCCTCTTGAGGGCCTCCCGCGCTGGAGCGCTTACCTGTCAATTTAATTGGCTCCATTGTCATACTGCTCGAACAGTTAAGACATTTTTTCCTGAAATGCATGAAATCTGGCTTCCTGTAACTTGGGCCCATGATTACATGCCTTCACTCTGGGATGACAGAGAACGGATCCTGCCCTTCCTCTGTCAGACCACCTTCCAAGTCTTTGAAAAGTGCTTTCCTATCACCCCTCCGTTTTCTTTTCTCAAGGCTAAACAAGCCCAATTCTTTCAGCCTTTCCTCATAAGGCTTGGTTTCCAGCTCCCTGATCCACTTTGTCACCCTCCTCTGAATTTGCTCAAGTTTGCTGCCATCCTCCTTCAAGTGGGGTGTCTAGAACTGGAACACAGGACTCAAGAGGTGGCCTAACCCATGCCGAATAGAGGGGGACCACCACCTCACAGGATTTGGAGACTTTACTGCTGTTAATGCAGCCTAAAATCACATTGGCCTTTTTTGCTGCCGCATTACACGGCCGGCTCATATTCAGCTTTTGATTTACAAGAACTCCACGATCCTTCTCACTTGTAATATTAGGGAACTAAGTATCCCCACCCCACAGTACTCTAAGATCCAGAAACTCTGGTCCACATGTTGCAATTCATGGGAACTAAGTATTCCCCCCCCACACACACACACACAGTACTCTAAGATCTAGAAACTCTGGTCCACATGTTGCAATTCATTGAATAAACCTGTCAGGCCTAGTAACGGACAGAAATCACCATCTTTATTTTAATTCTTCTATCTTTTTCAGGCCTAGTAATGGACAGAAATCACCATCTTTATTTTAATTCAGTTTAAAATACTTTCCTCAAGGTCAAAGCGTCAAGAAGGTGATCAGACTCCAGCATGACCTCTGCAATTTGAAAAAGGTGGCCGGCCCACACCTGAAGAGGTGATTTATATGAAGCCTCCCAGACACTATTTTTTTATATGATGTAATACTTACAAGAGAGCAGTGGACTGCTGTTTCGTAGCATGGGACATCTCTGCTTCCTGGGAGGAACCATAGACGGACGTTCAAGCCGAGGTACCTGTAAAGGACAATATCGCGTGTCAAGATCAGGATGATGGAGACCTGGGTTCGAATCCCTGCTCAGCCACCAAAACTCACGGGAGGCAGCAATGTGAAACCACTTCTGGAACAGCTCCAAAACCTAGAAAACAGTATGGTTAGGGTCCAAAGCCCCCTCAACATCAGGCCTGAGAGCCTTTCCGACAGCTGAAAAGGTCCCTGCCTGTTCTGATCCCCATATACTGTATAGGAAGTAGGGTTGGGAGTTTGAATCCCCCACGGGGCCTCCTTGACCAGGGCTGGACTGGATGATCTTTAGGGGTCCCTTCCAGCTCTGCAGTCCAAAGTTTATTATGATTAGATGTAAGGTTGCTCATTTAGCATCATCCCCAGCCTCTCCTGTTTAAGATCCAAAGTCGGGGAAGCTGAGAAGAGAACCCACCCCAAACTCTAAATCTTCAGAATCAACGACCCCATAAATAAAAGGTTCCAAAGAAAGAAAGAAAGAAAGGAAGAAATCGCAAGGGCTGAGTCATCTCTGTCCCCAACAGATCTCTGGAAACCTTTTCCCCATCCAGACCAAGATCACAGTTTTTATTTCCCTCTCCCCACCCCCAACAAGAGATAAGGGGATGGAGGAAAAGAAGAAGAAAAAGAAACAGGGAGCCCACATTACACGGAATCCAGACGCCCAGTTCTCTGGATCTCGGGCAAAAGTCCTACAAAGTCCCACAAACGCGCGAATTAATTACTTAATTATCCATTCCCCCCCTCTCCCCACCCCACCATAGAAATCTAAATTCCTCCCAGATCCGTTGCTAGATCCATCTTCCCACCTCTGGTTTCCTAGATTTCCTCCAACAACCGAGACAAAAAAAATTAAATTAAATTAAATTAAAAAGCATATATTTGGAGCAATCATCACGATCAAACTCCCCAAAACTTTCTGGATCTTTTTCTCCGCTTTCTTTCTTTTCTTTTCTTTCTTGTTTCTTCCACTTTCCGAAGCTCCGCCCCCCTTCTCAGCTGGATTATTATGCTAAACAGGGCCTTCCCGAGATGCTGATTGGAGGGACGGAGCGTCCGTCGGTTCCTGATTGGCCAGAGAAAGCGCCCCCTCTCGTCTCACCCGCCATGGCTCCTGTAGTGCGTCATGGAGCCCTTGGTAGGGACGGGGACGCAGGGATTGGCTGAGGCGGCGACCAATCAGAGAGGGAGTTGAAAGTTGGGTGGTTGTTGTTTTTTAATGGGGAGCCCTGGGGTTTTCCTGCCCCTTCAGCCCAAGTTTTATGCATTTATTTGATCACCATTATTTTTTTTGATGCATTGGGTCCTTTTCATTTGCAATGGGTTGAAAATAAGGAAATTAAATTGATTTAAAATAAGGAAATTAAATTTTGCAACCTCCAAGCAAAGCGGGGGGGGGGAGGCAACAAACCAAACTCTGGCTGCTCAAAAAAAGCAAGGAAACCCCAAAATATTGAATCCAATTGTTCTCCCTTTCCTGGAATTTGCAATGGGTTGAAAATAACGAAATTAAATTGATTTAAAATAAGGAAATTAAATTTTGCAACCTCCAAGCAAAAAAGCAAGGAAACCCCAAAATGTTGAATCCAATTGTTCTCCCTTTCCTGGAACTCCAGTGGTTTTCTCCCCAGCTGGGAAAAGACCCTATGATGGACTTGGCCAGCATGGCTGATGGTTGGGGATGCTGGAGTTTGTAGTCCGAGCAAACTGGGGTTCTGAACGGTCAGGAGGGCTCTCCTTATGGTGTGCCCGGCCTGTTTGCTCCAGAGTTTTCCAGCCGGACCCTACTGTGACGTGGTGGGCACTTGAACCCGGGACCTTTGGCCGGTGCTTAAGACATAAAGTTAAGCTTCTAGCCCTCATGGAGGGCTTTTTAATTCATATGAACATATATAATGATGTCAGATCATATGGCTGAGCAAAATCTGTGACTGCATTTCTAGGCGGTCATTCCAGAGAACCACACAGATCAAAAAAGAATATAGAATTATTATTATTATTATTATTATTATTATTATTATTATTATTATTATTATTATTATTATTATTATTATTATTATTATTATTATTATTGTTCTTGTGATTGTTATTAAATCGGAGTTCGGTAGTAATCATGTAATAACTATTACCACACCCACCAAAAAAGTAATGCTTTTGTATTAGTCTCACAGAATTGTTTCAATTTCTTATTTCTTTTGCTACAAAACTATCTAGGTTCGATATATCTAAAAATGAAACATTAGAAAAACAGGTAACATCAACAGGAAAGTCATGATTTCAGTAATCAAGAGAGGAACACAGTAGTAACATTTTGAAAGCTTGTAAAAATAATTGTAAATATACAACAATATTTTGAAAATACTAAGAGTTGTCTCTAAGCTTTCTGGTTTATTTTGCTTCTTTTTGTTTGACTGTGGTTGCCTCATCAAAAGACAGTTTATATGGAAAGTTTTTTTTTTAATCCCTGAATTCTTCTGTCCAGCCTGATAGGGGGATTATGGGACTTGTATTTCAGAAAGCAACTTTTTTACAAGTTCTGGATTTTCTGATGGTTCTAAGTGGTTGCGCAAGCAAAAAAAATAGAGGCCGTTTTGATCCGTAGGAATAAACCAACTTGCAAAACGGAGGTGATCCACATTCGTTGCAACCACAGGTACCTTTCCAAACTGTGCAAGCTTTTGAAGACAACAAGGGTCTTTGTCAAGCTGACTGGCAAAGAGGAAGCTTGCACACGATGGAGATTTAAGATCATCCCTAATAACTGACCTCTTCTGAATGGCTACACATTCTGCAATAAATTAAGGATATAGCTTAAGGTACCTTGTGGTTCAGAAGACATTAACTCTTTAAGCCATCATTTCCTGTTCTGTACATTTTTATCTTAACATTGGCAAGGAGCTTATAAACCTGTTGATCATCCTGTATCCAGAAAGATCACAGGAATATTATTAGTTACTGTTAAATTAATTGTTATTATTAATATTACTATTTTTCCCCATTCAGGCTGCTCTTAAAAAAATTAACACAATAACCAATTTTTTTTCAGATTTACAATCTAGGAGATTTACAATGCTAGGAGGACATGAGGAAAAATCTTTGCTTATTATAAACTTTTTTCCCTAATGCAAAGAACTCATTAAAAAAAAACAGTGGTTTTGACCGTCACCCCATCAGCGGTCTGTAGGCGTGGGCTGCCCATGATCTGTCCACATGCATGGCATAAACCAGAAATATTTTGCGCATCCAGACCGGCCGGGATCGGGCGCCTAACCGTGCGAGGGACGGACAGAAAAAAGGAGGAACGGTTTCCATAAGCTGCCATTCCGTTTTGGGGGGTTTAAATGGTGGGGTTTGTCATCTGGATGAGTTCTGGAAAGAAAGAAAGACGGAAAAGGCTGTAGCCACAGCTGGAGCGTGCTAGGTATGGCTGAAAAACACCAGTTTCCCCCTGAGATGTTGACCGCAGGTGGGGGGAATACAGAAAAACAGAGGCAGAGATCTTTGGCATGGATAGCTGTGCTTTGGTGCAGCTTGGGTACCCCTCGCTCCTCTCCACCCTCCTCCCTCTGTGACCCCCTTCGAAGGCGTGGGGCGCCACGTTGAATTACCCAGGCGAGCAGATCAGGTTTCCGGGGCTTTGTGCCAGCCTGGAGATCGGCTTACAGCTGTTGCCGTTCCACCTGGAGGTTCGGGCATCAATAATTGAACCAGGCCGCCATCGGCTCTGTCGGTGGCACAGGGCTGCGCAGCTCCGGAGAGGTCTGGAAGGAAGGGGGACCCCCCCTGGGAAACGCCAAAGGGGAGACCCATGGAGAACGGGGTGCCCCAGGAAGCTCAAGAGAGCCCGGCCCCTTCGGACGAAGGCAGAGGAGCCCCGGGGCGGGGGAAACCCGGACCCCCAGCAGCGGCTCACCTGCCCCGAATCCGGCCCAGGCTGGTTTTCCACACCCAGCTGGCTCACGGGAGCCCCACCTGCAAGATTGAGGGGTTCACCAACGTGAAGGAGCTCTACGCCAAAATTGCCGAGGCCTTCTGCATCTCCCCCACTGAGGTGAGGCCCCCCTGGGCAGTGTTCCTCGACAGTCAACCCCCCCCCAAAAAAACTTTATTTCTTTATTATTTTGCCTTTTTTGAGCCATCGGGTTGGGCCGCTCAAGATCTCGAGGGCGTCCCCTTGCAGGAGACAGAGTGGCCCAGATCTTCGGTTCCGGGGCCTGGGTTCGAATCCCGGCAATCTCCTCGGTTCCCTGGGTGGCCTTCCGGAAGAGCGAACCGAGCTTTGGTTTGGAGTGAGGCAACGAGCGCTGGGCCTGGATTCGAGGGCACCAACCTCGTATCAGTTCATGGGAAACAGTTTTGGGGTGGGGTGGGGGTTACCGGTTAGCCCGGCGCTGTCCGAAGGCCGCATCAGTTGTCCTCAGAGAGCGGACGTGCCGTAACGCAAAGTGGCAGAAAAGGTTTGGCATGTCATTTATTTACAGCAGAATTGTGGCGATTTTTGTTCACCTCGATTCCTGCCCTGGATCGCTCAGCGATCGGGGTCTCTGGTTGCAGAGCCAGAGGTAGTGAGTTCAAATCCCCCCAGAGTGCCTCCTGGACAGGGGCTGGACTAGATGATCCTTTGGGGACCTGTCCAGCTTGGCACTTCTACAAAGATTCTTTGTGCAGAGAAAAACACTATGCATGGATCTGCCTCAGGCAGCAAAAGTGTCTGATGGCACAGCCCACCTCGCGCCCTTTTAGACCGATTTCTCTCCCTCGGCCTGACAAGGAGGTGGTTGAAAGAGAAAGAAAAATACGTTGAAACAGGTGGCCTTCTTGTCTTGCTGCCCAGATCTTGTTCTGCACATTGAACACCCACAAAGTGGACATGCAGAAGCTGCTGGGGGGCCAGATCGGCTTGGAGGACTTCATCTTTGCTCACGTGCGCGGCGAGACCAAGGAGGTGGAGGTGACCAAGACGGAAGACGCCCTGGGGCTGACCATCACAGACAACGGGGCCGGCTACGCCTTCATCAAGGTGGGTGGGAGAGGACGGGAGTCTCTCCACACGAGACATGTTGCAGGCTGACGGAACTCCCGGCCACTTGACGGCCGCCAGTGGGAGACGGCACCTTAGCTGTTTCGGGAGGGGATGAAAGACCGGGGTCGCGATTCTCGTGGCATCCAAGGTTGTAACTCAGCTTCGGAAACTCAACTCGGCTTGCCCAAGTAGTGGGCGGAGCCAAAGGGAAAATGGGACCCCATACGTATACAATAAGATACCCCCCATATCCATGGGATCAGTATCTGCGGTTTCATGATTCTCGTGGCATCCAAGGCTGTAACTCAGCTTCGGAAACTCGACTCGGCTTGCCCAAGTAGTGGACGGAGCCAAAGGGAAAATGGGACCCCACACATATACAATAAGATCCCCCCATATCCATGGGATCGGTATCTGCGGTTTCACTTATCCGCCAGCTGAAAATATTAAACATATTGAAATAAAAATCCCAGAAATATTGTATTTCTATGGTGTAGTTACCATTATAGCGAGCCAGAACCAGCTGAAAATATTAAACATACTGAAATAAAAACCCCAGAAATATTGTATTTCTACGGTGTAGTTACCATTATAGCGAGCCAGAACCCGGTTATGGATAGGGTTCTCTGTTATCCACGGTTTTCAGGATCCGCGGGGGTCTTATAACAGACCTCCTGCGGATGTTGGGGTCCTACTGTGTCTTCTTCTACGGGTAATAATGGAGCTGTCGGGGAAGCCTTTAGAATGTTGGAGAACAAGGGAAATCCCAGATCCAACAATGGTCCAGAGGAGAGCCTCCATGTTCAAGAGAAGTCTACTGCCGAGGTCCATTGTGACAAACACAGAACAGTGGGATCGCCGATCCCCAATATTCTCTGCATTGGCTTAGCAATGGGCTCTCCGGGACCCTTCTTTGGTGGCGCAAATAGTTCCCCTTAAGCATCATCATCTCCTTTTCTCCAGCGCATCAAGGAAGGCAGCATCATCAACCGCCTGCCCAGTGTGTGCGTCGGCGACAGCATCGAGGCCATCAACGACCAGACCATTGTGGGGTGCCGCCACTATGAAGTCGCCAAGATGCTGCGGGAGATGCCTCGGGCCCAGCCGTTCACCTTGCGCCTCGTCCAGCCCCAGAGAGCCTTTGGTGAGGGGAAGGGGGTGGAGTCCAAGTGGGCAGGGGAAGAGTAGGCGGGGACAAGAAGTGGGTGGAGACAAAGCAGTGGGCGGGGCTTCCCCCAAAGAAAAAATTCCACCAAGCCTGGGGTGGAGGTTAGCCAGGAGAGCCTGACCACCTACTAAACCTCCTTGAGGAAGCATCACAAAGCCCATGGGGCTGTCCCAGAGTTCGGAAAAGTTACTTTGAAAAGTGAACAGTCTCTAGCATCCGCCAGCCAGCCTGCTTGGAATGAGGAAGAAAGATGTGAAATGTTATTATTTTTGTCCCTATATATAAAGATTATTATAATATATGTATTGTAATAAATATATATATAATATGTATTATATGTATTTGTTATATATGTATTGACCACCCATGGCTTGCTGAAAAACGTCTTTAAGGGAACACCTCAGGCTCAGTTTTTCTAGGCCACTGAGATTGGCTATCTCTGCCGATGAGGTAGTCAGGACATCACAAAAGCTATCATTCTGTCTGAAGGCACAGTCAAGGAAATCCAAATTGCTTCTTCTTCTTTTTTCTATCAGCTTTGACTATGAATACTTTGTGTTGTCTACCTAGATGCCCCCCCCCATGTGTTCAGTTCAGGTTCTTCCTCCCAAAGAAATGCATCTAGGTTTGCTTGCTCACAGCTTTATTGACTCTTGTGGAGGGCTCAGCTATTGTAGCAGATTCACTCTTTTTGTGTGTGCTTGATCATTCCTGAGAGACAATTAGTATAGAAATGAAATGGTGTGTGTTATTTCAGCTGTATATTTCTACCGCCTTTATTGTATCTGGAAATGGAGTACCCATGGTTTAAATTGCATGCAAAAGGACCTTAACTCTTGGAAGTTGGGTGCCTTTGGTTTGAACCGTGGACAAAAGCACCCTAACTCTCAGAAGTCATGCGCTTTGGGTTTGGACTAGGGTTAAAAGTACCACAACCCTTGGAAGTTGGGCGCCTTAGGTTTGAATTGCAGACAAAAGCCCTGCAACTCTCAGATGTCATTTTGGGGAAACTGACGTCCAACTGTTTAGGGAAAAAAAAATTCAGAAAAAGGCTGCTGGGGTTCCTGAGGTGACCCCTTTATTTAAGTGACAACGGCGTGTCATGGAGTCAGGTAAAGCACTACAACACCCAGAAATCCTGGCCAGTAGAGCGAGTGCTGAAGGCTGCTGGGAGTTGTAATCCAAGAACATCTGGGGACTACTGAGACCCCTTCCCTTCTTCTCCGATGTTGCAGCTTTTGCCCAAGGCCACACAAGGGCGGCTCTTCTCCCAGGAGGCACACAGTGGGGGGATGTTGCAGCTTTTGCCCAAGGCCACATAGTGGGGGGATTCGAACTCTTAACCTCTGATTCCAAAACCGGAGCTATCCCGCCAGCTCAACCACCCACGTCTTTTTCCTGGGAAAAACTACAACACAAGTTTTTCCCAGCTTTTTTCTCTTTTTTTAAGGATCAGGGAAAAACCTGTAGAAAGAAATGGGTGATAAAAAAAGCTAGACGCTCCCTGAGTTAGAACCCAGGCTATGGAGAAAAAAATGGTTCAGCGTTCGAATCCCCCACCGACCCTCATAAAAGAATGGGTTGTCTTAGTACCTCTTTCTCAAATCTTTTCTGCACCTCCATGAGATCGTTTGAGATTAAATCCCTCAAACGGGGATCAGATTTTACCGAGCCATTTTTCCAGTGGCCAAAAAAAGCTGGCTTTCTGTTTCTCGGAAATTTGGGATTCTCGCATCTCCCCGGAGAATGCGATCTGAAATGTGGCCGCCATACAGGAAGTCAAGACGAGAAGCAGAGGGGAGAGGTGGTCCAGGACATCAGTAAAAAGACATTACTGGGGGTTTTTTTTGGTTTGCTAAAACCGGGATTTCCCAGATGATGCTCTGGGAAAGAGAAGGGCCACCAGAGTCCCATGAGAAATACCTTAAATGACGTAGCCAGCTGGCAGAAAATAAACTGGGGATTTTCTGGGTTGGATTTGATCAGCAATTAAGTACAGGTCTCCAGGGTTTTTCAGAAATCCAGGGTTTTTTTTTCTCATAAAGGCTGTTGGACCAAAAAACAAACAAACAAACAAACAAACAAACAAAAAACAAAAAAACCAGCCAAATGGGTGTGAGTGATTCCAGATTTAACAATTTCACCGCTTTTATGACTTTATACCTGAGTACAACCTGGAGCTTTCTGGTTGTTTATCTGCCTCTTGATACTTCCTTTCCTTCACTGGAGAAAATTGGCTCAGGGAGGAAATTTGGGTTATCAGGATCATCCCGTTTGAACAAGAAGCCCCCAGAAGTGTTTTAGCGCTAAAATGTCAGAATGGATGGTCTGTGAAATGGGCCCTCAGAGCGAGTGCTCTGTTTTTTCCTAAGAAAACATGAATTACATTTTCCTTTTCCTAGGAAAATAATTATAAAGAAAATTTAAGAAATCTTTGCCTTGGTCAGTTGCTTACATCTGCCGAGTTCGTAAGCCAAATCATGGTTTGACGTTTCACGGAACCACAAATGATCAAACTGTGGTTTGTTTGTGGAACGAGGTTGAGGCATCAGAGCAAGACAAACGCTCATAAACCACAACCCTGGCTCATTGTGATGAGAGAAGGGGGGGTGTCAAAACTCTCTTCAGCTCCTGCCTGTTAATTTGATGAATTAATAAATATATCTTTTGGTCTCTTATTCCCCCTCCTGCAGACATGATCAGCCAGCGGACCAGAAGCAACAAAACCCCCAACGAGGGGAAGGTGGCGAGCGGGAGGGAGACGCTCCGGCTGCGTGCAAAGGGAAATGCGACTCTGGAGGAGGCGGTGAGTTGGGCCCGAAGAAGCTTGAAGGTGGCCGGGAAAGGGGAAAACAGCTTTTATCCGTCTGGGAAAGATGATTACCAAGGTAGAAAGAAAAGTCATGTTCAACATACTTGGTAGCTGAGTGTAGATGGTTGACCGGAGAGGAATAATACAGTAGGAACCTACTGGAAAGCCAGTTTCTGTTCTCATTCTCCAGAAAAGCTCCAACATCTGCTGCAGGAAGATGTCTATCCATCATCTCCTGCTGGTCCCTTTAAACTCATCCCCTCCTTTGTCTTCCAGCCAAGCGAGTTCGAGGAAGAAGCCGCCAGCAAAGTCGACGATCTGCTGGAAAGCTACATGGGGATCCGTGACACAGAGCTTGGTGAGTGTGGAGCAGATGTGGCTCCCCACAATTTAATTAATTGTTTTAAAAAATTACATCTTAATGTTCGGCCCGCTTTCCGCAGCGTCCACCATGGTGGAGATGGGCAAGGAGCACCAGAGCCCGGAGGCCTTTGCTCACGGACTGGATCTGCTTCTGGGGGAATTCGCCTTCCCTGAAGAGTTTGTGGTGGAGGTGTGGACGGCGATCAATGAGGCCAGGGCCCCCCGAAGCGCCGAGCCAGCGGAGGGCAGGGAAGGGTAGTCCATTTCTCGCTTGATCACCCCTCTCGTCCCTCCCTCTGTTGTCCACCAACCCCTTTCCCTGATCTAGAATCCCTCCTTCCTATCCTGTCCTTTAAAAGCTTGCCTTATACCATTGGAAAATCCGGGCAATTTCTGCAGGAGAACGTGGGCTGGCTCTTTGGCTTAGTTTTTCCAATTTTCTGCACCGTGTCTTTTTCCTTTCCAAGCATCCCGGGATGGGTCAGAGATTTCTAGGGGAGATGATGAACGGGAAGAAGGGAGGAGACCTCTAGTAGTCTAGTAGAAGTTGGCCAAGAAAGCAGAAATAACATTTCAGCACCACGGACAGCACTCCAGCAATGCAGACGGTGCTCTGGCCCTACCGCTTCCTTCTGGAGAGCAAGGGAGGCCTTCTAGGTATGAATTATTGGGAATTTAAAGAAGACCCTAAACAGTGGATCCCATTGTCACAAAGAGTGAAGGAAAGCAAGAGATCCACCCAGTCGCTGGCCTTTTTGAGACTCCTCCCAGCAATCTGGGGGGGGGGGGCGAGAGATCCACCCAGTCGCTGGAATTTTTGAGACTCTTCCCAGCAATCTGGGGGGTGGGATTTTCAGGATGAGCATTTAAAAATCCATCATTTAGGACGTGCATCAGTGGCTCTTATTTAGCTTTGACCTCCTTTTCCTTCCTTTTCTGAGACACCTTTGAAGGGTCAACATGTCTCCATTTCTCCATTTGAACATACAATTTCCAAAGTAGAATAGATTTTCGAAACCTTACTCACCGTCGCCAAGGTGGGGGTTCTTTAAAACCTAGTTGTGTCTCCAGTTAGCCAAAGATGAGTCAGATAAGGGGATGGTGGTGGGGAACCCCACGTTCCGCTGTTTGGGAAAAAGCAGGTTTCTGCCACATTACAGGGGTGTGTGCGTATATGTATGGCTCGCTCGAACGCGCTTTATTGACCTCTGTTGCTTTGTGGAAGACTATCTCTTTTTTTTTTTGGAAGGAATAAATTGTTATTTTTAAAAACCCGACGAGATTGCTTCTTTCTCTGTTTTATCAACGTGCGTGTGGACACGTTGGGATCGGCAAGATTACTGTTAAAGCCGGGACTTAACAGAGAAGTCAAAAGGGTGGCAGAAAGACAAATCCTTTACCGTCCTCTCTGGATGCATGAAATTGAATTTATCGCTGCTGGCGGCTTGACGCAGGGAGCCTGCCATCTCCTCCTTCATCTAGCTGTTGAAATAAACCTATATTTAATGAGACCCTTAGGATGACATAGGGGTAAACTGCACCTCCCCCACTACTGCCCTGTTTCCAGCATGGAAAAGAGAACAATATTGATCTCTACGGGAGATCAATATTGATCAATATTGATCTTGATCTCTACGGGATCAATATCTGCTGATTCACTTATAGACGTCCAGAAAACAATAAAAATATTAAAAGAAAAATCCTAGAAATATATATATATATTGAAAGATGAAGTTACCAGAACTGGCCCTCTAGAGGGAGCCGGAGACCATGCCATGTATAGTTTTTGCTATTATCCACATTTTTCAGCATCCACGGGGGAAACTGATCCCCCCCCCCGAGACATGGGCCTTACTGTATTTTCTTGCCTGCTGTTGCCAGTTGTGGGGCTACATTGGGTGGAAGGAGAAGAAATTATCCCCTCCCTTAAGCCGGATTCTGCTCCTTTGTGGCCAGCTGGTTATTGGCTGGATATTGTCAGGTGCTTTTAGAAAGGAGGGGACAGGGTAAAAGTGGGGGAAGGTGAACGCTGGACTAGGAAAAGAGGTGCCACAGAGTTTTAAAAGGTGGAAGACACATGGAGATCTTCCACCCCAGAAACCATGAAGTCTCTGTTTCAAGCTGTTTAGCCTGTCACTTCCAGTGGCGGTCTGTTCCTCTGGCAAACAACTCCAGCCTTTAACCAGGTTTCTCTTTGTGGTTTCTTGCCTGCCCTGCAGGCTTCTGGTCAATATACAATCCACTTTTTCCCCCTTCCCACCACCTCCAGTAGGCCACGGGGAAGCGGCGCCCCCCCCAAACGAAGCAAAACTCTGCTCACCCCTCGAATAATGACCATCGCAAAGTAGAAAAAGGCTGGCCCTAGCAGGGCAGCAGACTCAGGCACACGACACCCTCCCGATTTATTAACACAACGATCATGCATACATTTTCCGCGTACATCGGAATAAACCTCGTCCAGCATTGTGGGTTCTCAATAAAACAGATCCGTTCTCTGACAGGATCGGTTGAGACGTCATAAACAGCTCATGCAGGGTTTGGGGGAAGCCGGGGACTCCAGTTCCAGAGGGTCCATTAATCCATTTCGCATTTTCCATTGCTGTGTCACAAGAGTTATCCAAGTCCTGGAGGTCAATTTGAGGTTTGGTTTCAGCACCCTAGACAGTTCCTACAGCGCTCAGGCTGAATCCTGGCATGGACTCTCCGCATTCTTGAAACTGGAGTCTGCGGCTGCCCCTTGACATGCAGGATCACGGGCAAGGCCCAGTGCTAGCATAGGTGGGAAGGGGGATTCTGGGTTTTGTAGTCCATAAACTAACTTTCCCGAGCTTGGACATGGGATAAAACTTGCACAAATCTTCACACAAAGGTTTCTCCCCCGCACCTTGCACCTGGTTCCAATCTCCGGCTTAAAGCAGTGAGTGGTACGACAAAGCCAAGCTGCGGCCCCCGTTGCTCTAACCACTAGCCCTTCCTATCCCTCGCTCGTCACCCCATGCATGGAAAACTAAACCAAACCAAACCAAAGCAAACACGGGCATTTTCTACTGCAGCACAGACTCCTGGGTGAATTTCCGGCGCAGTGAAGGGTTGATCATGGGGTACAGAGAGATGATGGAGGGTCTTGGCTTAAAGCTGGGATAGATGCGCCTCAGGACCGCCCGACGGAACAGGATGTAAACCCAGGGGTCAAGGATCTGGTTCCACGTCGCGGCCCGCAGGCAGATAAGCAGCTTCTTCTCCGTTTCCCGGGAAATCTCGTTGGGGGCCAACCCGCTTGGAGCGTCCTGAAGAACCGTCTGGGCGATGAGGATCTGGAACAGATTATCGAGGGAGAAAGACAACCACATTTTTTTTACTTTATGGCAAGGGGAAAAAAAGACAGCTAATGATTTAACATTGTATTGTCCCTCTTTCTGAAGCTGAACCAAGTTGGTGATTAATGCGTTAAAAATGGGAGCCGTTCCTGGGAACCAGTTAGCTTTTCGGGGAATAAGAAAATGTTTAACAAATGCACAAGTGTTTCAAAAGGAATGTCAAGGAACAGAATTCTTTCATGGCGAAATTGAGTAATGTCTCTGAGTTACTTTCCAAGTTTTATCTTTAAAACGTGCTTTTAAGGATTTCTTTGAAGCTGGGGCGGGGGGGGAAGGAGGGACAGATATTAATAAAAATGCAACAGGCAGTACAAGAAGGTGATTTAAGTTATTTTGACTTCAAATCGCAAGCATCTGATACTCTGGCCGAAACTGTGGCGGGGGGTTTTGAAGGCACAAAAAAAATTCCATCAAGCTGTATAACACAAAGTAGGAAAGTCAAAGTCGTATGAAAATGATGTAAGTGTGCAGATACATAAGCTATCACACCCTCCTTTCCTATATTGGCAGTAGGACCCCCTTATCTGTGGGATCAATATATGCTGATTTGCTTATCCGCAGTCTGAGAATATTAAAAGTTTAAAAGAAAAATCTTAGAAATAATTTTTAATGATGAAGTTGCCAGAATTGGACACTAGAGGGAGACAGAGACCATGCGATGTGCAGAGTTTGTTATTAAAATAGCGTTTTGTGTTTTTCAGCATCTGTTTTTGGGGCTTGGAACCAATCCCCCACAGATACAGGGTTTCTACACTAATAGGAACATAGTGTTGAGATTTAGCATCAAACAGCACTCTGTGAGGGTGATTCCCCATCTTGGATAATCCTTGCAAAGCAATTCCAAAACCCGGAACGGATTCTCAGCACCCTTGGAAGGGGAGTCACCAGCTGGAAGAGAAAGAAGGAAAGAAAGGTGCCTTGAACCACTCACCAGCAGGGGGAGCCAGCAGACACTGGCCACCAACATGATGCCCACCAGCTGGACCATCATCTCTACCTCACTGTCCCGCCGGCGCTGGACAGATTCGGCATCGTGGTAGAGCCGGCAGAGGGCCACCACACTGATGGTGTTGAGCAGGAAAGAGAGGCCCACGCAGAACATGCCCAGCAGGGCGAAGAGCAGGCTGAAGGCCACGTTCCGTGGATCGTGAAGCAAGGTGAGGAAACACCAGGAGTTAGGATATTGCAAGGTGTATTCGCCCAGGCCGAGAAAGGGGAGGAGGGCGAGGCAGAAGCCTACGGCCCACACCGCAGACACCAGGGTCCACGCTCGGCGCTTGGACATGCTGATGGAGTGGGAGAAGGGTCGGTAAATGCCCAGGAAGCGCTCCCCGGCCATGGTGGCGCTCAGGAGCAATGGGCACTGGCCGAAGAAGACCATGGCGAAGCCCATGAAGCCGCAGAGGTGGCACCCGGGGTCGACGCGCCGCCAGTCGAAGCGGAGGAAGTGGTAGGGGACCACCACCGAGAAGGTCACCAGCAGCCCCATGAAGTCGGTGGCCACCAGGCCACAGAGGAAGACCAGGAAGGAGGAACGGGAGCGGCTGTGCATTCTCCGGGAGGCGCTGACCAGCACGCAGAGGGCGAAGAGGTTGGAACCAAGGCCGATGATCCCAAAGACGGTGGAGAACCACGGCGAGGCGATGTCGCCCTTGTGCTCCTCGGTGCCGTTGGCACCCCGGAAGCAAGAGCCGAGGCGCCTGCTGTCGCTAGAGGGGGCGGTGGCCGTAGTAGTGCCGCTGCCGACATTTCCCGGCTCCAGGAGGGCCGGCGTTCCGTCCCACATCTTCAGCTCCCAGTTCTAAGATAGCCACCCTCAGGGAGAACCCACAGAGCAGGGCCTCGGGAGGCCGACACCTGAAGACATCGGGGGGAGCTGCGGCCCAGGTTGAGCTCCTCCCATCCTGCCGTGGATCAGGCGTCGCTCAGCTTGCTCTACAAGGCTAGAACGAGAGGGAAAGCAACGGTGAGATATCGGGTAAATCTAGTGGTAGTCAACACCCCGTCTTTTCTTCTCCACTCAGATGTTGGGTCTCCTAATGGCTACCTAGCCCTTCTTATCTTTCTCCCCCGCCATTCTCTCACGAAGGGGTGCAAGGCAGCTTAGAACAATTACTTGAAACGTGGCAGCCCTAAACTAAAACTCATAACACTTGAGCATTATTATGACATTTAATGCTTTTTAAGGCATCGTAATCATTTATTATTGGACGCTTCATGTTCTCTTTTTCATATCATAGTACTCCCCCGTATCCGCGGGAATCAGTATCCGCTGAATCACTGCTCCAGAGTCTGAAAATATTAAAAGAAACAGTGACGGAAATATATATTTGCAATGATGAAGTTACTAGAACTGGCCACCAGAGGGGGCTAGGGACCATGCTATGTATAGCATTCACTATTAAAATAGCGTTCACTATTATCCACGGTTTTACACATCCGCAGGGCGAGGCTTCAAATCCATCCCCTGCAGATATGGGGGTCCTACTGGGTTGTAAGCTGTCTTGGATCCTTCAAGGGAAAGGAAGCATATAACTATTTTAAATAGAGTAGAGTAGAGTAGAGTAGAGTAGAGTAGAGTAGAGTAGAGTAGAGTAGAGTAGAGTAGAGTAGGGTTGGGTTGGGTTGGGTTGGGTTCACTTGAACTGAATTAGCAAGCAAACAGACTATGGCTCCTAAAATCCATATTCACCTTTGTCATGGCTTCTGTTTCCTCGCTCTCTTTATCATTTGCCCTTACATGCCCACTCAAGACAAGAGTCTGAGGCTGGGAGTTCTATAGGACCAAGATCGAGGCAAGGCCCTGGTCCTCCATGGAGGGGGCCCTGAGTTCGAAATGGGACACTCCCCACTTTTTTCCAAACTCCCCTCCCCCTCCATGCCGGGATGGGGTGACCCTTGGCCTCCGAAACTCGGAAGGGGTTTGTCCCTCACCCTTTTGCCTTTTCAGCTTGTAGCAGGGGAAGAAGAACAGAACGCAAGAGAAATTTTCCCAGTAAGCTCGCTGGCGCAGGTGGGAAAAAGCGGCAGTGGGGTAGAGAAGAAGCAGCTCTGGAGAAGACACTGTGCAAAAAAGGCGCAACCATGGAACGACGTCAGGGCACCTCTGGCAGCTGAGATGTGTGAGAGAGACTTCGCTAAATAATACGAAGAGAAAAACGAGGGATTATGATCCTGGCACAGATTTTCGTCCCCATGGCTTGGCTCGGAGACGGCAAGGAAGCCTGGAATCCAGATTGCAGCCAAACTGTCCATTTCGAGAGTGAAGGATGGAAGGCCTTTCTCTTTATGGTCTTATAAGGGGAAACGTGATACAGGAGGAAAACGGCAGTGAGGAGCTGCTCCTTTTTAAGCCAACGACTGGATTCAGGGGACGAAACAGCCTGAATAGATGTTTGGAGGCCACTGAGATGTTTAAGGAAGGGTTTGCCCACTTCCACACACACACCCGGATCATCTCTGGCTGTGTGGGGATTCGAACTCAAGCCTCCGAGTCCTCGTCCCTCCCTCTCTCCACGTCCTCAGCCCGGGAACCCAAAGAAATGCCACCAAACTACAAATCCCAGTGTCCTTCAGCACAGTCCAGTTCCTTGTGGCCAGCCTAATAGGATTTTCAAGGTACGCAAAATATCTACAGTGAGTTGTCAGGATTTGAACCAGGTCCCCTGAGTCCCAAGACACTGCTCTAACCACTGCATCCTACCAGATCTCACAAAGCAGGACCAAAAGGAGCGTCCCACAATTTCAGACTGATTGGGTCCTTTTAAGGAGAACGACAGGGTAAAAATATTTAAAATAAATAGATGATCTTATTTATTGGGGGGAAGGGAGACGGCCGGTCCATTTTGGCGATCTCACTCCATCCAAGCGATGAGTGTTTTCTTGGACAAATTCTGGGAAGTTCTGAGAAGTTTGGGGTCATCCTTCCTTAAGAGGGTGAGATGCTTATTCGCTGAGATCCCCACCCACAGATGGGACTTCGCATCTGCCTCTCGTTACCCTCGAGCCGTAAATCTCCCAGTTCGTCAGAAAGAAAAAATGCCCGTCTTTCCGGCAACCAACGCAATAAGGGGGCCGATGACCCACAGCCGCTCTTGAAGGCGTGACCCTATTTCCCCAGGGAAGAAACAGAAGCTGGCCGGATGGATTCGAGAAAGAAAATTCGAGAAGAGTTGGAGGCTGTCCGCTGGAACCGTGCCATATATATATGAACCCCAAAAAGAAGCTTGCCCTCAACAAACCCCAAAACGGAACCATGCCCTAGAGTAACCCCGAAAGGAAAAATCTAAATTACAAGACCGTCAGCTCAGGATTTGCTCCAGCAAAGCCAGGGAAAAATATGATGAAGGATGACGTAGTCTAGGATCTTAAAAGGGGGAAATGGAATTAAACTACAGTTCCCATCCTCCACGACCACACCCCCTGCGGCTTGGATGCCTAACAGCTTCCAAGGGCATTATAGCACCTGAAGTGGTTCTTCGTGAGCTTCCCTGGCCGAGGGGGGATTCGAACCCAGGCCTCTCAAGGCTCTCATTCCTGCCTAGCAGATGCAGAGATGAACGGGGTGTTCTTGCTTCCCTCGGTCGGGACACACCGAGGCAGCTATGAACGGCATTTACTCTCTTTTTTTCCCCCTACCACGGAGGGCGAATCTAGAGGAGAGGGTGTGCGTTTCGGGTTTGTGTCCGAACTTGACAGGAACTCTGAGACGTTGCCCTTGAGACGACGCCTTCACGACGCCAAGATTTCAGTTAAGACAAAGAAAAATGAACGCGAAGCACAGAGGGAGATTAATTGAATCTCTGAAGGGCTGGCGATCAGGAGGCATCGCGTTATTGGGGTTAACATTTAGCCGGCGGGTATAGGACTCCAGAGACCTGGGTTCGAATCTCCCGTCGACCACGGGAATTCATTTTGCAGGCCCTGCGAGGTTTTCACCGTGCTTCGATTCCTTTTAGGTTTCGTCCACTCCAGAAGTAAAGCCCACGTATGGGAAGTTTCATCAGTCCATTTGTCTCCATCTGGCACGTTCAAGCTTATCCAGAAAGCCATAAAAGCAGTTGTTTTTTTATTATTATTATTATTATTTGTGGTGTTTTTTGTTTGTTTGTTTTTGCAGCAAACTTCATGGGCCCCTCCTGCCTGGTTAAGGCCTTTTAGATCTCAGAAAGGGCACACATCTGTTGCACAGCTGGCCGGAGGATGGTGTGTCAGCTGAGATCCTCCTCTAAAAAAGGTTCACAGATTCCCAGAAAACCAGCCCTCCTGGATGGCGTCAGTGCAGGCCATGCTCGGCTCACGCGGAGGATGATTTCGGGTGTCATAATTCAACTCCCCCCGCCCCGGCTAGACTCCAAACAATTTTGCCCCCCCACAAAAGCAGCCAAGTTACCCTAAGAACGAGAGTTTTGTGGACAGATGGACTACAAACCCCATGTTGCCTCCTCCCCCCTGCCCCTTGATGACATGGGATCTGTAGTCCAAGGACCTGGGCACCAAAGAGGGGGGAAAAATCTCAGTCCTGCTTTAAGGGTGCCTCGGATTTTGGCCCATCGTGGTTAGGATGCTGGGTCCCCATTTGGCTGTGAAGCACCTGGGGGCCCTGAGTTCGAATCTATATCTGAGGAGGAAGTTTTTCCCGGTGACTCCAGGTGGGTTGCTTTTTCTCCTCATCACCTACCTCAAAGGGCTGTAGGAAGCAGAAGCACAGAGAAACTTTGGGTCGCCGATTCTAGAATTCAGAGGCACCCTGGAGGTCATCTATTCTTACCCTCTGCACAGTGCTCGGGTTTTCTCACAGCACCCTAGACACACAATCAACCCGTTTCTCCTTAAATACCACCGGCCAGAGGAGAACCGAGAACCACCCAAAGCCCTCCGTTCCATCGTCCACAGCTCCTTACCTTCACCACGTTTCACTTAATGGCTAGCCCAAATCCGCTCCCCCGCTCACTTCCGCCCTTCGGCTCCCGTCTTGCCAGCTGGAGAAACTGAGAATGAATTTGTCCTCAATAACAGCGTTTTCTGGTTTTCGGAGGCTACAACCCTGTTCGCCTCGCCTCCCTATCCCTTTACATAAAAAATGGGAAACTTTTCTTGCCGTTCTGAGTTCGGCTTCTCTCTCTCTCTCTCTCTCTCTCTCTCACACACACACACACACACACATACACACACACACACACACACACAGAGAGAGAGATCTCTCACACACACACACATACACACACACACACACACACACACACACACACACACACACACACAGAGCAAACCCGTATTTCTCTCAGCCCCGGGATGGCCCTCGAATGCAGGGTTTGTCCAGCGAACGAGGCCCTAGCAGGATGGAACCGGTCAAAAAGAAAAACTCTACCCCTATTACATTCCCAGATTTTAAGACGTGAAGGGACAACTCTCGAGAGGATCGGAAAATGTGCCAAACCAGGCTAAATGATCGTGACCCTTTCCTCTCTAAATGTTGCTCTTGAGTTGTCCGTCTTCCCACAGATTTAAAAATAATCCTGAATCATAGGGGTTATTTTATAATAAGACCAACCTACTTTCCGCAGCTGATTTTACAAGGAAATTTTTAACATCTTCTTTGACTTCACTATTCCACAACAGAAACACAGCCCCTTTCTCATCCGAAACCCCCAAATTTATGTCCCGAATATCACAGGCCCCTAAATGCATCCCCTCCGTCTGAGTTGCTCGGTCTTCGGCGTCTCCCTTTCTCCACAACACCCTAAGCCTTTCCCTGGTTTAAAAATAAAGCAGGCATTTCCTGGGGGTGGGGGGAAGGAAAATTAAAATCTGACGGTGGCGTGGGACTCACGAGTGACCGGGCCATCCACCGTGGGCGGCGAATCTCAAATTTATGTTTTTTAAAAACGCCGTCGCGTGGCTGATGGCTTCCCCACCCGAATCTTGAAAATAATAAACCTCTAGGATGGATAACAGAAGGGCCACCCAAAGGGTGGAGCCAGGATGGGCCAAAAGAGAGAGAGAGAGAGAGACGTGCAAAAAGCTTCGCAATTAGAAGTGGAGCCGCCTTAAAAAGCAAAAGGATGATGGATTACCCTCCACCCACCCACCCTGTTTTGCAAGCACAGGATGGTGGAAATCAGCTCGTTTTTACAGGCCGACTAGACACGGGGAGTGAAATGCCAGGGGATTCGTTCTGCAAGGAATAATTTCCATAAAAAGGCTATTCATTTACTGTATAGCCGAAATATATTTCATTTATAGCCGGAATGACTTTGGAGTTGGGAGGTAGACTCAGGAATTCCCTCTTATCAGAGCTTATCAGATGCTTGGACTGCATTTCCAACCCAGACCCAAACCAGAGGCCGTGCAAAGCCTTATCGGGAGGTCTCTTAAGGTGAAATCCTGCAAACTCCTCCGTTATTCATAGCAAAGGAATTTCGGCTACTCCACGTACACCCTGGTTTTGAACATTTCCCCACAGCAAAACCGATCGGCTCTTCCCCGTCTCGGCCTCAGGGATGGCCCAACTGAAAGGCAGAGCGAGGGGGACTTGCCTCAGGCGGAAAAATTTATTGGGTGGCTCTGGGCTGTCTTTTGCCTGGAGCAATTACTCAGGGAGATGAAATTCCGTCTGTAATTTCTTGAATGCAAGGAATGTTACTGTTTTGCTTTGGAGTGCCAGCAGACGACCCCGGGCTGGGACCCAAGGAGCAAAATGACCTTGTAATGGAGCAGCGGAAAGGTTCTTATTTATGTATTTCTAAAGAAGACAGCCCAAATTTCCAAAGAAGATAGCCCAAAACTCAGAAAGTTACTTTTGAGTAGTAGCTAGTTACAGTTACAGTAGTTTGAAAGCAGTGACTGAAGTCTCTTTGCTGCCTGAGAAGTACTTAGTTAAAGCTGGCTGGCTTTGTTCAGGAAGTAATTGATGACCATGGCTTCTTCCATTTTAACTGCAATAACTCTTTTCCTTTCCCTGTTTCTCAAAAGTAATTAAAAGGTTTGCTTTAAAACTAAACAAAACAATCCCTTAAAACAAAACCTAATAGCCCAATGCTGCAAAACCACTGGAAGGAAGATGAAGCATGTAGACAGGGGATGGATAAGGGAATGGATAGCTAAGAGAAGCAAGTATCAAGTTTTTCTGCCCTGAGAAAGGGGTTGGTCTAAATGACCTCTAGGTTTACCCCATATGTCTATCGTCTGTGCTTCTGGGGCAACCCAAATGGAAAATATTGGGCAATAAAGAGGGAAGGAAAAAAATACAGCATCTACCTTTTTTTAAAATGAATGATTCAAAATACACTTCAAGAAAAAGGTGTCTTTCCTGTTTTCCCTCCAGAGATGCCATTTCTTCAAAGCTGCTGGGGCCAATCCCAAAAGCAAAACAAGGTGATCCTGGATTATCATGAACAGAGGTCTTTTTTTCCCCTCTTAAGTCACCAGTGCTTCCAACTGGATAGCCCAGTTTGAGCCTCGGAAAGCCAGAGGCACAGCTTTTCCAGCTTTCCCCCTTCCGCATGATCATCATTTTCGAAAGCAGTCTATCTTAGTTCACAGTGCTGTATGCATTTGTGTCCGTGTGTGTGTGTGTGTGTGTATTTGTCCGATCATGGCATGTTTTGACAACAAACCAGTGACGGATTGGGTGTTTTTGCTTCCCGGTCCGAGATCGAATCCAGCCCAGTTCCCATCAACATCAAAACCTTGAGAACAGTGTGGTCTTTACTGGCACCTCCTTCTACAAATACATCTAAAAATCACCCCCTTTGGCCCATGCAAACTGGGCGGGCTAAACATTTAAAATCTGACCCTCGGCGTGTCTCCGGAGAGATCTTTTGCGCATTGTATATATAAAGTTTAGACCCAAGCTGAGTAACAACTGACAGACTCTCCCAAATATTTAGAGACCGGGGAGCTAAGCAGACAACCGAAAGAGTTATTTATTTATTTTGGCTGAGCAAAGGAGCCTCATAAATGGATGCCTATATTCAGCCACCGAACTCAGAGCTGACAGCCTACCGAGCACAGTGAGAGACTAGGGAGGCGAGGCACTAAAAGGCGCATTATTTTACATTTTGACCAACTTAAAAGGATCTGGGGGCCTGGGGACCAGTCTCTGTACAAGACCCCCAAAATCCCACCGGTTGGCATTTTGCAATCCTTCCCCCCCCTTCTCGTGTAATGCACCCGAGTCCCTTTCCCTGCACATTTGATATATATCAAATCTCAAATATATATATATAATATAAATCTCAAATATATATATTTGAGATTTGGGGCTATTTTCTGATCCACCCTAAATTTAGTTCTTTAGTTCCTGCCCCCCCCCACAAGGAAATGAAAAGTAATGCCACCCAAAAGGAAGGAAGGAAGGAAGGAGATGATGAATGGAAGAAAGGAAGGAAGGAAGGAGATGATGAATGGAAGAAAGGAAGGAAGGAAGGAGATGATGAATGGAAGGAAGGAAGGAAGGAAGGAAGGAAGGAAGGAAGGAAGGAAGGATCCTTTCATTGTGTTTCTCTACCCCACGGAACCACAATGCCAATATCAGGAACTTGGGGATCTAATTAAACCCCCCAGCATATATCTTACAAGCCTTACGTCCAACTCCTGAGCATGAGAGTAAGAGTGAATAAGATATCATCATGGTGGCAAACCTTTTGAAAAATGTAAGGTTGCCGCCCACTTTCTTTTCCTCGATTGATTTACTGGTTGATTTCATTTTTATGCCTCCTTTTTCTCCACAAAACGACCCTTAAAAGGAAGTAGAAAAGCACAATTTTTGAAAGCCCTTTCCCGCACGGAAAGCGAAGCCCGTCCTTTCCCCGAAACCCGGCGGCCGGTTTAAAACGGGTCGGGTGGAAAGGAAGCTTCCCCCCCCCCCTCTTTCCTTCCCCAATTCTTCCCTCGCCTCCCCTCTTGGCCTCCTGGATCTCCAGGTCTGCGGGACGGGGGGGGTCTTCCCCCCCTTCCTCCCTTGGGATCGATCCTGGCCTGATCAGGAGCCTCCCCCTGAGCCAAAAAAAAAGAGGGGGGGGGGAAATCCCTTCTGGCTCTTACCTGCTGATCCAGAGTCGGTCTGCGCTGGGAGGGAGAAGCGGTGGGAACTCCGATCCTGGGCTGGTGGAGAAAGAGAGGAAAGATGAGGAGTGGGTGGAGAAAAAGGAGGAACCCTGAAATGGGGGGGGGGATTTTATATATATATTGATGGATAGGCGGGGGTTTAAGCCCTGGGAGGCAGGAGGAACAGAGTCTGGAGGATGGGATGAGGATGGCTGATAAGTAAGGGTCACCTCGGGGCATGGGGGGGGGGAGAGAAAGCATCTCCCCCAGGGTGGAGGGATTTCCCCCCCCCCAACCTCACGCCTTCTCCGCCTCCATCAGAAGCCTGGGAATGGACTTAAGGGATGGGGAAATGAATCATGGAGGAAGCAGGGAAGAGGCCCCACCGGATCCCCAAGGAGAGACCCCCAGGATGTGTCATGCCTAAAAGGGCGGTTCCCACCACCACCAACCCCCTGCATCATGCGCTGGGTTGCATCCAAGCAGGCGGTGCGCACGGTTCAGGCCGCTGTGAATGTCTTAGGTGCCATCCTGGCCACCCCGGGAACCAGCGCTCTCCGAAATGTCCCGTCTTCCACCGCCCGGCTCGGCTCTTGCAAACTCAAAAGTCGTGGTTTCTTTGAAGGGATTCATCCCTCTCATTGGGGGGCAGGTCCTCATTCCCTGTTGGTTTCTTCCTTTTCCAGCAGGATGGTGTTTCCTGCCTTCTCGCGATGGGCCCGAAGGAAGACTGGCCTCTATTTTTGTCCTTTTTTGTCCCCGGAAAGAATCCAGTCTTGAAATCCCTCTCCATGGGGTCGGCCATGTTTGGGTCGTAAGGCCCGAGCATTCGCCCGAGACTCGAGGCCCTTCTCTGGGTTTCCAGTCCAAAGTCCCAAGGAGCGGGGTGCTGCTTGGTTTAGGAGCACTCCCTTACAGCTTCAGGGTACACCATTGAGACATGCTCAGATGCACCCTTGCTGGTTTCAGGACGGCTCACGAAAGATGCTGGAATTCGCACAAGGAGCTTCAAATTCACCCTCTAATTCTGAATTTGCTATTTCCTTCATTTCCAGGAGACGACCTAAAATCATTTGGTGGTTTGTTTGGGGTTTTTGTTGTTGTTGTTGTTGTTAAAACAAGATGTTTATGGGGGCTCCTTGTTATATACAGCAGAGTTATTCCTGCAGAAGTGTGGATTTCTTTTCCTGGGGCGTTCCTATTCGCTCCCCCCCCCAAAAAAGGAGGTGATTTTTCTTTTCTTTTTTTCCCTTTTAGGGACTCTGGAGGGCACCGAGAAGGGGAACCAGCTTTGCCTTAATTGTTTTCAACTTCTTTCCCACCCCTTCATTTACAAACGAACATTAGAGAAACTTGAAAGCGTCATTATCACCTCATTTTTCATCCTACACAAGGGCTTGCCTCTATTTAGCCTGTGGAACTCACGGTCTCGTCCTGTTCCATATTGTTAAACCCAGTTCTTCCCCCCCACTCCCCCCCAAAAAAGCATTAGGGGTGATTTTTTTTCTTTACTTTCATTTGCTTAAAATTAATTTTGATGAAAATACTTTTTTTAAACCCTAAAAGTAAGATAGAATGCAGTTTTTTAAGAAAGGAGGCATGGGGGGGGAGAATCACAACCATAACAAAGGCGAAAATTAAGTGGTGCCATAATGGGAGCTGATTCAATTAAATCTCCATTAAGAACCAATTAAATACGAATTAAATGAGGTAGAAAAACGGAGATTTTGGCTCAAACTAGCTGTGTTAACTTATGTTTTGACTGAATAATCCATAAAAGCCCATCATTTCATAACAGGCTGAAGCCTAACTGAAGCCACACTTAGAGAAAGCCAGCTTTTCTCACTTTGGGGCTGGTCTGGAACTGCATGGCTGAAGCGCATAGTGGTTAGAGTGCTGCCCCTCCATTGAGGCAGTGGAGGGTAGCGGTTAGAGTAACCCCCAACCACCAGGTTTCGCCACCTTTCCCAAAGTTATTGGGGATTAGCTACTGGCAGTCCCAAATTGACGCCCTCCCCCAGGTTTGCTGATTGGGGATGATGGAATTTAGAGTTGTAACACCTCCCGAGAGCCCAAGGTTTTTTTGGGAGGGGTGGAATGACTCCTGCACAAAATTCACTGGGTGAGTTATTTTGGCCAACGGGGCTGAATGTTGCACAGGAAAGGAAAACTCTTCCAAAATATCTAACCCTTTAAAAAAAAACACAACCAAACCACAGCCTCATGGGTTTTGTTTGCCACTCACCAGCCGCTTTATTCTCGGCACCGTTGTCCACTCACACTAAATTTTCCACTTAAAAAAACAGAAAATAAACACAGAATCAGACCTAGGCACATCCTTTTTGTGGCAGCCGTCCCCCACAAATCTCCCACCTGAGGCAGCCACCGCACTCGGTCGTATTGTAGGGCCGGCTATTGTTTCCTGACCCTACGGGGTTCGGGCCGTCCTGACTTTTCCGACCGCTCTGACCTTAACTAGGAGTGAGGATGCTGAGATGCTTTGAGCCACGAGTGATCGAAAAGCTCTTTCTTCAAGAAAATAACCTTAAATTCAAATTTTAAGGCTGTTTCCAATCAATTGAGACTTATCTATTTTTGCCTCCTCTAGGGCCAAAATCAGGCTAACTTTCTGAATGTTCCAAAGAAAGAAAGAAAAGAGAGAGTCTCCCCACTGTGTCTCTACGCGAGTCCCGGATCTCTTGACGCAATCTGTTTTCAGAACCGCCGCCTCCAAAATCAGCCTGGTTATGGCAACTTCCAACCTCTGGTTGGGGAGGAACAAGGAGAAGGTCCTTCTCGGGACAAAGGTGGCTGCGTCAGAACGGGTACTCCTTCGGGTTTGCAACTGGGGACAAATCCTCCAGGGAGAAACCGCCCCAAACGTGCATTAACAGCTCTGCGTAAATCCGTGGAGTATCTTACATCTTCCTTTCCAACTTATTTGACACTAAACAGCCTCTTACCAAAAATCTAGCCAAATTTTTTTTTATTTTGCCAAAAACAATAATACAGACAGAAGCGTTTGTTTCATTGAATTAATCTTCCTTTTCCTGTGTCAGGCTTCCTCCTACACTCTGGGATGTTTATGGTGAACTTTAATGGACCGTGTGTATGTGTGGGGGCGCCTTGACCCCAAAAATGCTGGGAGTTTAGCGTTCCAATAAAAACCATCCTTTTTGATGATGTTCGCACCGTCAGCGGCACTTGATTTGAAAGGAGAAATATACCTATTATGCTGTTCCCACCTCTCAAATAATAATTATCATCCTAGAGTTGCAGAGCCGGAAGGGACCCGATGGGTCATCTAGTCCAGCCCCCATCAAGGATGCCCAGCAGGGATTCAAACTCCCAATCCTTAACTCTGCGGCCAGAGACTTAAACCCCATGGCATGTGAGCGACAGAAAGGGGTAGTGGTGGCGGCTTCAGCTCTTCCCCTTCCTCCTGATCCTGAGTTGACCCCGAAGGATCGTAAAAAAGGGATCTATATGAACCGGAAAACGGCGTTCAGGACTCTTTTTCTACTCCGGGGAAGGCTGGGCGGAAATTCCAAAAAAGGAGGGAGAGAAAACCCCAAACCTACAGAGAATGGAGATTCCCTTAGCTTCTGTAAATAACCTTCAGGGGCAGCTGGATTTTGTTTTAATTCAAAAGTGCATTTGGGCTGAAACGTTCGAGAGGTGTGGGTCTGGAAGGGCCATTGAGTCTCGGGGGGTTCCCCGTTCCCCAGAGAGGGGATAATGCAGTTGGAAAGGGGGCCAGCCTGAAATGGCACAGACTGGGCACGGTGACTGTGAACCAAGAGGCCACGGAAGTGGATCAGGTCAAGACGCAGGATGATGGGAAAGGAAAACTTCCCTAAGCAGCTCTTGGACTTTCATCAGATTTAAAATCCTGACGGGTTTGGCCCAATCTCTTATTTCCACCAGCAGGCAGACAGCAGCTAAGAGTCCCCAGGGGGGCAAAAGTCGGCCCTGGTTTCCTATCCAGCAGACTGGCGCAAATTAAGATAAGACAGCTCCTGCGCCTGGAGGTTCCATTGATGCCTTAATAGGCTTTCCTGGCAACAGACTTTGCCGGACCAGAGCAAAGGGGCACCGAATCTAGCATCCAGTTTATGCGAAACGTCTGGAAAAGCCACCAAACTGAACGCTAGAGAGTGCCCCATTTTTAAGAGGAGCAATAGCTTGATCCTAATTGTGGGACTCAGGGATCCCGACTTGGGGGGGTCCTCTCCTAGCCCTCCTCCCCTCCAACGATCTCAAGGTAGCGTCTCCCGGATTCGTTCTGAGCTTCCATGGAGGAGACGAAAAAGGCGTCGAGCCATCCCCAATAAGGCGGATCTCGGAAACGGGTCTGAAACGTGGTTAATGGGAGCACCAGAGGGACTCTTGATCCCATCACTCTCACGGTCTCTTGAGGGGGATGACGCCAACCAGATGGTGTTCCAAGTCACGCCGAGCCCCACCGGGGGGACTGTTTTTAAGAACTTGCGGGAAATCATTTGGAGAGCCTCCCATTACCTCATCCTCGTCCATTTTAGCATTTTTTCTTTTTTAATTCCAACGTTCCATTAAATTTTCAACCCAGTTCCAGTAAATCCATTAAGCAATTAGGAAGAGAGCCGGCTTATTCCTCTGTTTACTTCTCTTGGGCAGAAAACGGACCCACTCAATCCAACGGGAGGTGCGGAAAACAAGGGTTGGAGGCCTGGAGGAACTAACATCTGGACGATCTCATGCTTCTAGGCCTCATGGAGCGAGCGACCGGGTGCCGAGGCCCAGAAAATTGCCGGGTTACACCTCTGAAGGGTGTTTGTGCACTGTTGAATGCTTGGATCGCACGGCGGGTTAGGGATCCACAGGGCCCCTTCCAGCTCTGCAGTTCTAAAATGATGGCAATTATTAAATAAAGGCAAATGGGATTAAAAAGAGATTGATCAATCTGCAGGACTGTGTATTCTAAGGTAGACTGCTCCTGCACCGAGAGGTTCATCAAGACTAGGGAAGCTCAGGGAGGCCACAGGCACCTGGACCCCTCCCTTCCCACCTGGGCAGCCAGTTTCACTGGGTTTAATCCCCCCTCCCCCAGTGGAACTGAGGTTGCAGGATATATTGCTTGCAGACATGGAGGCTTCACTGCTTTGAAAAAAAAATCAGCAAAAGAAAAGAGGAAGAATAACAGCATTCTTGTGGCAGGGAGTTCCACAGTCCCTGACTCAGGCTAATCCACAGAGGCATCCCTAGCAGCAAATCTTTTTAAAATTCCTGGTTGCAATTTATTCCGGGGCCCCCACCTTGTCAGGGAAAAGGAGATAAAATAAGCTTTGACACCCTCCCAAGGGAAAAAAATGTCTTTATTGTGACCAGACCAGTTTTTCCAAGAGACAAAACTCTCTGGATGGATACAGTCTCAAGAAAACAACGGCAAAAAACTGTTGGAATGGGTTTGTATGGAATCCGGAACACAAGACCCAAGAACCTAGGTTTGAGAAGGCTGCCATCTAGTGCCCGAAAAAGGAAATGAACCCCTGGGGGAAAAAATCTACAGGAAGAGGTCAGCGCAATTTTGGATGGGATCCGAGTTCTAATCGCCTACACCAAATCCTTGGACAGAAGAAACGACCCCCTCGACAAGAAACACCGAAAGCGGTTGGAAATCCACCTGGGGGGGGGCGAGGCGCCACCTTGTTTAAAAGAGGCAGCCAAAATCTCCTTATTTTGAATTGGCTTCCCCACCACCACCAAATGCCTCACCCCTCCAGTTCTCCCGGGGCCAAACCCGGGGCAGCCGCTTCACCGCCGGTAACGGTACCGCTTAAAATGGAACCAGAGCTGGAAGATCCCGTTGGCGAACTGGCAGCGGAAGCCGTGGCGGTGCGAGTATTCCCACTCCCGGTTGACGATCTTGAAGGCGATGTCCTCGTAGGGGGGCCCGGCGTGGAAGCGGAGGGTGGCGAAGTCCTTGTTATCTGGGCAGGCCTCGAGGAAGTATTCCGGCGTGGAGCGCTTGTCGATCAGGTCCGGGTAAAAGATGTTAAACTTGTAGCCCTGCACGATCTTGGGCGGAGGGTTGTCGAAATCGTAGTGCGTCTGGTTGTACTTATTCCACTCGAAGCCGGTGTGGACGCGGTTGAAGAAACGGGGCTTCCTCGGGCGGTACTTGTCGGCCCAGAGGTACGCTTTGCCGGTGAGCGGCATCTCCACGCTGAACTGGGCCTCGTCAGCCCCCATGCCTTCCTTGGCGCGGCGGAAAAAAATGTCCTCGGCGCTCTCGGTGGCATCCCCTGCAGAAGGAGAAAAGGACCGGTCGATTTTCCCCACGCCTTCAAACCGGGAACCCCTCGCTCGGCTTTTAAAAACCCGTTTAGCCAGCCCACGTTTCTAAGCCCCACAAAGAGTGGCAGTCGATGAGCAAGGCGGGATGGTGCTTAGAGCGTGATGCCGGGCATGAGAAAAGCCGGGGTTCTGGTTGCCCACGTGTGGACCCACCGTTCCAGGGAATGGAAAGATACGAGCTTTCTTCTATACACTCGCATCAGTGTGGTTCCTGCTGATGGGAAATAATAAGAAGAATCTTACAAATTCTTGACATTCTGGTGCCAGGTCAAAACCTTCCTGTTCCAGAAGGCTTTTAATAGAAATAATATCAACTGTGGGTCCTGGTGGCAATTTTTAGAGTATATACTTTAACAGTATTTTAATCGTTTTAACTTTTTTTTTACTGTATTTTAATTGTTGTAAGCCGCCCAGAGACCTTTGAGTAGTGTGGGTGGCATGCAAGTCAAATCAATCAATCAATCAATCAATCAATGCAGAGCCAGGAAGGACCATAGAGATTATCCAGTCCAGCCCCTCTAAAAGGAGGCCCACGGTGGGATTCGAACTCCCAGCCTCTGGCTCGCCTAAGCCACGGAGTTATCCAGCAGTTCAACAAATAAATAAAGACAGAACGCTTGGAGGTTAAAGGGATAACTTTTGGAAGCTCTGTCTGGCCACCGGATCTCGAGATTAGACGCGGCCGCCTTACCTGTGACCTGAAGCTGCTGCCGGGAGAGCAGGAGGCGCTGGAAGTCCTCATCGGCTTCCACCACATGGGCATCGAACGGCAGCTCGTGGGAGGTCAGCAGTCGCGGGCTGTACTTGCCGGCGTCGTAGTCATCCAAACTCTGCTGGATCAGGTCCTCCTCAATGAGGACCGCCTCCCCTTCCCCTTCAGTTTTGGCTTCGGATTCTGGCTCAGTTCCAGACTCCGCCAGAGAGGGACCAGGCTGGGCCGAGGTGCCCTCTTCGGCTTCTGCCCTGCAGAGAAAGGATGATGGGAAATCAGGAGGATGGAATGGGGTGTGCCTCCAACCTCCATGCCCTTTAAAAAATCCGTATCTTGAATTAAGAAGCAAAACTTAAGACAGGAGAACCCCCTAATCCACAGGATCTGTATCTACCGATTCGCTTATCCATGGTCTGAAAATATTGAAAAAAAATCCCCATAATATACTGTATATTTTTAACCATGAAGTCACCAGAACTGGCCACTAGAGGGAGCCAGAGACCATGCTATGTGTATAATGTTTGCTATTATAAGTGTTCACTATGATGCACGTTTTTCAGCATCCGCAGGGGGAGCTTAGAATGGATCATATGGGGTTAGTCCATCATTCGTTCTCTGCCTCCTTTACTGAAGGAGTGGGGGAAAATGCCATCAGCCACCCCAAATTCCTAGATAAAGAGCTAAGGAACCCAGCGGTTCAAACTAAATTGCTCGGAATTCTTGAACATTAAGTCCGGCGGATCTGGAAGATCACGTCTCTCATTTCTGCATCATCCCACTTAGTGCTTAATTCTTCCTTCCTTCCTCCCCCAATCTCTGCCTTAAACTGTAAGCGGCTCGGAGCAGGGAACGGAGCCTCAAGAAAGCAGATCACCTCCGTCAACACCTGACCTTTGTACCAATATCAATGCTCCCCCCCACCCAAAAAAAAGGTTTCAAATTTCTCCAGGGTTTCGAGAAAAAGGCAGGGTGTGTATTATTCGTTAGAAAAATAAACCATTTTATTCCAGTGGAACAAGACTGCGCGGGCTGGGACCCGTGGGTCCACCCTAGAAATTCAGCGTAGGACGGCAGAATGGCATAGCAGTGAGAGCCCCAGGCTGGCATGTGGGCCATCTGACTCCTCGCATACACGGGTCAATAAATCCTGGCAGACCTGAGTACGAGAAGAAACTGCAGGGGTCTTCTCGGTTGCGGCCCCTCTGCTTCTGAATGAGCACAACTCACAGATTGAGGGGGGGGAAATAACACCCGGATCCGGACCTCTTACCTCTTGCTGCAGCTCTCGCCGGGAGAGGACGGCTCTTTCTTGATGATGGGGAACAGCGGCTCACTCTCCACCCCCTGCTCCTGCTTCAGCTTGTACAGTTTCTGGCGTAGGACATCTTGATGCCGCTCCCGTAGCCTACGAGCCGTGGGGGAAGAAGAATAGAGGAGGGTTAGTAGGAGCACCCGAGGCGTCCTCCACCGATCTCTAAGCCAGCTTTTACACTTAGACGGATTCACGCCAGAAAATGGCTCAAACTCCCCAGCCCTGCTTTGCGGCTGTTTTTTCCCCAGCCGGGAGCGGCCCCCTTTACCTCGCCCGCGCCATGTAGGCCTTGAGTTGCTGCAGCAGGCTCTCCCAGTAACCGATGTCGAGGTTGGGACCCCCGGCCAGGATCCTGCCCTCAATCCCCTGGTAAATGACCTGGAGCTGATTGTAGGTCTTCCCCTTGAAGACTGACTGGACGTCGGCACTGACCGAGGCGTTCACGCCTTCCCGACGCTCGCCTGCGGGAGACAAATGGGGGGGAAGAGAGGCCGTGAGCACCAGTCATAGGTGCTTCGCTCCTCCAGCTGCGTCCACGGCTCGTGCTCTGTGGAGAAATGCTGCTTACCCGGCCCTTTCCCGAAGGCTTCCAGTTTCCGTAGCTTGGCGATCTCGTCTTCCGTGATAATGGTCATGTCCCTCCAGAAATCCACGTTCTTCCCTTGCTCCAGCTCCATGTAAACCTGAAACACAGGAGAGGGGTGTTTTAGCAGCTGAGCCAAAAAGGAGCTTTATGACTCACAAGGTGTCGTGAAACGGCAAGGGCCCCCATATCCGTGGGATCGGTATCCACTGTTTCTGAAAATATAACTCAGAAATACAGTACACATTTCCAGGATGTAATTCCCAGAACCGGCCACTTGAGGGAAACAGAGACTGTGCTATGGATAGAGCGAACTATTATCCACAGTTTTTGCATCCGCAGGGGGGGGGGCTGGAGATGAATCTCCCACGGATCCAGGGGTTCTACTGTCCCTTAATCAGGAAGGACAACGTAACCAGCCAGATCTCATGGAGATGCAAAAATTAAAGCAATGGGCAAGGGAAACAGTAAACAAAATAAACCATCGTGTAAGTTAGATACGCTCAGAATTTCAAGAAAAGAGACATCCCCTCCCCGCAGAAGCACCTGGATGTCTTCCAGAAGGTCCTCCATGTCCGAGACAGTGAGTCCATTCAGAAATGTGTACGGCTCATGCATTTCCACCGCCAGATCATCGTCTTCAGCACTGATGTATTTTGCCAGGAGGTCGATGGGCTTGGCGCGCCCGTCCCGAATCCTGATTTTGGAGCTGCCGAAGCAAGCGAAGGAGGGGAATAATCAGGAAAGAGGGGAGAAGGTTCATCCCAAGCGGTCCGGGAAGGCAGGAGACCCTCAGAGTTCCCCCTCCTAGGGTCTCGAATGGGGCTCGCCAGCCCCTCTTGAACTGCCTTTCCTGCTCACCGTAGCTTGGCCTGCTGGAGGTGAAAATTATCTTCCTGCTCTTCCCAGGTTTTGAAATGCTCTGCTTCTTTCTCCCGCTGAAGCATCTCAAGTTCTTGCTCCCGCATGGCCTTCTCGCGCTCCCGTTCCAGCCGCAGCTGCTTCACCTGATAAGATGCCAGAGAGAAGCAGAGAGACTCAGCAGAGAAGCGGAACAAGAAAGATCTCGGGTTGGCTTCCGACCCCTTCGGAAACCCGACGCCTCAAGTCTGATCCTGACTCAAATTCCAATTTATCTTTACAACTCCCCCCCCCCCAAAGCTGGGGAAGACCGTCTGGAAGTGTCCCGGTGTGATTCGGTGAGAACTAGCACCTTTGTCTCCCCAGGGAAAACACAGCCAAGCCTTTCAACCGTACCTCACCGGACTCCCTTGGTTTCCAGGTGAAGAAAAACTGGCTGTCCTCATGATTTTCCCTTGGGAAAGACATTCTGCACATGGCCAGAGATGGCCTGCAGATACCAGATGGAAAATGTCCCCCTTCTTTGCCAATTTTTGGGGGAGAACTTACCTTCTGGAGCTCCAGCCGGTTATCCTCTTGAATCTGCTTGTTCCGTTCTTTAAGTTCCTTCTCGGCCAGGTGGCCGATCCCCTTTTTCTCCAAAGCCTGAAAGCAATCAGAAGAGTTCATGGGGCTTCAAACCCAGATAAAGACAGGGGAACCCATCATCAGGGCCTTCAAAGAATGACTGATTTTTATGGATCTGTAAAACGTCAGTAAATAAAGACAGTGCGGCTGATACGAGCCACTAGCTTCTAACTGTAATCAACAATATTTGGTACTAACAATAACAATATTGGTACAACAATAACAATAACAATATTTGGATCACAAGGTAATATGCTCAGCAGATATAAAACTAGATATTAAGCAGAAGGAAGGAAGGAATTAGACCAAACTCTTCAAGTGTAAGGATGTGCCGCTACAGATCAAGGCCAAGATCATCCACACTCTCGTTTTTCTGATCTCATTGTGTCTGGGTGTGAAAGCTAGAGAGTAGATAGGAAGAAAAAAATATTTATTGGAAATGGTGCTGGAGGAAAGCTTGGTGAAAACCCCGCCTGGCCAGAAAGACAAACAAGGGGATCCTTGATCCAATCAAGCCTGAACTCTCTCTGGAGGCAAAAATGATGAAACTGGGTCTGTCGTCCTTTAGCTGCATCCTGAGAAGGCAGGATTCCCTAAGAAGAGGCGATAATACTGGTGAAGGTGGGCAGTGCAGAATGGAACAAGAGATAGTGCCATAAGATGAGACTCCCAGGGCGCAGAAAAGCACAGGCCATTGGGAAGACTGCTGCTCTGTAGGGTCTCCTAAGTTGAAGTAAACTCTTGGATCACCAACCACACCTGGAGACTCACCTTGCTCCAGATGAAAGCCCCTAACAGGTTGTTATCCCCGAAAGGGTTGTCGGTATTGGTGTACCCCATATACTCTTCCCCCCAGCCCATCTTCTCGCGCTTCTTCCGTTCCTTGGCTTCTTTCTTGGCCAAGCGCCGGGCCCGCTTCTCCTCGGGTGTCTCCAGCACCTTCATCAGCTCCTTCTGCTTCTTCTTCTCCTCTTTCAGCCGCAGGCGCTCCTGGAGGCTCAGCTGCTCGCCGAGGTCCCCCTGGGAGGTCTGCGAGCGGGAGGGTGAAGGGGAGGTCACGGAGGACACAGAGGACCGTGAGGCCGACCGTTTCCGGCTCCTCTTGCCCTTCCGCTCGCCGCCGCGGCCTCGTTTTTCCGGAGAGGAATCTGAGCTCGGGGAACGGTCCCGGGATCGCGACAAGCGTTTCGGAGATCTCTTGGAGCGGTGGTCCCTGCTTTTTTCTTTCCTCTTCCTCCATCTGTAGCTGTCTTCCTCCGAGCTGAAACAAAAGAGGTGTTATCCAAACACGGTATCCACAGCACCAGTATCCGCAGATTCACTTATCCACAGCCTGAAAATGTTTTAAAAAATCCTAGAAACTTATATTTCTAAAGATGAAGTTACAAGGACTGACCACTAACGGGAGCCAGAGACAATGCTATCTATAGCCTTCACTATACAGTAATTCACGTTTTCCAGCATCCGTGAGGGCGGGTCGGCTTGGGACCTATCCCCCATAGATACTATGGGGTTTCTACTGTATACCACCATCTGCTGCAAGCAGCAGATAAATTAAAATAAAATACTGTAGGAGGGAGATTGGAAAACCTCACAATAAATGCATTAACAGAGTTTTCTTCTTCTTTCTGACAGTGCCGCAGTTACCCAAACAAGAGCACAAGAATTAATGAAGGATTCTTTGTTTTGTAATTTTTAAAATTGCTCTTTTAAATTTATTCTTGGTCCTCTTAAGTTCGCGAGCTGCCACAAATCCCATTACTGGGAGAAAACAGTACAGAAATGCAATCCATCCATCTATCCAGCTGTTTTCCGGTCCCATGAAACAAATAAATTAAAAGTACTGCTGTCTTCAGAGCCTCCTTCTCTGTGGGGGAGGGGATAGAGGGCTGGGGAACCCCCACCAGCTGAGGGACACGGGCTGCCCTGGAAAGCACTCTGCATACGCTCAGGAGCGCTCTTTCATCTCTGATTAACACGTGACCTAGGCCTGGCTGACCATTAAGCCAGGCCAAAGCCCTTGGGGCTTGACACAGCCCCAAATTGCGACCCCCGTTCGCCCCCATACAAATTTTCGCCCTTTTGAGTTCTTATAAAGGGGGGAGAGAAATCATAAAAAAGCCTATAAAGGAAAACAAGGGGATCCCCTCTATCCCACAGGACTCTATGGTCTCCGAACTCTATGATCCCAGGACCCCCCCGCCATTCGGAGCCCTTTTTCCTCCTCACCTCCCTTCCCGCTCTCGTCTCCTTCTCCTCCGATTCTCCCTCGATCCCGATCTGGACCGACTTCTCCTCCGGCGCCGCTCCCGGGACCGGGACCTCGAGCCCATGGCCGCTCTAGCCCAGCCCTGCCTCCTTGTGACGTGAGTCTTCCGGTTTCCTCAGGCGACGCGCGGCGGGGGAGGGCCTTCCGCGGCAGCGTCGCGTGACCAGGGCTGGCCAGAGAGCTGCCTGATCGAAATAATATCATTCCCCCCACCCCCGGCGGGGCCAAGGTTGGAAAAGGTAAAAATGCCACCACTGGCCTTCTCTCTAATGTGAAACGAGAGGGGAAAATTACTTATGCGGAGGGGAGATTAATTAATTTTCAGGCACTGATTAACAGCCTCTCATTTTTTCCCCTACGGAAATTCCTTAAAGGCCGCACTCTACCTCCCTCCTGTGGCCGCACCTGGTTATTACAGCCTCCCATTCTTTCCTATTTGAAGACCAGCCTCCCATTCTTTCCTATGGAAAATCCAAAAGGGGCTACAAAGTATCTCCCCCCTGTGGCTACTCCTGGTTACTGCAGCCTGTCATTATTTTTCTTATTTAAAGTCTTATGGGCTCGTCCAGTGTCTCCCTCCTGTGGCCTAACCTGGGAAGGGGAAGAAAGAATGGGAGTCTGCAATAATCAGGTGTGACCACAGGAGGGAGACACTGGACAGGCATTTAGGATTTTATGTTGGACTGGAATTTTTGGAGGTCATTCATCCATAGTCTATTTGCCCTAGGTTGCAAATAGACTTTACAGCCCATAATAGCAGGGAGATGGCTCTCAAGAATGAAAATAATTTGGATGGATTCTGCACACCTACGTAACACATCGCTGGGAACTTCAGACTCAATTGCTTTGTTAAAGCCAACACTTCTGGTGTGTGTGTGTGTGTGTGTGTGTGTGTGTCTGTGTCTGTGTCTGTGTGTCTGTGTGTGTCTGTGTGTGTGTGTCTGTCTGAATATATCATCTGAAGACGTTTTCAAAACCCATATATTCCTCTAACAAAACAGATGGGCACAAATCTTTGAAGCCTTGTCGTTACAGATATTTATGAGACAAATATTGGGATGATGGAAGATGCTGGGGAGTCTGGAAAGCTGTATCGGTCTGTCTGTCTGTCTGAATATATCATCTGGAGACGTTTTCAAAACCAATACATTCCTCTAACAAAACAGATGGGCACAAATCTTTGAAGCCTTGTCTACAGATATTTATGAGACAAATATTGGGATGATGGAAGATGCTGGGGAGTCTGGAAAGCCGCTTGAGAGCGGCCTGCGCTTCCTCATCACCGGCTTTTGCAGTTTTGGGAGTGGTGACGGGGAAATAAATTTGCCTCTCGGGAGGTTTCAGGAACGAAGCCCGGCCTCTGATTTATACATGTCTTGGAAAAGTACATTTCAAAACCACGGACCGGCCAGTGAGCTCGTCCACATCTTGGTAGCGGTCGGGAAATCTGATCAGACCACGGACCCCGGTTGGCAGTTTTGGAAGGGTCTGCTTTGGCCCGGAAAACGTTTCATCCCCGGCCAGCTGTTTTTGCAAACTGGGTGACCGTCGGCGGGTGTTGCAACTCCTGACCTGAAGGAACTCAATCTGACAGGGCCGGGTAGTGGCTAAAGTGCCGGACCGAGGCTTCGGAGAGCTGCGTTCAAGTCCTCCATGAAGCCTTCCGAGGGTTCGAACCTCACCAGGCTTCCAAACTGGTGTGTTATGACCTGGAAGTAACTTTTGCTGAGCTCCTTAACCGTCTCCTCGGGAACGGGTCGACACAGAGGTTCAAGCCGCAAGGCCAGGGGGGCAAGCGGGAGTAGTCTTCCAGAGGGCGTCAGACTACAAAGCCCAGAGTGCTGCACCTTCATGAGAATGACCCTCCTGCAAACCTCTGCTGAGCCGCACCTTTGCCGCAAGAGAGAGAGAGAGAGAGAGAGAGAGAGAGAGAGAGATGGAAATGGTTTTGTTTTGTTTTTCGAAAGAAAAAGGTGCCGCTTTCCATCTTCCTGCGCTGGCCAGTTGAGTGAAGATGCTGGTCCTCATCGTTCTCCATAAAGGGAATCTCTTCTTCGGAAACGGTTTTGTTTTTCGGAAGAAAAAGGTGCCACTTTCCATCTTACTGCGCTGGCCAGTTGAGTTAAGATTCCGGTCCTCATCGTTCTCCATAAAGGGGATCTCTTCTTCAGAAACAGGAGCTTAAGATCATGACTCACGGGGGGAGGAGGTGGGGAGGGGAACATGGACCACCAGCTCCTCTGGCATGGGTTTCGACTCTCTGGCTAGCAAGAACTTGGCCAAGGTCCAGGTAGACGTTGCCAGGCCATAGGCTGGTCTGTCTGGGGGTTGTGGGCTTTGTAGTCCAAAAAGGAACCAAACCAACCCCCCCAGTCGTGTCCCATAGGGAAATGCGATTTGCCCCTCAAGCTTCCTTGGTCCCCTTTTCTCCTGTGTCTCAGGATGGCCCCCTCTAAGGATCCCCAGGTCCCCTGGGCAAGAACCGTCCAGCCATTTATCTCCTCCCCACACTTTCTCTTTGGGGCACCTCGTGGGGTTAATTTGCCCCCCTCAAGAAGGCCAAATTTTGCACAAAAATACCCCCCAAAATATCTGATCCGATGTCCCGGATCAGCCAGGTTTCAAAGGGAAGATGTGAGCTTTTCATTTGCTTTTCTCCCGCCCGGTCCGCGGTGTTCTTGCGACCCGGCGCCAAGACCACCCGATCCAAAAAATACATCTTTTTGGACCAGAGCGGATGAGGCGCAGAATGGACTTTGCCCTCTGGTAGCTGAATTTCAGTCTTAAAGGACGCCTTTGTCTCTCCTTGTTGATGGCTTGTCCAGAGGGCGAAGGAGGGCCGTCGGCGGTCTTGCTTTGGCCAGACTCAACGGAATCCGTTGGCATCGCAAGGGGGAAAACAAAAAAATAGAGATTATTTTAGCAACCAGCTCATACCTGCATTCCTTTGCTTTTAAATAAGATTTTTCCTCCCGGTTTCCGGACATGTTAGATCTGTTTCGGCGGCCACGAAACCAAGAACATTAAAACATTTTTTAAATAAAAATGATGGCGCCTTTGAAACCCGTGCATTTATTTCAGTGTTAAGTGTTGTGTGGCTACAATCCATGCCTTCGGACCGGTTTTTAATCTCAGGTTCCTCAGACACACCCAGTGATATGTTTTCAGACCCCCTGAAATAATTACCTTTTAAGAAATGAGTCGTTTCCTAAAATAATTAGCAAGGCCTTGAGGGTACAAAATCAACCAGATCTAAACCTCAGATTTATAAATATTCAAATCGTTGCAGGGTAGAAGGTTAATGAGAGATAGCATAGTGTAGGGGATGGAGCGATGAATGAGGACTCGAGTCCTGGATTTGAATCCTCGCTCGACTCTGGAAGCTCACTAGAGAGAAAATCCCTCCTTGTAAATAGCCCAAATGAATTGGAAACCTGGTCAAACTTAATAAAATTAATCTACCAGGAGTTTGGTGGGTTGTCTGGAAAAGCTCAAGGTGAAAAAAATGGCTTGGTGAGAATTTTGTTCCTTGTGTCCACTGATCTCGTGTTAAGGAGGTGTCAATGCTCGTATTCCATGTCTGATGCCAAGTCACGCTACTGCACACAGGAAGGAATGCGAGCACTGACTCCTTAACTAGCAACCCTTGGGTGTAAGAGATTTATGGCATTTGACTTACGCCGGTTCATTCAAATAACAGGATTCCGGCTTTTGTCGTTGTGATTGTGTTTTTTTTCCAAAATCGACCAGCCAAACTTTTAATTTTGGAAAAGAAGATGGGGTGGAAGGGGAGGTTTAATGTTTTTTTGTTACACCTTCATTTTATGGCTCTCTGGACGCACTGAAGGAGGTCACGGCGTGCCGACCGGCCAAGATTTTCAGACCTGAGACATCTCTCTGTGTCAGCCTGTGTTTCTCATCATCCTCAGTTTTTGTTGGACAAGGAGAACCGAAGAGAAGGAAGGACGGAGAGGGGGGAAATGAGAGAGAATGAGGAGGAGGGGGCATGGAAACGGCCAAACCGCAGCGCCCCCGACTTTGAGATGGCTCGTAAAATACGATTGCGCACTCTCGGCCGGGCCGAAGGTGGGGCCCCCTTTCATTGGGCTGGTATGTCCGTTCTTGCTCGCATGGGAGGGTCGTTCAAAAGCTCGTCGGTTTCTGGAATGCACGCCGGTTGCCAGCTGCAAAGAATTCACCCCACCTCCCCGAAGCAGGTGGAGGAACACATGTGTGTCCTCAGGACGCGAGTTCAGCAAAACAGCCCTCACCAACATTTAAAAACTATAAATAGAGCTGAAGACGTTCTTATCCAGGATCCTGTGTGGATGCACGGCCCCGGCGGAGGGCGCACGCTGGGTGTCTTGCCGAGCATCGTCCCTTGTCATTTATCCCCAAAGTGGCCCAATCTAAGGTAGACTGCCACTGGAGCTGGAGGCTTCACATTTGGCCTCGCTGGCAGCCATGAGCACCGGGAAGTAACTAGTTCCAAGTTACTTTGCCTCCAGCTCCTTAGGGGGAGTCTAAAGTACGGTAAGCCAGTAATTACAAACGACAGAATAGGCCATTTCTCTTGATTTGGAAGCCAATGAACACTGCCTCCTTGTTACTTTCAGAATTCCCGTTACAGTACCTTCAGAATTCTCTTTTTGGGGACCTGTTTGAGAGAGATTTCGGAGGAACGATGCCATTCACTCGCCCGTCCTTAATTGGTAAGAGAAGTATCCTTTGGTTTTCTTTTTAAAAAGTCTTTGCAAGGTTTGAGAACAAACCCAACCCTCGGTGTGGTGTGACAGAGGACTTAAGAGACCTGGGTTCAAATCTTTACTCGTGGGAAGGGTTAGCCGTGGGGGAAAAACCACTCCCTGAAATGCAGACATGCTATTGAAAACCCCATCGGGACACCATAAATGGCAGGCGAATTGACTGCATACCCCAGGAAGAATAATCTCAGAATTAGCCACTAGGGGGAACCAGAGAGTATTCCGCCGACTTCTGCACTGCAGGGAAGCAACAAAAATGTAACTACTTTTAAATTTTATTTTGAATTGTTCCATCACAAGCTGACTAAAGGACTTTGGAAACTACACCAGGAAAAAAAGAACTTTTCATTTGGCCCTCTAGGGCTGTTGAATCCCACTTTTTTTATTTATTCAAAATATAGATCCCAGCATGCCGTTTGGGGGCAATCTGGGCGGTCTAGGTCTGATTAAGGGTAATTTAATGCTTCCCACCTCCCCTCAGAAACCTACCTAATTCCTTTGTAAATATAAAATTCAAAGCTTTGGTTAGCACTGAGCAGGGATAATTTAAGAACATATGGCCGTAGAAAGCAATGTATCCTTTTAAAAATTCTTAGAAGCATCAAGGTTTTTCAAGAATTTCACCAAAGCCATCCCAAACCAGCATATATACAATAGGACCCCCATATCCACGGAGGGCTGGTTCCAAGCCCCCCCGCGGATGCTGAAAAACGCGGATAATAACAAACACTATTTTAATAGGGAACACTATACAGTACATAGCATGGTCTCTGGCTCCCTCTAGTAGCCAGTTCTGGTGACTTCAACTTTCAGATTTATAGGATCTTTCTTTTAATCTTTTTAATTTTTCAACCTGTGGATACATGAGTCAGCAGATACCGATCCTGCGGATACGCCCCCCCCCAACTGCATAACATTTCGCCATTAGGCCTGGATCATTTTCTGCTCCTGTGTTTTGCTTTTTGAATGCCTGGGAAGCTCAGGAAAAAAATCACGATGGTGGGAGAAGCTGATCTCGAGGACAGCCATTTGACAAAGTTTTCCCTCTAAAGACGCAATTCCTTCAAAGCAACGGCCAGCCTCAAAAACCCAGAACCAGCAGATTTGCGTCATGGGGAGCCGGTCAAGCTCAGATGAGGACAACGTGTTGTCTTGTCTTCGCTTCAGGGAGCTCCGTTTCTCATAACATGCTATCATCCAGCTGGGGTCCTGATCTGTCTTAGATGTCTTACTCCATTTAATCACTGTCTCCTTTCTATAGCTGCCCCTTATACCCAGGTTTCTGACTCTCGGCCCCATAAACCTCCTCTTTTCAAGTTCTTTCTCCCTTGTTCCTCCTTACGTGGAGCCTTAACCAGAGAACCTCTGCTGGCTATTCTACGCGGCATCAGCTAGACCTAAAAATTTAGCCATAAGCCAGGGAAGAGACTCCCACGTAAAGAGAAAGAGTAAATCATGTGCCTATATGGAACTATAAGAGCTTATGAACAAAACACTTACTAGCGTTGTAACGCAAAAGGTATCGTTTGGCTCTGCGGTTTTGAATGGAGTGAAATAAAGATTTTTTTTTTTTTAAAAAAGACAATTTCTTTTTGCTTTTAACAAAGTTCTCAGGAGCCACTTTCCAGTGGCAGGCAGTTCCAGCGGCAAAAGGCGGGCGACCCTGAACTCCCGGCATGCTCTTCGATCTGACAAGATTTTGCTTTAGGAAAGTCATTTTGCATTTTATTTAGGATGGGGAAGGGGGCATTTAAAAAAAATGTAATCATGATGCCATGTAGAAGGGCATGGCCGGGGGGGGGGACCCAGAGATTCAAAATCAGTTCCTTGCGTGCGGAGCGCTGGACCTTACGGTTTCTCTCTGGCACTTTTTCTATTATTACACCTTTATCTCCCCCTTTTCCGATCCTTCTGTTCATTTCCCCCCCACCCTCCGGAAAGAAAACACAACGAGACACAGGACCCCTCGGTTCTGGTGAAAACACAATGTTATATTTTCCCAATAAATAACAGATCTCTGAAATATAGTGTATAGGCCACCACAAAACAGACAGGCTCTCCCTAGGAAGTTAGAGGGTTGCATTCACTCAAGGGCGAAGAGCATAGGTCCGTGCTGAAGGCTCTGGTGGATTGGGCCCCAAGACCACCCTGCACCCCCTCTCTCTTCTGCCCCTCTCTTCCTTCCTTCCTTCCTTCCTCTCTCTCTCTCTCGGGGTCGCCCCACCTCCTGGGCCCGATAGGTGGCAAAGCAGTAATATTTCCACCCAAGCTTTGAACCATGGCTCTGAAAATGGGCCTCATCGTCTGGGCAAGATGAAGCCAGGATCCGGGGAAGGGCAGAATCTGAGGGCTCCTCTTTGCCCACGCAAGGGTGAGGAAAAGGAAGGACTTGAAATGGCAAGGGTTTCTGAGGAGGAAGAAATGGCACAACGTATACGCCCAGGGACCAGCAAATCGTATCTTTGGGTCCTGTGAACCGGAAGGTGCTGATTCGGAAGCATGAAAAATGTCCAGAGAGTCCCCCCGCCTTGGTTTCACTGTCCAGCCCGCGAGGCATCGCCTCTTGTTTGGCGGCCAAGGGCCCGGCGGTTCTGTCTGGCAAACATGGTCCGTAATCCCGAGGGGTAGGCCACCGCTCGTAAAGGGCCACGGAGCTGTTCGTTGCCTTCCATCTCGCGCCGGATCTCCGTGAGGGTCTGGCCGGGGGATTCGAGCAGGCGCTGAAAGAAGCTTTTCCGTCCCACTGGTTTCTCCTGACAGAGGAAAGTCAACGCGACCCCCCGGTGGGATTTCATCTCGCGCGAGAATCCGTCCGAGGTGCCGTCGAAGCAACGGCCGATGGCGATCTCCTTGGCCAGCCGAGGGTTCTGGTCCGTCACGGTGTAGATCCCATAGTTGTGTCCGAGGGGATCAACTGGGGCCAACATGGTGAAGGCCGAGGTCTCATTATTCTCAGCCACAGGAGGGTGGCGGCCTAGATACTCGTCCAAGTAGCTGTTGATCATCGTGCGGCGGCAACTCCCTTGCGGAATGATGGACACCAAAGTCCGGTCTACTAACGCTTGGTCAAACAACATCCCACTGCATTTGAACTCAACGCAAGCAGCCGAACTGTTATAGATGTGGAGATCTCGGACGCTTCGCGTGTCCCGTAGGCCGTAGAGCTGCCCCTGTGTCCTCGGATGGCTGCCTCCCACGTTGCGTGAACGCACCATGTATTCGTGGGGGCCATCGATCTTCACCTTGATATAACAGGCTCGGAACTCCTGGGGATTCGGCCACCAGGACAGATAATCCCCCGTCCACGTAGTCAGGTCGCTCTCCTTGATTGGCACGACGTTGTACTCGTACTTATCCACTTCGACGCGGTAGAACCGGAAGTGATTGGCTGTCACGGGCGCTTCGTCGCACTCTTTCAGGCTCCGGTAAGGGTAAATGGGCCCATTGGCCTCATCAATGTTGTTCGGATTGGGTTTGGCGAGGTTGATCTTGAAAGCGGTCTTCTTCAGAGCCGGGTCTTCGTGATCGCTTCGCTGGTAACCCAGCTTGCGGAGGTAAGGCTGGGACACCCCGACAGCTTGAGGGTTGAGTTTTGGGCTGGAAGGCACAGCTTCTAACTCCTCTCCTCCCATGTTGGCGGTGACATAGGCCGTGTAGGCGTCGGCTCGCCCCCCGTCGCAGAAGGCGGGTAAGCATGCCCCGTTGGGACCGGTCACCACGCTGTCGAAACGACCCCAGGCCTGAGGGTTGGAGGGGTAACCGGGTCGTGGTTCGAGGTTGATGAGGGTCACGACAACTCCCTCCAACTGCTCGTTGGGGTTGAACTTTTCGTTGATGTACGCCCGGACTTTGACAAAGCAACGGCGGTTCTCTGGGACATCGAGGTTGAACAGACGCCTCTCTCGGACCTCCAGATTCCCGACGAGGAAGGCTCTCTCTTCCCGCTTACGGCGCCTCTCCTTCACAACCTTGAGAGAGGCCTCCTCCTCCCACAGGCCTGTGACCGGATTGAGGGACCACAGCTTCATCTTCTGGAGATGTCCCGGCATCTTGATGAGGTCGGCGTCCATCTTCACCTCCACAGGCCCAGCGGCCAAGCTTTGGTGAGCCTCTTCCTCCCAGAAATCCATGGAAAACATGCCGTATGTTCTGAGTGGGAGGACATCGCCTTCGGCATTGATGAAATTCAGATCGCTGGAGGCGGCATTCACGGAGGCCATGTCCCGAGGGTCTACAAAAGTTACACTGGCCTTGACCGTCCCGTTGTAGGCTTGTCCGTTGGATCTGAAGAAAGATCTCGGAGGGATGACAATCTCCCCAACGGGACCTTCTCCAGCGACTTCTCCTAGGGGGATGACGTTGGTCTCCAAGGTATCCAACTCAACGGGCTTCTTCCTCCGCATGATTCTGACGTCCTGGTAGACAGCTCCACCTCGCGGGTCAAAAGGGAAGACCTTCACGGTATCTACAAATTTCTTCAGCCGGTCCACAAACTTGACCACAAGTCTCTTGGTGTTGGTCGGCACCTCAATCGTGAAAGCCCCTTTGTAACCGGTGAAGCCGATCTTCTCCGACCCCAGGTAGATCTCACCAAACCGCAGAGGCTCACCATCGTCAGCCGCCGAAACTTTGCCCCGGACCAGGATTTTGGGTTGTGTGCAGGAGGCACACCCGCACTCCGTGACCACTTTGATCGGCAAAGTATAGCCATTGCATGGGATCTCCCGCACTTCCATCCGTGTGGTCCCACAACAGCGCTCTACAGGGTCTTGGCAGTGGAGCCCACCTTTGAGCTGGCTAGGACAACGATGGTTGGGACAGTGGCCGACGTTGTAGAAGTCGGAGTTTGTTCCCTCCTGGAAACACTCATCGGGGAGTTTGATGAGGTATTCTTCTGGCTGGGCCGCGCAAGAAGGCACCCCAGGATCTGAAGGAGCAGTGTGAGGAGACCAGAACAAGAAACACATTAGAGGCTAGTTAGGATCATGTGGCACAATAAGTATACCGTTCAAGGACCTATGTTGGGCTTTTTGGATGTTCCTGATGATAAATGCCATAATTCTCTATTCTCTCTCTTATAGGCACCTTTCAGACATCTGACTGTGGGTCACCTGGGAGAAAGGCCTAAACAGGGAGGCTTTAAGGCCTAGCTAGGCCTAGCTTCCACCCAAGATTCCTGCTTGGGTCCTGGACCCTGAGAGGAAAAGTAAAGAGTCCCAGCCACCACTCCCGATGAGGAGAAAGCCATCAGAGATGAACTAATCAAGGTCAATAGATGATGGAGCAGACACCAGCTCCCTGGCTCCCTAAGTAAAGCCAAGAGGTGGAAACAGTGGCAGAGATGATTTCTGAGAAGCATTAAGAAAGTGATGGCTGGCGACTCCGATTTCATGGGGGCGGTAAGTCTGCTCCTTGTTTTCCGCTCAGACTCTCCAGCCTGGTTCACCAACATAGCTTCAGCACCCTGGAGAGCTCCCACAGAATTCAAAACCCGAACTGGATCCCCTGTTCCCTGGAAATTGGAGTCGTGTGCCTCGATTGCATTAGGAGAAAGGCACTCGTGTTGAGGACTTGGTTTCTGTTGCGGACTGTCTTAGAAAGTGAGGGATCTTCCGTATCAGGAGGTCTGGGAGCAGAGCTGGGATGATCTTGTCAAAGGTTGGTGGGGCACTTCGGAGAGCTTGCATTGATTGAGCAGTGGGTTGGGTTAGGGGATCTCTATATCCTATCCACCTCTATGCTTCTAGAGATCCACAATCAAATCTCTCCCGCCTTTTAATTAGCATAGAAAATATTGCCTCTGATTAGATACAGTTTGCATCAGCTACACTGGGTTCCTGGACACAATGGTCTGCAGACACACACACACACACACACACACACACACACACACACGGACCTCTGTTGACACCGCCTCTGCTTACCTACAACTGTCAAATAGGCAATGGAGGATTTGATCGAACTGTGGTCATTTCCAGCTTTGCAGTGGTATGATCCCGCTTGACTTCTCTCCAAATCGCGCAACACTAAGCTACTGTTGTACCGGTAGACTTTCCGGTCCAGGAGTGTTCCATTGTGATACCTGGCGAAGGGAAATGGAATGGGATTAACTGAAACCAGTCATCGTATTTTGACAGCAAAAAAGAGAGATTTCTCCCTGCCTGGAAGTTTAGGTCAAACTAGATGGCAGGCTCAGCACGTTTTTAGAAGTGCTGCTCCCTCTCATAGTGAAAGAGGTCTTTTTGTCACAGCATGGATTTTTTCCCCCGTGTTCCTGTCCCTTTTATTTAGGGTGCTTGGGTTCCTGTGGTTGCTCACTGGAAAGGACAGGTGCGGTTCATGGGCAAGTCCCACACTCTGAAGGAAATCTCGTGGCTGGTCAGGAAATGAGTTATGGTTATTGCTGGAGATAGACATTTCCCTTAAGCAATCTAGCTCCGTTCTGAGTTTCGGACAGGTTGGACACTGGTTATCTACGAGCGAAGAAAGATGTAACGTTTACACTGGATTCCAGGAAACATCTTCCACCTGGGCCACTTCCCGTAATCTGCCAAAAGAGGCGGTCACTCTCCGCATTTCAGCAATATTTCAGGTCCAACTTCCTGAAATCTGTTGGCACCCTTCCCCTCGCGCCTCTGGACCCCAGACTCAAATGCCCCAGCCTTCACTCACCAATAATATTTCTTGGGCACAGGGTAGCCTCGGGCACGACAGCAGAGCCGAACGGTTTGCCCGGCTGTCCTCACTTTCGACTCAGGGTGGACCACCATGTAAGCCTTTTCTGCCGGGTTGGGGGTGGGGGAAGTGGGTTGACATGAAATCAGAACCCATCAAAAGCTATCCATCATAGGTAGCCCATATCTCCACCGAGCAGAAATCAAATTCATTTACAAATTTGGACATTGATCTCTGCAGGTTTATCCCTCTGCCCTGTCCGATTCCGGTCTCCCGCTCACCCTTACCGAGTCGACGGAGCACAATCTCTACCCAGGACAAGCTGGAGGTGTTCGTGACCATCCGTGCCTGCCCAGGCGCAAAGCGGTCGAGTGTCGCGCGGATGTTCAGGCTGCTGTCTGCACAGATGCCCCGGACGGTGAACCGGCCGTGGGCGTCGCTTCGGGCCAGCAGGTCACCGGGCTGGTTGGAAAGGGAAATCCGGGCCTTGGCAAGGGGGGCGCCGTCCGCACTCCGCACCACGCCGACGAGCTCGTCCTTGGGACAGATGCATCGGCTGCAGTCCGCACTCGGGGCACCCATTTCGCAGCTGAGAAAGCAAGCTGGCGGCTGGGCTGGGAGAACAGAAATTGGGATTTTTCAGAGATGGTTTAGAATACCGGGACGCGGAATCCCAAAACAGGGACCCAAGAAAGGATTTTGTGCTTTTTGCTAATTGTTATAGAAACCAGGGTGGTTTACCCTCCCCTCCCCATTTTTAAGCGTGCAATTGGATACGAAAGAGGCAATGATGGAAAAGCAGCTGTCGGAAAATAGCAGGGATTGACTCAGAAGAAAGGGGATGCATGGGTCTAACAGGGAGTTGCTTGTCTGATCATTTCCACTGCATAGCCCACCCCCCCAACCATCGGCATCTTTGGTATCCAACTGCACACTTAAAAAACACAACAACACCTTGATAGAGACAAACAGGTGGGAACCAAAGGGTTACACAGCTAAAAATCAGGGTGCACAGAAATTCTTCTGCAGGGCATAGTTCTAAGCAGTGATGAGGAAAGAAGGACAGAAAGATGGAAGGAAGGATGGAAGGACGGAAGGAAGGAAGGATGGAGCTGATGATGGATAAGAGGAAGGAAGGAAGGAAGGAGCTGATGATGGAAGGAAGGAAGGAAGGAAGCACAGAGCTAATGATGGATAAGCGGAAGGAAGGAGCTGATGATGGATAAGAGGAAGGAAGGAAGGAGCTGTTGATGGATAAGAGGAAGGAAGGAAGGAAGCATAGAGCTAATGATGGATAAGAGGAAGGAAGGAGCTGATAATGGATAAGAGGAAGGAAGGAAGGAGCTAATGGATGGATGGATGGATGGAAGGAAGGAAGGAAGGAAAATGGATAAAAGGAAGGAAGGATGGACTGATGATGGATAAGAGGAAGGAAGGAAGGAAGGAAGGAGCTGATGATGGATAAGAGGAAGGAAGGAAGGAAAATGGATAAAATGAAGGAAGGGAGGACGGAGCTGATGATGAATAGAAGGAAGGAAGGAGCTGATGATGGATTGCTGCTCCAGGGGGCTTCTGGTAAAGGGCAGAATCCGGCTGTAATGGATAAAATGAAGGAAGGAAGGACGGAGCTGATGATGAATAGAAGGAAGGAAGGAAGGAGCTGATGATGGATTGCTGCTCCAGGGGGCTTCTGGTAAAGGGCAGAATCCGGCTGTAGGCATTCGGGAATAACCTCACACGACCCTAGATGTGTTTGGCTTCTCATGGCCGGCCTCTCTCTTCTCGCCTTGCCAAGCCCAGGAGCAACGGATTAAGTTCCCCATGCCTGTCATTTCCATCAAGAGTCCCAGGGGAACAGACCCGCCCCCGGCTGCTGTTTTGGGCAGGTCGGGGAGAAAAAAAAATTTCCTCAAAGTGGAACAGACGAGCGAGGCACACTTATTTCCACATTCGCCCTACCAGGAAAAAGAAGCGAGAAAGAAAAAAAAGAGGGATCGGGTGTCGTTTCTTCTGAGTGAGAATGTTTCAAAGTGGTCCAGAAACGTATTTGGCTGGAATCTCCCCTTGGCAGGGTTGATTTATTATTATTATTATTATTAAAATAGTTTTGCCTGTTTAAAACATCTCGAGAAGAAAGAAAAACACAGGCTTCTGGGGGAAACCGCACATTTCTCACTGACATTCCCCAGCAATGAGGTGTTGACCGGGTTGCGGTCCGAATCGCCCCAAGGAAAATCATCCGTGCCCGTCTCTTGCACAAACACGGTCGCCTGTCTCCAGGCAAGAAAAATGCCGTACTGAAGCCAGGCTGTGGGAAAGCAGGGGAGAGAAAGACAGATGGTGGAGGAAAGCTATTTTTAATAAAGTTTGGGTTTATTGGGACAGTTTGGGGGGGGCGTGCTGCGTTCCTCAAAAGTTTTTCCTCCTCTTGGCACTCTTTTGTCTGCATCCCCCCCCCCCGCTCAAACCCTCAGATTCAATGTTAAGTGCATTGTAAAGAGGCCAGAGTTAAGGCTGAAAGCACAGCCCTGTTGGAAAGACGGGATTCCGGCAGAACGTTGTGGCCGAGAAATCCCAAGGAACCCCTTGTTGAAGTCCCCGAGGCCAATCTGAAGGCCAAGCAAACTTGTTTGCAGATTGCAGTGAGAAAATCTCCTGCTGTGCGCTCAGATGCTTTCAGTAGTTAAGGAATTCCCTCTTTTAATGCTGGGTCATTTATAACATCTGTTTCTGTCAAAAAATTTCCCCAATGAACCTTTAAAATTACTGGTTATCATCCCTCCATCCCTTCTACAAATTGTTCAAAACAGTGTCCACCTGAGGACAGGGGATCATGCCATGCAGCCATGCACTGAAAGAGCTTAGAAAGTTACTTTTTTGTGCATTTTGTTCCTGTGACCCTTTCTAATGTTTAGAAAAAGATATACTTTTTTAAATGAATGGTCATTCTGATGTTTCCCTAATCCTCTGCTGCTAGTTAATTTCTTAAAAACCTTTTGCTGCCTTAACAAAATTAATGTAGAGCTTATAGAAGAAAAAAAACCTCTACATAATGGCCTACAAAATTAGAAAGTACAGCAGGAAACCCCCCCCCCATCCATAGGGAATTGGTTCTAAGCCCTCGCACTGATGCTGAAAACTGTGGATAATAATGAAGACTATACATAACATGGCAAAAGGGAGAGAAAAACAATTAAAAAATACATATTTTAAAATGTATTACCAGAACTGGCCCCTAGAGGGAGCGAGAGACCATACTATGTATTCTTCCATCAACAAGATATACCTGTAGAGTGGTCTCTGGTACCCTCTAGTGGCCAGTTCTGGTAAATACATGCTAAAAATGCATATTTCAATTTTTTTTCTTTTAATATTTTTAATATTTTCAGACCGCAGATAAGTGAAACTGCAGATCCTGATTTCAAAGATCCGGGGGGGTCCTACTGACAAAACCTTATTTGCCCAAAACTAGTCTCCACACTTTAATTTTGAAAGGCAACTCAGCTGTGCCGAAAAAAAGAAGTAGCATTTCCCCCCAAAATCGGTTTCTTGTTCTGCTTTTTCTTGAAGGGTTGAGTGCGCTCAGTTACCTGGACAAGGCCCAGCGGTACATATCCGGCGTGCTTTGGATTTTCCTGGGCACTTGGAAACTGGCCCATGCGCCGACCCAGCGGGGGTGTTAAGACATGAGCGGTGTCGTGTCTGGAAGCCGCTGAGCCCGCAGGCCGTTCGTGAGCAGCTGGTCCACGGAGACCAGTCAGACCAGTTTAACCCGAAACTGGGATCTGTATGGAGTAGGGAAAGAGTTTTTTTAAAACAAGGTAGAACAGGATTTGATAAAGGGAGTTAGGTCACAGGGTTGGAAATTACAGTTACGGATTATTGATTAAACAAACAAACCAACAAACCAATGTATTCTCAAAGTTTGCAAAATTACAAAAATTATTTACCATTAATGTACAGGGCAACCCTTTTTATCTGCAGGGGATTGGCTTCAAGCTCCCCCGTGAATGCTGAACATTGCGGATTATAGCAAACACTTTACATAGCATGGCTAAAGAAAAATACAGTTAAAAATATATATATTTTAACCATGTATTACCACAACTGGCCACTAGAGTGAGCCAGATAACATGCTCTTTATTCTTCAACAGCAAGAATCCATACCATGGTCTCTGGCTCCCTCTAGTGCCCAGTTCAGATATATATATAGTGAAAATAACCATTTCTAGTTTTTTTCTTTTAATATTTTTAATATTTTCAGACCACAGATAAGGGAAACCATAGCTACCTGTAGATGTGGGGCTCCTCCTGTTTTAGCGATTTTCCCCTCTGCCCCTCTCCTTTCTTAAAACACATCTGCCTAAAAATCCTATCCCTTAGTGTTGTAAGTTGCAACTAGAGTAGACCCAGTGAACCTGTGGGGAGTTGGTGAGTCAGTTCCTCTGTCATTTCAGTTGATTTTATGAACCTGGTCAAGGTGTGATTTACTCCATGAAGTAGCAGGATTTCAGCCAAGGAGTCTTGTGATCCGAATCCAATGCTTTGACCATAACAACATACCATTCTAATGTTGGGCTACCATTCCAAACGGGTTGGCCTCCCTGGTGACTGGAGGAACTGGTTGTTATACCATAGGACCCCTGTATCCACAGGATCAGTATCTACACTTTCGCTTATCCACAGTCTGAAAATATTGTTTAAAAAACCCAGAAATGTGTGTTTCCATTATGTAACCACCAGAACTGGCCACTAGAGGGAGCCAGAGACCATGCCGTGTAGAGGGTTCACTATTATCCACGATTTTCAGCAAACGCGGGGGGCTTACAACCCATCCCATGTAGATATGGGGCTGAGGTCTACTTTTCTGGCCTTTCATCTCAGAACATTGCCACTGTCCCAATCCAGACAGTGAAATGATGCAGATCCTTTGGCACTCAATGCAGAGGAGCCTCAGCGGGGTGAAAATGTGGCGACCTGGCCAACCCTCCAGCGTCCGTGCTCACCTGGGGGGCAGAGGAACCGGACGTGATAATTGGAGCAGTTCTTGCCCCCGGGTTGCTCCCGGTTGAAACAACGGAAACCTTCCTGTGGGCTAAAATGCACCACCTCGCCGACATCCGCGGGAAGCTCCCACTCCGTGGTCCGCACCTCAATGGTCGTCGGCTGGGCACAGACCCGCTCCCGGTAGTAGAACTGGATTGCCTCCATGGTCTCAAAGTCTCCCTCCCCACCAGGATGGTCCACGTTGAACCACGAGGTCCATTCTCCTGGAAAAGGAGAAAAATGCCCAGGTATTATGGGATGCATGCCAAACCAGCCCCCCCCGGCCCCCAAAAGTCTTCCTCTTTCCTGCCCAAAAAGAACGGGATGGTAACTCTGTTCAAGCTGTTACTTATCACACAATAATTAGGAAGGGACTCCGCGGGGTCATCTAGACTGACCCCCTTGGCTCTGTATACTTTCACACATTTTTGGGGCTTCTCCAGTCTTTAGCTTCACGGTGAGCAATCACCTCCACCGCCTGTGGATTATCTGGGGGAGGACACCACAGCCCCAAACCTTGGTCCGTTTTTGCTTTGAGTTCCAGAATTGATTATAGAAACGCTCTGGAAGAAAGCCAGCATGGAAAGTGAGGGGAAATGAAATCCCAGAATCTTGAAAAGGGGGTGACATGGTTGGTGAGAAGGTTCAAGGCAACTTACCTGCTGTTCCTCCATCCAAGCTCGTGAGGCCCTTCCCCTTTTTCTTCTGTTTATGCAGCTGCTTCACACGGTTCGGATGCAAAATCGGAGCATCTTCTTCTGGCGAATCTAGTGGGGAAACCCCCCCCCAAAGATTCATAATGGCCACCTCTTGAAATCCTAGTTTTGCTCATACCAAGGTGGCCTCACTCATCACAGCTCATGGCAAAGCATTCATGCGGCATGTGCTGTTCGTTCACGCAAAGGGGGCTCGCAACAAGCCAGATGATACAGATGCCTCTCAGCGTCTCGTCACCACACTTACGAGTTACAGAAAGCGGACCTGAACGACGAGAGGGTGGCCGATCCAGAGTCCTGTTAAACCTTAAAGTCTGCGTCACTGGCATGCAAGCGCCACTTCAGAGGACTCAGAGAAATGAACAGGGGGGGGGGTCCAAACTTTGGTGAATAATTACTGACCAAGGGAACAGGGTCAAAATCCAGAATCCTCCTACAGCTGAACCCCCAACTCAGGGGAATCTTGGAGGATCAGAAGAAAATTACAATCATCATAACCCAGGACTCCAGAACATCGTATTTTAATGTGCTCTGACTCCTGGCTTGGGGAGACCCAGAACAAAACGATGTGTGCATTTGGCTCTCATCATTATCATCATCATCTTCGTAAAAAGCAGCTGGAAGGCCCCAGTGGCCAAGCCGAGCTGCAGACGACCCCCCCAGGGGGGGCTGTAGATGTGGCATATTCCCCATGGCGCACCCCTGCCGGGAAACTTCCACATTCATGCTGAGTCTTTACCATCGGTCACTCTTGAAGGTTAAAGGGATGTGCAAAGGTTAGCCGAAAAGGGGGAGCTTAAAGAGACCGGGGGGGGGAAGCACGGCTTTCCTTCCTTCCCCCCCTTTCCCCCAAAATTCCTTAAACATCCCCTTTTATTTTTGCCTTCCCTGTTTCCAGCGTCATGGATGTCGAGAGGGACCCAGAGATGGCACGGCTGGCTTTCCGGGGGGGGGGGGGGGGTTCGGTTCGCTGACAAATGCGTCAGTTCTGCGCCTATATTGTTAATTTATTGATTTCGATTCTTTGCACACGATAGACACCATCGTGATGGGGGGGTCTGACCCTCCTCCCGGTGCCCGGCACCGTATTTTTCCCCTAAGCTCAGCAAAAAGGTGGTGGATGTTATCATCACAACAGCCCTGCGAGGCGGAACAGGCCAAACCAGAAACAGGTTGACTCAGGGTGACGCAAAGCTGCAAAGTTTAACCCGCCCCTCCAATTTGTTGTCCCCCAAATAGTTTGAACCCCTTCCTAATAGTTACTGATCCCGATGAACTGGAGAGGCCCTGTATTGGCTCAGAAAAAAATAAATACATTAAATCCTTCCTTTCCTATTTGCACCCTTAAATCCTCTTGTGGGACCCCAACTGAGACGCTGGATGGCCAGAAAGACTAAAACGTGGGTCCGACGGCAAATTGAGCCCAAATGGATTCGGGAGGCGAAAAGGTGGAAGCGGAGGCTGTCTTTCCTTTGGGTTCCTCACGAAAAGGCAGGATTCCCTGAGGGGGAAAAAAACCCACCATTCTGGGAAAGGCAGCAGGAAGAGAGGAGGGCCAGAGGTGAGATGGATCCACTCCCTAAAAGAAACCACGACTTTTCAAGTTGCAAGATCTGAGCAGGGCTGCTCCGGGCTGGACATTTTAGAGAGCGCTCCTTCATAGAGTCGGCAAGTATCCTTCCGAGTGAAAACTTGGAAAGATTGAGCACCCGCCCTTACACCGCCCACGTTGCCTCCCCGGAAGTTGGGAGATTATTCGCGGCCGTGCGTTTTTGGCTCCCGTGACCCGAATTTCAGGGACCCAGCCCCCGGAACGAAACCCTGCGGTTACCTTGAGGGGAGACGCCGGCATCCCAGAGGAGGAAGAGAAGCAGGAAAAGGCAGGGTTTTACTCTGGACATTTCCTCGGCCAGCGGTTTTCGGATGAAGATGGAGAAGCCGGACCACCCGGGCACAAAGATTTTGGGGCCCTGAGATCCGGCCGCCCTCGTCTCTCTCTCTCTAGACAGGTGGCTTCTAAACTGGAGATTGGAACGGATGGAGAGACCTATATAAGATATTTTTTCACCCACCCACCCCCATCAGCTCTGGACTTTATTGGTTTTTAATGGCAAATCCTTGACGGGCGAAATAAGAGCCGCACAGAGAACGGGAGCAAAGCTGGAAAAAAATCTCAGGGATTTTTAATTTTTTTTTTTCTTAAAAAAGAGAGCAAGCGAAAATGTTATTATTATTATTTTTGGGAGAGCTTCAACAGTAGCCTTCAGAGTTCGAGGCTGCTAAAATTGGACCGCCTTCGGGAGAAGGAAGGAGAGGCAATAAAACCGATGATGAGGTCATTGCGGAGCAAAGTCCAGGATGACTGTGGTTTTACAAAAAAATATTAAAATAAAATAAAACAATAAAACCCAACCAGCATCCTTTCTTTGGGAAGAGGTGGGTTTGGGGTCGTGGAGAGCCACTGGCGTTTATGTCCTGGCCATAAACACCAGCCGCCCCTGGCAGATGTTCAGGTGGCCTGTAGCAAAGGGCAAACTCTGTTCTCCTGCCCATGTGCGGAGTGTACCGTCGACGAGACAGGAGCCGGAATCCACTTGATGGCCGGTCACTGAATTAGAAAGCACCGCCGTAGCCTTACATAGGCTTATTGATTTGAATCTTCCAGAAATAAAATCAACAGAAATAAAGAGTGATTTTAATTTATGATGATGATGATGATGATGATGATGATGTTGTTGTAGATCAAGTGGCTCTAACCAGTCCATGGCACTGCCTAGAAGCTTTTTTTTTACTTCTGCAAGGGTTAAATCACATTAGAAAGCACCGCCGTAGTCTTACCTAGGCTTATTGATTTGAATCTTCCAGAAATAAAATCAACAGAAATAAAGAGTGATTTTAATTGATGATGATGATGATGATGATGATGATGATGTTGTTGTAGATCAAGTGGCTCTAACCAGTCCATGGCACTGCCTAGAAGCTTTTTTTTTACTTCTGCAAGGGTTAAATCACAACCCCTAAAGGGGAAATGTATGTTTTTCCTGCTTATGGTGACCTTTTCCCTTCCAGCACGAGAATCCTTCAAAGCCCTTGGTCCCAAGCCCTCCGACTTGCAATGAAAGCCTGTATTTACCTCCCGAGGGCCAATTGCAACCTGCCGGCATACTCAGTATCCACCTGCAAACGGAGGCAAGGTTGCCCTCAAGTAAGCAAACTTCTTTTATTGTCTAAGACAGCTTCGCTTCCAACAGTGAAGCTGACTTCAAACTCTTCGTTCCTTGAACCCGCCCCGCTCCCATCCCTGGGACTTTTTATTCCACCACTGGTCCAGATCTTCAAGGAAGCCCCAACTCAATGCGGCTCCTATCCTGCCCTCCCCCCCCAAATCTCCAGCCCAGCCTTATACTCCTATTTTTATTCTTCCGCGTCCTCTCTTGCTCTCGGTAGGGAACTTTGCAAAGTTGAAAAGGTGAAGGAATGAGTTTCTTTTATGATTCAATATCCGGAAATTTCTCGAGATGCCCCGGGGCAACACAGCTTACCTATTTTTCTGTGCACCTCCCCACCCCCTCGCTAGTGAGTGGGTTAAAGCTTTTGGTTCGAACCTGCTTTCTTTCTCAAACGGTAACTTTACTTCACCTTCTTTTTAGAAGATATTCTCCCCCCTTTCTCATCACACCTGCTTATTCACAAATCTCATAAAAGAAAACACAGGATCAACACCATGGGTTTGGAGAAAAAAAAACCACTGGTCCCATCAACTCCCATCAAATAGAAAGGGAAGTTATGGAGGCAGTGACAGATTTTACTTTCTTGGGCTCCATGATCACTGCAGATGGGGACAGCAGCCACGAAATTAAAAGATGCCTGCTTCTTGGGAGGAAAGCGATGAGAAACCAAGGTCCGCATCGTCAAAGCTATAGTTTGTCCAGAAGCGACGAGTGGAAGTGAGAGCTGGACCATAAAGGCTGAGAAACCAAGGTCTGCATCGTCAAAGCTATAGTTTTTCCTGCAGTGATGTATGGAAGTGAGAGCTGGACCATAAAGGCTGATCGCCGAAGAATAGATGCTTTTGAATTGTGGTGCTGGAGGAGGCTCTTGAGAGTCCCCTGGACTGCAAGGAGAACAAACCGATCCCTTCAGAAGGAAATTAACCCTGAGTGCTCCCTGGAAGGACAGGTTCTGAAGCTGAGGCTCCAATCCTTTGGCCGTCTCATGAGAAGAGAAGACTCCCTGGAAAAGACCCTGATGTTGGGAATGTGTGATAGCAAGAGGAGAAGGGGACGACAGAGGATGGGATGGCTGGACAGGGTCACAGAAGCGACCCACATGAATTTGACCCAACTCCGGGAGGCGGTGGAAGACAGGGGGGCCTGGCATGCTCTGGTCCATGGGGTCACGAAGAGTCGGACACGGCTTAATGACTAAACAGCAGCAGCAACAACAACAACAACAACAAGGAAATGCCACCATCTGTTTCCCTGTAGTGGCCCGTTCTGGTAATGACATTGCAGAAATGCATTTTTTTTAAAGCGAACACAAATACATGGCATGGTCTCTGGCTCCCTCTTATGGGCAGGTCTGATAATTTCACCTTTAGAAATTCATATTTCAAGGACTTTTCTTTTAATATTTTTAATATTTTCAGACTGTGAATAAGGGAATCAGTGGATACAGATCCCACGGATATGGGCTTCCTACTGTGTCAAATATTCTAGAACACATATATTCGAGTTGGGGCTTTATTTTGACCCACGCCACGTGGGGGGGGGCTGCCTTTGAAAAGGGCGTGCAAACTGGGAAACGAGAAGAAAGTCATTGAAAAGTAGTGAGCAGCGCATCGAGTAATTTTTTGAATGGCGGGATGAGTAACAAGAAGAGGGTGTTTTTTCAAAGTAACTTCGGAGGATCTGCTCCCCCAGCACCTTCCCTCGAAGAGACACAAAAATCACAAAAGTCACGAAAGTCATTTAAAAAGGCATTTTCGCTTCAAAGGAATAATTTCATTTCCAGATCCTGTAGCTCGTGCCACGGATGATTTCACTGCAGGAGTGACAAGGCTGGTGCGGGATGCCACCCTTGGGCTAACACAATTACCATATTTTTCCATGTATAAGACTATACTTTCGTCTAAAATCTTTAGACTAAAAATTGAGGGTCATCTTAAACACGGAAGTAAGCTGAGAAGAGAAAAAACAAGTGGAGGGGAAAGCAGGGATCGAAGCGATCCTGCAGTGCTTTGATCCCTTTCCCCCTACACTTGCTAAGCCACACTTAGATTTCTTAATTTTGGGTTAGAAAAGTGTGTGGGGGGGGTCTTATACATGAAGGCGTCTTATACATGGAAAATACGGTACTTTGTTAGGTACCAGTTTCAGGACCCCCTGAAAAGAGGGCGAGCGAGTTTTCCCCCAGCCCGCCTGCCTCTCCAAATCTACCCTTTTAAAATAACACAGGAAACACAATCACAGCCTTCAGCTACGGTATTTACATTCCACGAGAGAAGGGATTTTGTTAATTAATACCCTTTTTCTTACGGCAGGAGGGAAAGATGGCTTGTCATGAAGGACCTCCCTATCCGCAGGGATTTGTTTCAAATCCCCACCCCCACCCCCGTTCCACAGATTTTTAATATTTTCCAGACTGCAGATAAGTGAATCAGCAGATAATGATCCTGCAGATACGGGGGTCCCACTGTAAATGGCCAGTCTTGCTATTTGAAATCAGGGAGACACGGATGGGGTGGGCTTGACAGATTGCTCTCCACTCCCTCCCCCCTTTAAAGCGAAATGACGCATTCTGTGCCAGGGTATTCTGGCATATTGAGTTCAAACTTCTTCTGGATGTCATAAGGAAGGAAGCGCCCTGCCACCAGGTGATGCTTGCCCATGAATCGGGTGGCGCACTGCTTGGGGGCGGCCAAGGAGACCAAGACGTCCGGGCTGATCCCGTCGCTGCTGCCGGTCTCGGCGTCCCATCCTACACAAAGGGAGAAAACAGAGAATTTGGGCCCAATCACGAGAAAGCTGGGATTCTCTGGAAAAAGACAGTAACGCTGAGAAAAGTGGAAAGGCCGCAGGGAAAGAAGCGGACCTGATGTGAGATGGATTAACTCCCTAAATGAAGCCACAATGTGAGTCTAACAGGAGCTGAGCTGTGGAGGACGGGGGCTTTTCAAGACCGCTCGTTCATGAGCCGAAGGTGACTTGACGGCACAGAACTACAACTCCCAGAAATCACCCTGTGGCTTTTCTACAGGGACGACAGGAAGCCGAGGCCGGAGAAGGCCGTGCACTCTCCAAGTGAGGCCCGGTTCCAAGGTGAGCCAAATTTAGGCCTCCGTCGTCTGCCGATCCCCCCCGCAATTTGACCTGGTGAATCCTCGGTATATTCTGGGACGTCGGCGCCCAAGGAAACAAGAAACGGTGCATCTTTTCAAATTAGCAAGACGCTAGTCCTCGTGAGTCTCACCCCCAGGGCCCATTTTCCACAGGAAGAAAAGAAGCTGTCTTCTAGCTTCTCTACGCCTGGCGCTGCTGTGCTTCAGGGTTTTAAGCCAGGATCCTTTCCCAGGATGGTGAAACGAGCCCCCCTTTTCCTCCCTTCCCTTGCCTCCGAGTGTTGCTTCTTCTTCCACGGAGGAAATTCCTCTCTTGATGGTGAAACCAGGCTCCTGCGGACGTCGGTGCCCAAGGAAACAAGAAACGGTGCACCTTTTCAAATTAGCAAGATGCTAGTCCCCGTGAGTCTCACCCCAGGGCCCATTTTCCACAGGAAGAAAAGAAGCTGTCGTCTAGCTTCTCTACGCCTGACGCTGCTGTGCTTCGGGGTTTTAAGCCAGGGTCATTTCCCGGGATGGTAAAACGAGCCCCCTTTTTCCTCCCTTCCCTTGCCTCGGAGTGTTGCTTCTTCCACGGAGGAAATTCCTCTCTTGATGGTGAAACCAGGCTCCCGCGTGCTCGCTCGCACCTCCCCAGACGCCTCACGGCGCGTTTGAGCATGACCTCATGTCTCCGCTTGACGGGAACTCGACGCCTCTGGAGAACGGGCCTGGCTTTCCAAAGGTGCCTCTCTCCGAGAGGCGGCTCCAGTGTGTGCCAGAGATGGGATTTCGGGGCCATGCCATCAGACAAACATCTCTCCCAGTGAGTCAGCTCGGTTCAAGCTCGGCCACCGAGATGCCAGCCTTGAATGGGCGGAAAGGGGCGTGTGTGGCTTTCCTGGCGCATCATGTGCACTCCCCCCCAAAAAAACACACTAGGGTAGCAAATTACCGTATTTTTCGCTCCATAAGACGCACCTTTCCATAAGATGCACCAATTTTTTAGGAGAAGAAAACAGGGAAATATAATCTGTTTTCTTCACTCCATAAGATGCACAGACTTTCCAGCCCCCTGTTTTGTGGGGGGGAAAGTGTGTCTTATGGTGCGAAAAATACGGTATTCATCTTCCACCTTTCAAACCTTGCACCACACCTGTCAATCTGTCAAAGAACCCCCGGTCCCACCTGGATAAAAGCAAAAAAAAATAATTCTCACTTCCCTCCTCCTTTCCTTTCTTCTAACTTTTTAAAAAGTGCGCAGAAGCATCAATACGGTGCTCCAGACCACTGGTTGAGGTCTCTGGCAAGGTTGGGAGTTCGAATCCCCCCATCAAGCCTCCTGAACAGGGCCTGGACTGGATGATTGATATAGGATCGCTTCGGGCTCTGGCATTCTAAGGTTATTATTATTATTATAACAACACAACACCTTGTATTTTTAGAAGGCATGCAAGGTTTTAAAGACAAAACACAAGGTTTTGCCACTTTGCTGCAGAACAGAAGGGCCTGTCCTTGCCATCAATGCATGAGCATGAAAAATTGCACAGCTGGTACCTGTTTTTTTTATCCCTTCAGTGTGTTAGGAACATCATCTCTCATCATGGTGAGACATTTCTGTCTTTTTACAAATATTGTCATTCTTCTTTACAGTTATGCTTTAAGGATGCCAAGAAAAATAAACCAAGCATTCTCAGTAAGACCTCTTGTGTTCATGAGGGATTGGTTCCAAGCCCTCCGTGGATACCAAAAAACGTGGATAATAGCAAACCCTATACATAGCATGGTCTCTGGCTCCCTCTAGTAGGTAGTTTGGTAATTACATTGTGGAAATTTGTATTTCTAATTTTTTTTTCTTTCAATATTTTTCAGACAGCAGATAAGAGGAACTACAGACACTGATTTTCTGGCAAAAGGGGTCCTCCTGTATTAAGAACCGATCATTGTACGGGTGCACTTTACACATTTCCTGCTACGGTAAAGGTAAAACTGAAATGCAGGAAAAGGCACATGCAACAGATGCCCTATGAATGCTATCAGTTTTTTGGTGCATGCACATTGGTAGTGATTCATGCACAATCCACGTGCATGATTAAGTGCCCTCTGCTTGCGCCACAAGCGGAGAGATCACACAGAATTCTGCCAGTATGGCATTTATGAATGCACCGACCGGCTCCCAGCTGGCTGACCGTTCCTGGCACCCTAGAAGAGGATGTCAGGGGGCACCGGAGAAGCCGAGTCATGTTCGGAGCGAAACCCGCACTCAGTTGGGGACGGAAAAGAGGCAGTACTGGGACAGAGGGCTGAACCGGAAAGGGCAAACCGGTTTAAGGGAAGCCATACCAGATGGGACGTCTAAGCTGATCAGAGGGACCTGGATTTGCTTGAGGGTGGCCAAGATGGTGCAGTACGGTTCCAGCAGTTCGCCCAGACTGGCCTCCACACCAAGGATGGCGTCCACCACAAGGTTGTATGCGTCACTGATTAACTGAACCTGCCAGGGGATTTAAAAAAATAGAGAAATATGGGGCTGTAGACTAGATATTCTAAACATCTCCTTTTTCTGCTGGTCTGGGGGTTCTGGGGAATGTAGCTCCCCCCCTTCCCAAAAACACCCATTTCTAAAAACTAGGTTCCTTGCATCTGTGTCTGGGAGGTGCATGCAAGAGGTGAAAAGCGTAATCTTATGAGTTTACACATTGAGGATGCTTTGTGAGAGGGTTGTCGATGTGAAAGATGCACCGAACAGGGCAGGGCCAGCTACCTGAAGTGCAAACAGCTGTAAATATGGAGAACTAGGCGGGAAAAAGTACAACGGTTTAGTCAAAAGGGGCCATACTAAGTGCATGAGAGTAACTGCGTCAATAATCAAGGAAGGCTAGGGTAGATTCGTAAAACGACTAACCAAACTCCAGGCAAAAAGTTTCTGAAACACCGCAGAAGCGGGAGGCTTCAAAGACCATCAAGAAGAGGGAGGGGGAAAAAAACCTCATTAGATTTGGAGAAACACGGGGTGGGGGGAACCCCAATGAGATAAGTTTTCATGGGTTATTATATTTGCTCACCTCCGTTGGCAAATAGGACAGAAAGGGGATGTCCATTTTCTCGCACTGCGTGGTAAAATCGCGATAAAGGGGATTTGAAGACCTCTTGGGGTAGAAAATGGTTGGTTCATATTCCTGGAAAGGGAAAGGAGAGCGAAAGGTTTAGTAAGAGGAAGGACTCTTGGCCATATTAATACACAAGGCATAGTGGGTCGGCTGTACTGGGGCTGGCATACTCCAGAGGGCACAGACTACAACTCCCATTGTTCTCAACTAAAGACCCCGTCAGTGGAAAAAGGCAGACAAGTCTCTGTTTAAATTTGCCCCAAGGCATCTCACAACATTTCAGAGCTACGACTGGGGGCCAAAAAAATTACAGAAGGAACCCCCTCATCTGTGAGATCAGTATCCACTGATTCACTTATCCACAGTGTGAAAATATTAAAAGAAAAATATCCAATATTTAATGATGCAGTTATGAGAACTGGTCTCTAGAGGGCTCCAGAGACCATGCTCTGTAGAGCATTTGCAATTTAAAATAGTGTTTGCTATCATCGGCATTTTTCAGCATCCACGGGGGGTTTGGAATGAATCTCCTGTAGATACGGGGGTTCTACTCTATTTCTTGACATTGGGGCCCCTGCAGGATTATGGGAGTTGTAGTGAGAATGAAAACAAAGGCCATTTCCCTGGCCAACTCAAGAGGTTCTCAACGGAGCCCCATTAAATGAGATTTATTGTGCAAAGGGGGGGGATACGTACGAACACACGTAGATGCCGGGCGCACACCAGGCCGATGGCCCCGTTCTGTTCACAGCCGCACACCACTAGAAGCGTCGGCTGCTTCTTTAGCAGAGACGGCCGGGGGAAAACCTGGAAGGAAAGTCCACAAAGGAAAGATACAAAGGAAGGGGGGAGAAAAACAGCAATGTGTGGTGTTGTGTTTTTGTTTTTCACAAGTTCCAGATTGGTTCCACCACGGAAAATGTTCACCATCACGTTTTTTATTCTGCTTAAAAACGGTGTGGCCGTGACGGTTCCAAAACGAGGCCCCGTAGACTTTTAACTCGATCCCACAAATGCAGAAAGACCGGCGGAAAGATGCTCGGTCACGGGAGCGCGAATTACGGGCTCTATTTAACGTCCAGTTTCTGGCTTCGGGTGGCAGGGTTGAGCAAACGGCGCTCGCTTTTTCAAAATTAGCCTCCAAATCCTCACGCCCCAAGCAAGTCACTCGATCTTGTTATATGATGGACGCCGAAGCCGAGCGGAAAATTAATGGGATGTAAAAGCTGGCCGTTGTGAGGCCGCCTCTGAATTTCTGGAGGTGGAGCCGAGTTGGCGTCTCCTCAACCCTGTGGAGTCACGTTCCTACAAGTCTGTGTGGTAAGCCTGGAAGTAGGCCGAAAAACCCCTTGACGGCGCTAAACGGCAACCTGGTAGTGTCCAAAATTAACGGGTGGAGGAAAAGCTGGCGGGAAAACCTAAGCTCCTCTGAGCAACACCAAAAAGAACCATAAATATAAATA